TTATAGCTTATTAAATATTCTATTTGAAATAAAGTTCTTCAAAGTAAAAACGTTCAAAAACAATTCTTTGCCGACAAAGTAATTTTTTTTACCTTACATTATGGTTCCGAACTCAAACTTAGACTGTTTTAAAGTAACAAATACTAAATAAGAAAGGAGACGTTTAGTAGAAAAGAGTCTAAAACAATTAATGTAAGTCACATTTCAAAATAAATAAGATTGAGTAGTGAAGCTAGCACACATGACAACACATGTTTAAAAGTAATATAACACAAACTGAATCTATAACTTTAAGTAATTTAAAAACAAAATTAATAATTATTTTCTGAAATACGAGTCTGTAAAGTCTTAGTGTTGTTATCAATAATAGAAAAAAAAGTAACGCCAAATACAGTCCCGTCGGTTTTGAAATTCGAACCCGCATTTTATACATCTAACCGCGCCGCGGCCGCAGGCAGCTGTCATTTAATAATTTAATTGTGCATTTCCCTCCCTTTTTCACGGCTCTTTCGGCGGGAAACTCCGCCGGCCATTACGGAACACAGAATAAAAAAATAAGAAATTGTATTATACTTTTAAAACTGTGGCACTCGTCCGTGATAATTTTAAAAGCACTTCCATTATACAAATATAAATATAATTTTAATTTCAATGATAATGTTATATTTAAATATTATTCTTTAAGTTTAATTGGAATAAAAATATGAATTTGTTTTTATTTAATATAAAAATTAGAAAGTGAGTAGAGCATTTTGCATAATGCTTTCTATTTAATTAGTAAAAAAATCAAATGAAACCTTTTTACCAAAAAAAATCACAGTCAACATAAAAAATATACATAATATGTAGCATAATAATAAATTTAAATTACATACCTCGTTATTCAGCGAAATACGGACCGGATGTCGAACGGAGTGACGTAGACACGTCCGTACTTTAGCGTGGTTAAGGCTGAATGGAAATCCTCAAACTAAAATCCGCCCAGTATGAAAGGCGGGGCCTCAGCTGGGCGGGATTCTACCAGCAAATGGAAGCCCCTGGTGCTTCTTTTCTTGTACAGCCAAGAAGCAGAATGGTCACCCGGATTAAGGCTGTATGTGTGCGACCAAAAAGGTTTTATTGTACAACGCAAAACGAGATTAATTCCTGTAACACTATTTTTAGGCTTTTGATATTACCTAAGTGCAGATTAGAGATTACATTTGAATGAATTTTTCATTTTACAACGTTCTTTTTTACAAGTCCTTTACTTTGTAACACTACATGTTTGACGCGGTTTGACATACAAAGAAATAACTATATTAATAGAAAAACTAAAGAGTTTTTTTGCTTTATTTTATCCTTATATTAGCATATATTTGTTGAGAAACATTAGTAGAAGCCTAAAATTATTTGTAGCCAGTACAAATACTTTTTTTTATAGGTAGTTATTATTTTAATTGTAACCCAGAAACAAAGCTATTAATTTTATTCATTCACTTTACAACTTAAGTACCTATGTTAAAGTAAGTATAATGTTTTGTTATACACAAAAAGGTTTTACTTGTACATATTAATAAGTTTTAAGAGTTGTTCATAAATATAGCAACATTTTTAACCCAATTGCGTTTGATACAATAAAGGGCAGTTATGTTTTTAACCTGTAAGAAGCACAATGACATATATTTATTTTATGTGAAATATTTAGTCGTAATGAGTTTTTATAATAAAATTTATGGGGTTTATAAAATGTATCATGAACACGCATCGTGTGAAAAGTTATTGAAGAGTTAGCAAACTTATAAATTAGAAATACATATGTGATTAGAATGTTCAAAAGAAAGTTCAAGTCGTTTAAGTAAACAAATAATAGTCTTAAATAGTAGTCATAATTTATTTTAACCAACTTCAAAAATAAGGTTCTTAATAAATCTGCATTTTTTTTATAAAAACGTTACCATTATATTTTGCTTCTTGCATTCGCTAAAAACGTTGACTGAGCAATAATATTTCAAATATTGGTTTTCAATTGCTAAATTTCCATAAATTTTAAGCTTTCATACCTATATCAAAAATAAACACACTTTACGCTAATTTAAAGAATACATGTGTTTTAACATAAAAATAATACTATTAAAATTGATGTATAATAAAGAAATACTGCCGCTTAAAATTGGTAAGTACTTTTAATGTCAACGCCATTATTGGTCACGATGCCAACGGACTTGGAAAAAAGTTTTTATTTCGTCTCTAAGACATAAATAACCTCTTTGTTTAAGCATCGAAATATTATTATTTTTTAATAGGCTGTGCTGCTAAAATGTTATTAATTTTTTTACCATATCTAGTGATTGTAAATATAAGAAAGTTAAACCACGTAAATAGCACATTTTTTTATTTAAGTTTGATTTTTCTAAACTGTTTTTTCTTTGCTATATGCTTACCTGTAAAAAGTTACCTTTCCCGTTTCTCTTACAATAATCTATGTTGATACTATATTGTTAGAGGTGGCCTAGTGGTTAAAATGCCCGTCTCTCGTGCACGAGGGCGCGCGTTCGATCCTGGCAAGTACCAATGTGATTTTTCAGTCATATGTACTTTCTGAGAGCATTTAGACACCACTGACAGATGAAGGAAAACATCGTGAGGAAACCTGGACTTATAATTTCACAATTATAAGTTTGAAATCACCAGCCCGTCTTGAGCAAGCGTGGTGATTAATACTCAAACCTTCTCTATGTGAGAAATAGCCTTTGCTCAGCAGTGGGCTCTGATAGGCTGATGATGATTCTATATTGGTAATAATTAATATTTATGACTGACAAACTTCGTATGAAGTGATCATGTAATCTTGATATAAGCGTACTATGCCTGGAAATAAATTATTTGCAGATATAAATACAAAGCACATTCAGACAATTTTAATCGATAATTTTATTAAAACAAGGTTTCAAATTCTACAAACATGAGTATCTCAAAGTAAAATCTAGTAATTATATTAACAAATATAAATATTGTATATATGTATTTTTAATATACATTTTTTAATTAACGGAGCTTGAAGTGATATTTTTATTTGCGAGGCAATGGTTTGTGATTAGACAGCCTCCGCATCTTTGTTGTATCTTTTGTACAAAATAAAAAGGCCTTCTTAAATATTAAAATAAAACATCTTATTTTTATTTGATTTAATAAACACGATTAAATTTCATACAACTTTTGACTAAAATCAACACTAATATTGGTTCTACTAATTGTTCTACATGAAAGTCGATATTTATTTTACAAAATATTTTTTTTTATTTATCATTATAAAATAAATAACAAACCACGCAGTTAGTTTCACTGCAACTTCTTGAATTAATTGAATGATTTAAAATTTCCAAATTGGACTTACAAAACAATAGTATGCCAAACAAAAAAAAATCGTACATTCATTCGTTTCGTTTTGACTAGTATAGAAATAATTGATAAAACTTGATTAATTGTTTTAAAAATTTAATAAAATGTTCAAAAAACATCTCGTTTATTTTATAGAATATCAAAAGAACTACGGATTATATATTTTCTTTACAATCTATGCCCTTTAATCTTTAATCTTTATATATTATAAAAAAATTATCAAATAATAATATCATCTAAATACATAATTTCTTAAAGCAATTTGTCACCTCTTACAACTTCTCTAATATTATTATGATTAACATTATGTAACTGACAAAACAAATAATAAGTATAAAATCAGTTGTAATTATAAACTATACAAAACATTTCAAAATCATGTAATAGAAATTTCCATACAATTTAGAAAAGGTTTATAGTTTAAGTAATATTAATAAGAATGTATTCAAGAATAAAGCAGAAGGAAAATATTTACAAATGCAAGCTACGGAGTATATCAATCTCATAAACAATTTTGCGTTGATTTATAATAATCAATATAAAAAAAAATCATTATTGCTTTCTTCTTAAGGATTGTTCTTTATTCCAGTTAAAATGTAAAGGTCTAATCAGTCTAACAGTATAAATAAACAGAGTTTATCAAATTCAAATGTGATAATGCCGTCGCTGAGACTAGGTAAAATAATGAGGTGGAAACAGTTAAATAATAGCAAACTACAATTTGGTAGTCTTTGAAATTAATAATGTTTTTTAGAAGTGACGCTTATGTTGGATCTTTTTACACCAAAACTTGCTTTTAATACCGAAACTGAATAAAAATCGTAACGCCGAAATTCGATAAAATGACAGAAAGATATGTCTTCTTTATAGGCTCGTTAAAATGTAAAATATTTTGTGTTAATTTTATCCAAAACAGAGCCATCTATTGAGTAGGATAGACAAAATAATATTTTTAACAACTAAATACCACTTTCAATAACATCACAAACAATACCACCATAAAGAACTAAATTAGAAAGATGTAAACAATAGTTTTAGAACGCGAAGAAGATGGCGACACTTGCTATCGATTTCGATTTTAGATAATATTTAGTGCTTACATCAGTTATTATGTATATTTTATTATGTATTATTACTTATCTAATTCTCTAGTTTATATTCTCTATTTATTTCAAGAAGAAATATGAAATTTAAAAATAATTAGCAGTGCATTTGACTTCAGACGTCATCATGAAAGCGTCGTTTTAGCTATTAACAGTCAGTAAATGTACACCGCCATCTTACGTACGTACTGTCAACTTGAAACAAATTGAGTGCAGCAATTTTGTGTTCGTGATGTGAGCCAGTTACTAAAATCTTAGTGTATTTTTATTGGTAAGTTTGTGAAATAAACGTTATTATACATGGCGCAAAATTTAAGTTATAAATTAAAGTAAATAATAAAAATAATCGAGCCTCATGATACTATGCTCGCTGACGTACCACGCATCTTAAACAACAGGGACGATCGATTTTATTTACAGTACAGTATATACATATAAATTCAAGAAAATATTTAAATTGTATCTATCTATTTCAGCTTAAATATAACTGCAATGAGTTAATTTGAAAAAATCACAATGTCGGAATCCGTGAAGCAAGTGAAAGTGGACAACTGGGGAATTTATTTCCTGCAGCGGCTAAAGCATTTCTTCAACCGCACAGATTATTGTGATTTAACCCTCCAATTCCAAGATAATGCCCAGCTTAAAGTTCACAGGTTAGTTCTGAACGCCTGCACTGAGTATTTCGAACTCTTGGAGCGTACGTGCGAAATGTACGAGGATTGTTTGGTTATGCCGGATGACTTACAAGCCGACGTTGTTGTGCCCATAATTAACTTCATGTACACCGGTCAACTCGAGTTCAGAACGGAGTTATTAGAAAAACTATACCAAACATCCCTGATTATGAATATGCCTGTACTTACAAAGCTTCTCGACGGCCACCGTGTTTCCAAACCATCTTTAGTCCAGCATTACGGCAAAAAGTACTCAAAGACGGACGTATCCAAGATATTAAATTTACCAGTGACTCCATCATCGAGTTTTAATAGTACTAGTAAACGTAATTATTCAACAGCTTTTGAAACTTCAAGCACAGTTAAATCTAAAAAACCCAATACTTCTAATGTAAATGAATCCCTTCTGAAAAGTGATTCAAATCAATCAGGGTCATCGACCTCACAGTTTCCAGTGTTCACTGAAAAGAATAGTAAGGCAGCTAAGGAACCTCGTCCCACTAGATATGAATTACCCGAAGAACTGGATGAGGACAATATATTTGATAATTCTTTTACTAACATCTCCTACACATCCAAGCCACTAATGGTACACCCCGAGACAGTTAAACAGTATGGCTCGAAGAAAATTAATTTATTTGAAGAAGGATCATCAAGTTCAAGTAGATTTATAAGAAGTTCATCATCCGATCTTGTGGAATGTAAGAAAATAACCAACAGTAATATATTTGAAGATGATATTAATGATAGTATCGAAGAAAATGATATATTCTCATCGACACCTTCAAATAAGGACATCACTAAAGATAGCAGTAAACTGTTCGACCAGATTCTTGATAGTGACGGGCCCAAAGTCACTATTGAAGCTAAAAATAAAGAAGTCAATAATTTAGATCATGCAAAAATAATAAGTGAAGTATTAAAAAAATATCCCCATCTGGTCAAGAGTAATAAGAACATTAAGTTGAAAATTCTGAACACTCCGAATAAAAGTAAAAAGTCACAATCATCCAATGTATTGAATGAAGATAAGGAAGTTAAATTAAAAGCGGAAATGCCCGACTTTACTTATGAAACCGATGTCATTGATTCAAAACAAGCGGCCCAACTAATAGCTTTAGGGGTGGAAAATGTGAAAGGGCCATGGATTTGTTTGATTTGTGGCACACCAGGAAGAGCTTTACATTTCACATCATATTATAATTTCCGGAAACATCTCGTTGAAGTACACAATGAGAAGCCCGTGCCAACTATATGTGAATATTGTGGACAAAAGTCTTTAAAGAGAAACTATTTATTGCATCACTTGCTTACCAAGCATGGTGTCGAACCACCTTCAAATTATCACTTCCCTCGATGCAATGTATGTAACTACATAGCTCTTAATGAAGCACTATTAGTTAAACATAAAATGACACACACCGAACTAAAACAATTTAGATGCAATGTATGTGCTGCTAATTTCAACTCGTCGAACCAGATGTTAATACACATACAAAAGACCGGTCACAAATATAGCGCTGAACGGAAAACTAATTTGAAATGCATTTATTGTCTCAAAGTGTTTTTGCGAGAGAGTAATCTGTATGCTCATCTCAAAACCAATCACAAGGAGGCCGCTAAGAATGATGGCATAATAGATGACTCAGAAGAAGAACAACAAGAAGAAGAAAAGATTGTGAGCAAACAAAGAAAATCAGATCACACAAACATAATAAAACTAGAAGTACCAGTCACTTATGAAAATACATACGAAGATAATAACATACAGTATGAAATAGAAAGACATCCAGATGGAAACATTAGAGTTGTATCCAAGAAGCAACGTGTTGTGTTACCGAAACACAAGATATTAAATTCCAACTACGGTTCATCAGTACAAAATGTTAATGCTAATAAATCTCAAGTTAAAACTAAACCGGTTCACAGATCTCCTGTGAAGAACGAATTTTTACAAGAGACCAGTTCTCCTAACACTCTAAGCAATGATGAAATTGTATTGATAGACAACAAAGAATATATAGTAAGAGATTATCAACTTATCCCTAAAAAGGAGAAATATATGGGAGAATTCATTATGCCAAGTAACATGGAGACTGATGCTGAAGAAAATATTCAAACAGTGCTCCCGACAACTTCAATGGAATATCAGAATATTCATGGCAATAACTACGAAGCTAAAATGTTCGTGAAGAAATCTAACAAAGCCAATCATCCCGTACAAATAGTAGTGTCTAACGAAGATGAATACAAAGCGTTAATGGCGTCGCACCAATCTGTTTTGTACGAGGACAGAGATGATGGCAAAACTCTCGCGATGTTAACAACCAATGATCACACGTTAGAGAATAGGACTATAGATTTAACTAACGCACAGTCTAACATGATGATAATTCAAGATGACTTCTCTATGAATGTCCCCGAAACAGTGTCTTCAGAAAATCCTAATATAGTGGTCGTATACAGCCATCCGATAGAAGATCAAAAACAGTACCAAATAATAACAACTCAAGCGATCAATCCACAATTCGTTCAATCATCAGCAATACTCACACAAAACTATGAAACCGTAACAACTAGTACACCGGGTATAAGTGCAAACGCTTCAGCACAAACTGCTTGGCAAAGTAATATGCCGGCTAATACAATTACTATGACTACTGCTTCTGAAATACAAAATATGACTATGGCTGGCTCACTACCAATAGCGCATGTAGAAAACATCACAACATCTGAAATGAACAATCTGCCTGAAGTCCATTTAACGTCATCTGAAACAGTATTAGGCTATAAGGAAATGGTTAATGCAACAAATATCAGTAATTTTAACCAATCCAATATTATAAGTTCTATAAATGTACAAGCAATAGAACAACCCGCTGGCGTTATTACCATACAACAGCAAAATGACAATAATATAAGTCAACATTCTATTAATAATCAGTATAATCAGAATGAAATCACAACAAACATCATACAAGCTGATTCCAACGCAACATATGCTTCATCAGTATCGATTTCGGAACATGGACAACTCACTTCAGTCCCGCCTGTAATGGTTCCAGCGACGATACTCGCTTCAATCAACCAATCAAACGCTATCCCATCACTAGCTCAGAGAACCATAATCACCTCACTAGATCCCTCTACGACCTCCCCAAATATAAATCCAACAACAACTATTGCTACTTTGGACCCTATAACTAACTTAGCTACTCTAATCCCCACTTCCAACATTGCTTCAATAGATCCAACAACTAACATAGCCACTTTAGTTCCATCATCAACAATAACAACATTAGATCCTACTACTAATTTAGCCACTTTGGTCCAGACTAGTACGATAGCCACACTTGATCCAACAACAAACGTGGCGACAATAGTTCCAGCTACTAGCATAGCTACAATAGATCCTAACACCAATATAGCGACATTGTTGCCAGCAGCCACATTAGATCAGGAAAATAAAATAGTCACGTTGGATTCTACAACTATAATGGAACCAATTACTGTAGATTCGACCATAACAGTATCCACAATAAATACAACAGGGACTGAAACAGACTTAGCAACAATATCTGAGCAAACAACTGTTGTAGAAGAATTAGATATAAAGGATGTTGTGCCAGCAACAGATTCTACAACTACTTTGGATATCCAAGATTCAAGTACAACGGCAGATGAACCAGCAAAAACTTTAGCTCCTGAGGAACCATCTGTTGATAATGATAACTTACCAACAACAATTACTCTAGAAGAACCAACTACAACAAGTACTGAACCAGAAAAATATTCTGATTCAACAGATACACATAATACCATAGAAATGCCTACAAAACCATCAAATGAAGAGAGTGACGTGGGCACAGAAGTTGTAGATACTTCAGAAATTCCTTTAGAAACAAATGTCAAAGAAGAAATTAGCTCAACCATTCCAGTGACGGAAAAAATTATCGAAGAAGTCAAAGATTCAAATGTACCAGCTGAAGAAATGGAAGTGGATGAAACGATCGAAAATATAGCTAAAGATATTGGAGTCAGTCCGAACACGATAAATGTGCATGAAATACCAACGAAAAATCCAAAATCTGACGATTCTAATGATTTGAAGAAAGTTGTAATAGAAAGTCTTACATCAGAATGGTCCGAAGATGAATCAGAAAATTCACCACAACCAAATAACGACGACGTTCCTATCATCACGAACGAAATTAAAGAGGAACAAAAGGAAACCGTTGAGATTGAAGAATCCATTGAAAATATTCAACAGGAAGTTGACAAGCAAATCGCTGGTGACGTCAGTTCCATCATAGACGAGAGCACCATCTCGTCCTATGAAAACACCATTACTGTTGTCGAAGAAAAACCTAAAGAAGTCATCGATACACCAAAAGAACAAATAACATCTTTACTAAATGAATGGGATGATAATGATTCACAAGAAAATGAAGACACAGATACTGTTGAAGTAGATGGCAATACAGATATAAAGTCCTCTGAAAATATTCCAGAGAAAATTCATGAAGACAAAATAATAGAAACTATCAAAGACGAGAATATAAAGAGTTTAGTCAGCGACTGGGATGAGGAGGACGAGGAAAATAAGGTCTGATACTAAAAACATCTCCAAACATGGTGTTATATAAGAAAAATATTAATTTATGACATATATTGTAGGGCTCGTAATGTAATGATTTATTTTTAAGACTAAAACTGTTTACTTAATAGGTTTTTTTTTATTAATACTTTTGTATTATGAATCATTAAGGACAGTAGCTATATTTGTTTAGTCAGTCTGCTTTGCTTAGCAGCATTTCTTTTATTATACTGGCAAGTTTAATTCTTACAGATGTGTTAAAGTACAAAATCATTATAGTTGTTTTAACCGAATTGATAATAACATAGAAAACAATTAAAAGCAGAATTAAATAATTATGTACTGTATGTAGTTTTAGATGAAAGTACTGTATTTTAATGGTTCTTTTTTTCCTTTATATCAGTCTTGTCAGATTGTTTGAATTGACTCCAGGTAAAGTTTTGTAAACATGATAACTGTATATACAATTAGTATGAAATAAAATCACTATGTAAATAAAATTGTTTATTTTATTCATTAACAAATATATTCAAATTTACTAACACATACAAAAACTTAAATGATTTGTAGAAAAGTTTCTAGCGCTCTAATAAATAATTATGTGAAAGTGAATCCACTTCTATTAATCATGTCAGAAAACCCAAGAATTATTTTAATCAAAACCACTCATTTCATGGAAAATCGATTAAAATTTGTTAAACTATTACAGTGATATACAATCAAGTGTCAAAGTTTACATAAAATAAACATTTTCATAATAAAGAACACATTGAAACAAAATTTAAAATGTTAGATATAGAACTTATAAATAGTTAAAAGATAATATTAGAATAATAAATGGAATACAATTAAAATACTAACAGTAGTTATTCAAGACAGTTTCCATCACAGATTCTTAAATAAAAATTAAATTAATAATTGGATTTTGAAATACTGGAATTAAACACAGAAATTTGTAGAATGTCACAATGCTACAGGTGATGCTAAAGTTTACAGCTTTTTATATAACATGAAGTAAAAAAACACTTTCTAAGCATCCAAGCTAAACTACAATCATTATTTGGTAACCATAGTGTACAAGTGAGCATATATTTTCAATTCATATCTAAATATCTCGTGAACAGTTTATAGTAAATAGAATGACATTATAAGATTTAAGAACAAATGCAGCATTTATAAATTATAACATTATGTTTCCTATGATTACTTGTTGCCAATTTTCATTAAATAGTAGCTTCATGCAATCTATCACATTAACAGTGACTCGAGTACTGAAAGCATCTGTTGTTATATCTCTAACAGTATAATATATTATGTACATAATAAATTACATTATTTACATTTATTACATTATGTTGTCTAGTCGTTTGATATTGATACCAGTACATATTTGACCATGTAAGCAAGAAAAATGAAACCGACGAGCACAAACAGATTTGTCATGATGTAATACATGTTGGATTGCTGATCGGACATTACTTCACCATCACTGCCACTGTTAGAGTTCTCTGATTGGAGAAGAGCTTCCTGTCTCTCTTTAAGTAATTTTTCAATCTCCTCCACATATTCGGGAAATAACTCGCAAAACATTTTATTTTTGAGATTAATTTCAAGAGAATCCGCTGCTAGACAACGTTTTTGATACTCCGATGTTTCTATGGAGCCCAAAGTTGGTGTTTTTTCTAACATAAAGCTAAGGAGTCCAGTTAGTATTGTTGAAATGGACCAGGCTGGGTTCCAAGTGTCAGGATGGAAATCAGTGATACTAAGGCACAATTTAGTATTCGTTTTAAACCGACCGTTAGGGGTTATCATATAAATAGAGGGTGGCTTGAAGGGAAATTCTCTTGGAAATATGATTTTTCCGTGATAGTATCCCCCTTCATAGGGACTTTTTTCTGGACCTTTTACTACGTAATGCCATTCTAGTATATTGGACGGTACAGGTTCAGCCGTCACATATGGTACCGGATCATTCTTTAATCTCAGGTAATCTTGTTTAAGTCTGCTGGTCGCTCCTGTAACCTTGGTTTTAGCCATTGTTTTTTAAACAAATGATCATGTAAAGATTTATGAAAAGTAATTCTACAACTTTAACATGCACTCTTTGATTGAATAATCAAATATCAATATTTTTCACTCGCGAGATGAGAGACAAACGCATTTACTTCACATTCACAAGAATAATATAATTTTCGTCATTAATCGAAAAATTGTTTTAACAGAATACGCAGAAAACGTCATTACGTCAAATGTCAATTTTACGTCTTATTTTTGGTTTATCTGTGTAACCAATTTAGAAAAATTAAAAACCCTTTACATAGAGATTTTTTCATAAAATACATAAAAACATAAATTCTTTTTTTTTTATAACTTATATACACTAGATCATTTTGAATAATTTTAAACTGTTTATTTTCATTCTTTTATATTCGCTTTGTTGTAAAAGATAAATTTAAACCCTTAACTGGTATCGTAAAAATGACTAACGTAACTAGTTTAGTGGGGGTCACTCGACCCCCACTAACTACTAAACTTGATTTTTAGCCGCTGCTGGTCCAATCCATCCAGGTGTTTGTTTTATTATATTATCTTGACGAATACGTAGTGCCGTAACTAGGGCGGTGCCAGCAGTGCCCAGGCACAAGGCGCAGACCCTGGAGGGACGCAGAAATAACCAGACTAGTATCTAGTTTTATCTCATGCATGATAGCTATATACTTATATATTTGTTACTTTGGTAAATAACAAATAGATAGATTTATTTGTATGCACATTTGTCCATTTTATTTTTAGAGCCTGGTTAGTGCATTTTTTAAGGGCGCAGTTTTGACCGCGCCGTCGGGCCGCGCGACCCCCATAACGCACGTACCTCCACTCAGGGAAAAAATAAAGCGTCGAAATTAACAAATTAACCAGTTAAGGGTTAAGTCCCGAATCATTTTATATTAAGAACGTTAAGAATTTAGATTTTTTTAATTACATAAAAATAAGACTGCATTAAATGACTTCACTCCTAATTCCATAAATAAAAGTCCAAACGTTAAAATATGTTTCACTGTTTTGTATAAATGATGTAAATATTATTAGTTATGTTAAAGGGTTATAGGAAATCTAGGTGTTAGAGAAATAAAATGAGATCATGTAATAAGAATATAAACAAATTTTATTAACTATTTCATATATTATTCTATCTCAAGTAGTACAATTAACAAGCAGGCTTCTTATTTCGTTGTTGAGTTGTTTTAGTCGTTCTTCATCGGGAGATGTTTGTTGTATGAGCTCATCTCGCTCAGATATCAACGCGCCGAGTTTGTCACTTGTATTGTTTTTGGGAAGATTTCTAAAATAATAATAATATTATATATCTATATAAAAAAATAAATTAGTGTTAGTTACACTATTAATAACTCAAGAAGGGCTGCACGGGCTTGGCTGAAAATTTGTGGAGAGATAGTTTTGAACCACAAAAAGGACACAGTATAAAAAAAATAAGCTTCTTATCTACTTTAAATTCGCCAGGTCAGCAGTACATATCTTATTCTGAAACTAACTAACTAGTCGCGAACTAAAACTAGTATACATATAAAAGGCAGCGTTCAAGTATTACGTAACGCAATTTTCGAAGATTTTTGACCCCCCTTCCCCCGTCGTAACGCACAGTAACGTTTTTCTGTAGCCCCCCCCCCCCTCTCAAAACGTTACGTAACACTCAAGTGATCAATTTCATACTAGTCGTAAAACAGTATGTAAAAGTTGGGTATATGTTTAATCTATTAAATGAAAAAAGATCATTGATACTGGTCAATATACTGTCTGGTCAACATACTGTAACGTATATGAAAAGAGTTGCCAGTTTGGGGGTTTTTATTAATATTTTTTTTAGAAATAATGCTACGTAACGTTTTACGAGACCCCCCCTCCCCCAAAATTGCGTTACGTAATACTTGAACGCTCCCAAGGATAAAATTTTTCATATAAGCATATACTCACTTTAAATCGTCAAATATCTCCATACCATCTTGACCTGAAATTATATGACTATAAATAAAAATATATATTATTTGGCGTACTTTATAAATATATCTTACTTATAATGGAATGTGATTCAAGCGCTGGAGTGTTTGCTAATATGTCTGCGTAGAAATCATCCTTAAGTCTGTTAATATCCAAGGGGCTTTGAGTCTGCACTGTCTCTTGATCTTCTATAGGGTCTAGACTGAAATTTTAATTAAAAATTTATTTTTATTCATATATATATAATACGATTTTAAGAATACCGTGAGTAAGATAAATAAAATGAAGTAGAACATTCATTGTTCTACTTCATTTTATTTATTTAGTATAATTACATGCACTCTCTAAATATGGAATTTTCTACAACTGTAAATACATTATACATATGTTATTTTATTTTTAAAATAATGTTTTCTTCAACAAAATATATTTATAAAAGCTAAATTTGATATAAACGAATTTTTTACACAAAACAAATGCAACCAAATGGGTTTTTGAATTATTTTTTTTTTTGTGATAAATGGAAAGATCATATATAAGTTTAATAACAAAACTATTTTTATTTTATTTTTTTTGCAATATTTAAAAAGTTATTTCAAAATAAAAATTAAATTTTAAATTCAGTACCGAAGACAAGCCGACAGCTCGTGAATAAACCCGAGCGCGTGTGACGTCACAATGTTAGTTTTTGCTCATTGTAGCATACAGAGATATAATAATTAGTACAGTGTTTTGAGTTTTTATCTAGTAAATTCTGTTGGCATTGTTAAATAATCAAAAGTTTTGTACCATTATGTACAAAGACTACAAAAACAACTCCTGAAAAAATGTTTTTAAATGTTCCACAAGACGAAAAACGTCGAAAGAAATGGTTTCAAGCAGTGCATCGAGATTATTCAAAAACAAAATCATTTTTTTTTTGTTGTGAAGATCATTTCGTTGTAAGTTTTCATAATAGTATTGTTATTAATTATTATTTATCTAAGTGTATAAATCGAATAAGTATAGTTCAATAATTAATTTTTTTACCTGGGCTCCAAATCATAACCTTTAGAATCGTAGCATTAAAAAATTTTAATTGATAATTCAAAGCGATTAAATAGTAAATCTATATATATGTTTGTCTAATAATTGGACTTCAATTAATAGATATTTTCATAATTTTATAACATTCTAGGTTCTGTATCAGACTACATTTAAATTTTTAAAGTACATATATGTTATTTTGGTTTTTTTATAATGTTATAATAACATTTTATTAATAATGATTTAATGAAATAATTATTAATTATATTTAATAGAGAATAAATACTAATTTTCATTTAGAATAGTATTTTTTGACAGACTTACCTTGATGTCTTAGCACCTCGAACTTCAGCAAAATTAAACCGCACTTTTTAAAAAATTAGTTATCATAAAAATATATTAACATCAGGAATATTATCCGATTTTGCTTTTATAAATCCTTTATCACACATAGTCGAAATAAACTTTTCAAATCGTTTTTCACTAATAAATTTGAGATATTTTTATCAAGTTAAAGATAATAGCCATAAACACTGTACTATTATGAAATTGCTTTAACATTATGACGTCACAAGTATGCTGACCAATCATGGCGCGTTTACAGTCACGTGATATATTTTTGAATTTTATCAATTTTTAATTGTTTATAATTAATTTAAAAAATATATTTCAAGTTTTTTGCATTAAAAATCCAATATAATTAATAATAAAGTTTTAAAATACATAAAAAAAATCAATACTTTTTTTTTTTCAAAAACCCAAATGTCTCTTAAACAAGAATATGATACTTAAGTTTTATATCTTCAATGAAGAGCCTTGTAGTTACAAATTATATACAATATCTTAAGCAAACATCATGTTTTCTTTTTAATCACATATTTCAACTGTTATATCCAGCTCATTACATTGCTATTGGGTGTATATAAACTATTATATACCCCATATATATCTATATAAAACCTCTTATATATCATTTATATACCTCTCTCCGAGTCTCCTCCTCTCATTTCTCAGTGTGTGTAACATCTGTCTCCTTGTATTAATCTTGATTGTGTGTAACTCCCTCACAGCTCGGCCCCACTGTTCTTTGAAGAAACACTTCGATTGTACTGCACTGTCTAATTTTTCTTCTAGATTGCGCTGTGAATTTGAAATTTATTGCATATTTAGTATAAGAAAACAATATTTTTATAAGGATTTTGTTAGAATCCTAAATATATATATGTATATATAGTTTGTGTGTCAGTTTGATGGCAACATGAAAACTGTCAGTTGATATGTATTTATTTAATTATAGCTGTTTAGATTTCTGTATATTGTTTTGTCTTTGGAATTAGGGGAATGATTTATATAATTCCTCAAAGAAGTATTTGAGAATTTCATTTTATGTACAATATTTAAATACTTATAGACTATGAAAGTATCAATGCAAGACATTTTTGGTATAATAAATAATAATTTAATACTAGATTGATTACTTTATATTAATTAACAAATTGTATCTTATTATATCTAAGGATATATTGTATTTATATAGAATTACATTTTATTTGTAGTAATTTGTCTAAAACACAAAAGTTTAATAATCATCTGTTTGATAACATCTTTTCAGTGTAATAATGATAACATATAAATATTATATATATACATCCTACCAGTTCTTGTATTAAGCTCGCCGTTTGATCTTTCGTCAAGCCTGAGTATTTACTTTCAGCGTCTTTTTCAACATTCCTCAGATTATTCTGCAAAATTATAGAATTTAATTTTTTAGCAATATATATACTTGCTATATGACTTTCAATTTCATAGTAACTAAGTTAATATTACAGTTTATTATCATCTTTAATAATTACTTTTTAGTATTGAATAAAATTAAAGTTACTTATTCTTTTGTAAATGTCAGATTATCTTATATTATATAGAGTATAGGAGTATGGAAAGTAAATATCTGTATCAGCAGTAAAAATTACACTATTAGGTTAATTCTTATTGTATAGATAGTAAATTGTTAATAAACGGTCAAGAGAATATGAAGTGGGGATAAGTTTGTTCATGTACATTGAGTGTAGAAAAAAATTACACTTTTTAGGTTTATCAATACCAAAAACTGGTAACAATAACAAAAACATGGAAACAATTTAAATGCTCGCAAGTGTACTTTGGAGCAACTACATATATTATACAAGACTACCCACTTGTAAATTGAATACATTAAATGAGTAAAACAACTCGTTATTGTAATTATATCTTAAGAACGACGTTTCATATTACTTGATTTTTTTTTTGATTTCCATGTGAGTGATTTTGTGTCTTTTTTGAAAAATAAAGATCTCTAAGTAAGTAAGTAAGTAAGTATTCTTTATTGTACAAACCTATATACCTCTAAACCTATATACACCTATAAATACCCTCTAAATCGCCTCTACCATATATTTCCCCCCTCCACTTTACCTCTATCCCCTCCTTCTGTTTCTCTAGCGCGTGTATTCTATGTTGTAATTCTTCTATCTCCATGTCTTTCATTTTCAGTCGGTGGTTCATATCATCTTCCATCTTCTGTGAAGCCTCTCTTAATTCTTGATACTTCGAGGTGTAGTGAGCCTCTAACGCTTTCTTTGCGTCTAACAGCTGGAAATTTTTGTTTTATATAAAATATGTGACATATTAAAACATATTCTTTGTAATCAATTAAAATAGAAAAAAATACCTAAGACTTTGGTGAGCACAGATTAAAAATCATACTTAATTTTATTAAACAAAGCGTTGTAGAAACATTCAAAAAAATTGCTTTTAATGGTCACCAATCCAGTGATTTTATAAAACTATATACTACCGACGTTTCTTTACTTTTGAGTTTTTTTTAAATAATAAAATAACTTGTAGTAATCCGAACAACATTAGTTTAATATACATAAATACTTGTGAAAGACCTTGTTACTATCAATGTTTTAATACATATATGTCTGGTTTGAGGCCGACGCACAAATATCCTCGGGGATTTTATATAGTACCTATGTATGTACCTTCTTCTCCCGCTCATTGTTCCTGTATCCTCTCAACCGGAAGTCCTCAGTAGCGCTACTAAGGTCTTCCGCTAGTCTCCTACATTGCTCCACACCTCGAGCAAGCCTTTCCTCCAAAAACGCCCGCCGGGTGGACCATTCGGAAGACAATAGCGATAGATGATGCTCCTCTTTACGTTTTAACTATAATATAAAAACTTTTCATCATTTTATGGACTTACTTTGTAGGTCCATCGTTGTAGTGAGAGGAGCTTCAACAGTGACTGGGACTTGCGACCCAGGTGTAGGTTTAAGGGACTCCTATCTAACGCGCGTTATGCGCTCACCTCCACCTCCTCTATCTATTAGTATACCGATCATATATTTTAAAATAGAAATGATTTCAGAACGTAATTCATACATCAGATTTAGAAATCCAAATGTGGATGTTTTTTTAGATAAAAAGATTAAATTAACTTCAAAAAAAACTGTATGACATTCTTTACATACGCGTAAGTCAACTCACACACACACATATACAAACTCTACAAATATATTTATTACCACACTAGCTTTCCGCCCGCAGCTTCGCCCGCGTGGAGTTCAGTTATATCGCGTTTCCAAGAGAACCTTTCAAAAGTCTGGGATAAAAACTATCCTGTGTTCTTTCTCAAGGTCAACTCTGTCTGTACCAAATTTGTTTAAAATCAGTTCAGCGGTTTAGGCGTGAAAGCGTAACAGACAGACAGACAGAGTTACTCTCGCATTTATAATATTAGTAGGTATTGTTATCTATATACCTGACACGTATACAACTGTTGTTGCCTCTCCTTCCAATCCTCTAACTCTTGAACGTACCTCTTCATTAGTTCGTCCCTCTCAGCTTGGGTCAAGGCTTTGTGTATCATGTCCGAAACTGATAAATTATTAAAGATATTATACATTATTATCCTTAAATATACTACAATGAACAATGGTGACGTCATTATAGACGTTAACTGTGATGACGTCATAAAAATATTCTAAACTTAAATATAACTGATATTAATTAATTATATTAATGATTTCACCTTTTTCATTATTTTTGATACAGGTATCACTTTTACTGTCCTCCAATTTTACAGGTTCGCTGAAAGAAATATATTATCTAAGTGAGATAATATAATGATTTTCCATAGAAACATAAATATTGAAAATAAAATAACAAGTGTGTAAAAAAGCCAACATCACGCGGTGTTCCCAGGCGGTCACCCATCCAAGTACTGACCGCGCCCGACGTTGCTTAACTTCGGTGATCGGACGAGAACCGGTGTATTCAACGTGGTATGGACGTTAGCGATTGAGTGAAAGAATTTACCAAATATTAGGCGAAGGATTAGAAATCTAACATCACGAATAAAATCTAACAAATTACCAAAGATATTACTTATATATTAAGTTTTTATCTAGTCTCATAATAATAATATTACAAACCTAAGAAAAATATGAAAAAAGAAATAAATATAGAAAATTTTTAAAATAATGAATGCATTCAAATTTCCAATTAAGTTCTCATTTTTTTTATATATCTTACACCATTGCCATTCACCATTCAGAACCAATTATGACATAATATATTATGTAATCTCTATTTAATCAAATTACTATAAAGTTTATTAAGTGTGCATTTTTTTGTTTATACGAACAAAAATTACAGGAACCATATCAATGAAATTTTCGAGTCATTTTGTTTAAATATCAGAATTACACAGGCTATAATTTATAAGTAAATTTATATTATTAATTCCTAATATCTGTATATTGAATGAAGTCACGAGAATAATGTAGACAGCGCTGTTCGCCAATTATATATTTATGTAGATAAAACATTATTCGTTAATACGTGTTCCTTAAAATCAATTGCATAACTGAATATTAAGTAGTGAGATCTAAGACTTATGCGACTATTCATTAAAATAAACCTATCATTTTCGAATATACATACTATGTTTATAATTATTTTAACAACATAATACTCCCGTCGTTTCGGTTACTTTGCATCAACCGTGACAGGGCAGACGAGATGAGAATTCAAATCTCGTAACGCGTAACGTAACGCATAATAAATCCGAAAATATTAGTTTAATTTTAGTATTTAATATATAATTCATACTTATCCACGTCAGTCTGTCTGTCTTCTTCACACTGCACCTGTACGTCACTCTTGTGTGTATGTAATTGTGTTAACAACTTCTCCTGACTCAGTGTGAATGATTCATACATTTTCTTTATAAGCTCAGCGATTTCGTTTGTTTGTAAGACGGCGTCGCCTGATGCGTTCTTGTACCTTAAATGTTGTTTATTTAATTATAAACAGTATTGTATATTATGAAGTTATTTAATTTTGTCATAAATTTATTTTGACTCATATAATATGTAATTTATAGATATGTGAATATTATTGAAGTGAAACTTCTTATGAATCTTCAAACAAGGTTGAGTTAAATATTTAACGCTCTTGAGAAAGGGTAAAAAGAGACAGCAAGAAAATGCGTAGCGCTCGAAATCAAGCTGATAATCAATTGTGAATTAAGTAATGTTAATGGAGTTAATCTTAAAGAAAAACCTTAAAATTCCTTAATAACCAATTCTGTCCCTTTCTGTTTTTATCCATCATTAATAACTTTCACTTATATATCCATTATTTATTTATTTTTCATATCTTACCGTGCAGTATTACTAGGCGTCATATTAGTGTACGCCACGCCGCCCACTTCACCTAAGTCCGTACAACTACCACTCTTAAAGTCTAGTATATCTGTCGATATTTCCTTGTCTATTTTCAGTTGCGTCGCACTTTTCGCTGTTAGGACAGGTTTCTGAAATATATATTATATACCTAATAACTAAATTTATGTCAAAAATATGAGATTATATTACCTAAACATACTTATTAACCATCATATACTAAGTAATCTAATTTTGTAGCTATTTAATCTACGATCTATTGGAAATAAATGCAGTATCTATTCAGCTGTGTCGGCTTTTATTCCTCTCTTAGGGCACCACATTACAAATATGTATATGTATAGTAAGTGTTGTTTACATAATTTATCTTGTCTCGTTGGATACATTTGACCCACCTTCGTTGTACTCACTCCTACATATTTTAAACTCATTTCAACGTCCATATACGGCCGTTTGCTATTATTAGTGATGACGTCATCAGTCCTCACAAAGAAACACCGCTCTTGTATCGTCAATGTGTTATTAGTACAGAAGTTGTCAATGAATGTTTGCAAGTCATCTGTTGGCACTAGTTTCGTTACATCCATACTGCATACACCTGGAATAAAAATATATTGGATTATTTTTAAGGTAGTCTGAAATATCTCAAATATGAGTAAAATTGAGGGAAAACATAGTATTTGTTACTCTTTGACTTTACTTAAATATGGCTTTTATTGAATGGTATTATAATTTTGTTGCCAATTATGTATAATGTGAAATGATAACGTGAAACGTGAAATGATAACTGATCGACCAACTGATCGTCCAACTGGTCGACCAACTGATCGACCAACTGATCGACCAACTGATCGACCAACTGATCGTCCACCTGATCGACCAACTGATCGACCAACTGATCGACCAACTGATCGACCAACTGATCGTCCACCTGATCGACCAACTGATCGACCAACTGATCGACCAACTGGTCGACCAACTGATCGACCAACTGATCCACCAACTGATCGTCCAACTGATCGACCAACTGATCGTCCACCTGATCGACCAACTGATCGACCAACTGATCGACCAACTGATCGACCAACTGATCGTCCACCTGATCGACCAACTGATCGACCAACTGATCGACCAACTGGTCGACCAACTGATCGACCAACTGATCCACCAACTGATCGTCCAACTGATCGACCAACTGATCGTCCAACTGGTCGACCAACTGATCGTCCAACTGATCGACCAACTGATCGACCAACTGATCGACCAACTGATCGTCCAACTGATCGACCAACTGATCGACCAACTGATCGACCAACTGGTCGACCAACTGATCGACCAACTGATCCACCAACTGATCGTCCAACTGATCGACCAACTGATCGTCCAACTGGTCGACCAACTGATCGTCCAACTGATCGTCCAACTGGTCGACCAACTGATCGTCCAACTGATCGTCCAACTGGTCGACCAACTGATCGACCAACTGATCGACCAACTGATCGACCAACTGATCGACCAACTGATCGACCAACTGATCGACCAACTGATCGACCAACTGATCGACCAACTGATCGTCCAACTGATCGTCCAACTCGCTTCTATCTAAAAACAAACAGGGCCTAACCCTCGCAGCGTCTACTCAGTATTACACAATACAATATTTGAATACAGTTCCGGTTATGAATCTTTAATATACAGTATGTTAACTAACAATTCACGTTCCCATTAATCCGCAATAATGTAGCATCCATACATGCTAAAAAAAATATTACCAATCGAAAACAAAATGTTTATTATTTTTTTTTATTTAAAAAAAATCATTAAAAATATTAAATTTACATGTAAAAGAAACATCCTGTACACGCATATTTGAAGAACGGCAACGTCGCAACTTACTTATAAAAGACGGGCCGCGTATGCGGCATTCGATTGATCTACGATTTTAAAGTGTCACCCGACCCCCTCCCCCGAACGTCCGCGAAATTTTATTTTTTAGTATTTACTATTTAGTAATCCCACGCCGCTGACCGGGATCGCATGTCTATTATTTCCGCATTACTACGTCTACGTATTTTCGTGTGAAAGATGCCGCGTTATCAGTTATAGCCTTTCCTAAGGTGGGTGATAGCACCCACTTGTAGCTGCTACAAGTTTCAATGTGGGCTGTAAGAGACCCAGAAAAAATGGGGGATATGTGTGATAAGTTATAGTAGTGTTTCAATAGGTTAGAAAAAGGGGGTTGGGGACAAAAAATAAATTATTCTCAAAGTGGACATAATAAGTTTAGAAATATAAAACATTTTAAAATTTTGCAGGATTGTATGGATATTTGTTCTTTGCCAAACAATAACTACTTAATGGATTTAAATGAAATAATACTTATTGTATGCTTATATTAAATAAAGTTAGGTATTAGCTATAATTTACACTGACATTCTGTATGTCCCATTTATCACATCACAAAAGTTATATTTGTATTTCATTTTAATACATCATATACAAATATATATTCCCAAAGAGGGTTGATGTCAGGCAGGCGGCCGGTCGTAAAAACAATTAGCCAAAACTATTCCCTACATGTAAGGCAGACCCTGGCTGAAGCTGGGAAATTGCTCGGAAGAAAAAAAATACAAATATATGCATATTTTTGTACCCATTCCAAAATCTATGCAGATAAAATCACGTGCAAAAACTAGCAATATACTTACCAATATATACATTACTTACCAATAGGTGCATTAGTGCACAGTGTAGCTACAAGACGTGGGCAGTCTTTCCAAAAATTTGATAATACTGACAGTGAAGCCCGAACTCTAAGAGACGTACGCTGGTTTAGAGACACGCGACTGGGGTTGGACGCACGAACTCTAAAAGGTAAGCTCTGGTTAGTATTACTCTGTGTTAATATTATGAATTTAATTAGAAACATCTATTACATCTTTTGTATTTGAGTTAAATTAAACATTGAGTTAAAAATTACCTATCAAGGAAGATTAGTTATTGTGTGAGCAAAAATTAGAAAAATATATGTATATAGTAAATTTATAGTAATACTATTGATTAACACCACCTATTATATGTTTTTATATAATTGACTGTATATAGATTGAAATAACAGTATGTAAACTACATATATTATAAAATATATTCAATATAATATATTTCTTACCTATCAGTCATGATAGTGTGAGTAAAAACCGTGTATGTGAGGTAACAATCAGGAGTCTTGTTGATACAATCTAAAGGTAGCAACTGAAATTAAAAGTTAATATGATCATGACTTTCAATAAAGAAAATTTTAATTATCCAATATTTTCTTATAGTATACGTCTTACCGAATCCAAGTTCTCTATAGAGCCGATAACAATAGCCAGTACAAATAGATCCTTCCCATCGCCAATTTGTATGAGTCCTTCTTCACAGATTAGCTGTGGTTGGAGATAGGGATGAGAAATGGTCTTCTTACTCTCTCTGAGGTATTCATCTGATGATTAAGAGATATTTATTGATATAACTATTATATATATACACATATATATCATCAGAAATAGTGCAAATCCGCATAACTAGCTAGCAATGGATAATTCCACACATCTACATCTGAAGTACATTATCAGTTAGAAGGTTTAGGCTGAAATATTTTGTATATTAACGTCTTTTAAGGTAATTTTTTTACAATTAGTAATAACTTAAACTCTAAATAATTACCAATTGTGAAAAAATTACCTAATTCTATATCACTAAACAACTAACAAATAAATATAAAAATTACTATTATATTGTAAGTATAGTATAGTATATTAACTTATTATATAAATGTAGTACATTATTTAATATATAATAACTTTGTTACCTAATGTCAATGGTACAGGGCCCGTCGTGTCAGTGTTTGTACGAGATGTTGGATAAGCAACTTCATTACTGTGAAACATCCTCAACTCATTGCGCTGTAATTATAAAAAATATATGCTAGCATTAATCTCAAGTTTAATTTGAAATACTTAAATATGGCTATTTCTTAAATATTCTTAGTATTTATTTATTTAAGATTAAAAATTTTGTACTTAGAAATACATGGTCAATAAAATATGTTAAATAACTATATACTGTTGTTACAACTTTGTAATTAATTTCAAAACATTTACGAATTTCCCAAAACTCATTTTTTTTTGTAAATTTTTTTACAGCTCTGAATATGAGTCCTTTTGAACCTTTTTCAATACTTATATATGTAATTTAGTATTGGCATGTCATAAAATAAAATTTATATGAAATTTTACATACTGGTGTTATAGTATTAACTCTGTCTTCTACAGACAGGCTCATGAGAAGCTGCGGATGGCAACATTTGCCTTCTGACTTCACACCCAGCAATTTGTGCCAAGAATGTTTCACCTGGAAATTTTATATGTTTTTATTAATATATATATATAACTGACTCTTAGAATAAACTAACAGAAAGTACTGTAGATTATAACTCTCATACAATTTTATAAATTAATTGAGATTTAATTTTTAATTAGTAATTGAAATTATCATATACATATAATAAAGAAAACTATCATATCATCAGGGATAGTACAAATCCTCATAACTACCATTGGATAATCTACATTGGAAGTAGATTATCAGAAGAAAGTTTAAGCTGCAATATTATTTCACAATTAGTAATTATTTAGTTTTAATTTATTGTCAAAAGGTAGTTACACTTATTTGCACTATCCCCGACGATATGGTTTAATACAATTTCTATCTTTTATTAGTAATAATTAAACTGAATTGATCCTACCTCTACAATCTTGTTTGTAGGACAAGGTTGTGCTCCAAGGAGACTCAAGAGTAAATAACCAACTTTATCTTTTTTACCCTGAGTGCTTGTAGTGTATACTTCTATTTTTACCGGCACATTTTGTACTCTCAAACTGTAATGTAAAATTATAACTCATTATGAATGATGACTAAATTTTAGTTTCTTTCATTGATAATAATTTTAACCTCCTGAATCGTCTCTTGTCAGCCTCCCACACCAATTCCGCGTCAAAAACCGGCGCATGAGTTGGCACGGTCGGATCAGTTTCCAATATATAACCATTCAGAGAACCACTCACGATAAAAGGAGACTTGAGAAAACCAAAACCAAGCCCTACGAAAAATAATTTATGAATTCAATGTATATTAAAACAGAAAAAGACCTAGTGCTCTATATTATAATTGCTTAGTGATTATTAGAGTACCTTCCTTAACGTGTAACACAATTTGAATTGTTGGACCGCGTAAATCATCCATCTATAGACAAATTAAATTATTAAAATTCAAAACAAACTGAACGTAAACATATATTTCTAAATTCAAAATAAATACTGATTTGACATAAGCTGGGTGTTGCAAGTGAAAAGCTTTTCTTCATGGGCTATAAAAGTGTATTATTTCTTCTTAAAACTATAAAATATAAATTATACACCATGGTTTACTAAAATATATTTAAAATATATCTTTAATATATAAATGGTGGCTTTATCACCAAAAAGAGATTTCAGTGTATGCTTTAAATAAATGAATGTGGGCTGAAGGTTAATACATTGTGTATGGTTTTAAATAAAATAAATGTTTATGAATCCATCTAATGATTTATAATAATTATATAGAAGTATAAAAATTTAAAATATCATTATTAAATTGATCTTCTTCTTCTTAAGGTGCCTCTCCGACTAGCGAAGGTTGGCAGTCAGCTCCGCATTTCTCTGCCTTTTGCGAGGTGGAAAAGATGGGCAGCACTCGTTATTCCAGTCCACTCACTAATGTTCAGTAGCCATAACTTTCTTCTACGACAGACACCTCTTCTACCGGCGACTTTTCCCATCATAATGATTAAGGAGTTCATATCTCTTATGCCTAAGCACATGTCTGAGATAAGCGACTTTCCTCATCTTGATGGTATGCAAAAGTTCGGGTTTTTGGTTGATTTGTCGCAAAACATCCGCATTAGAAACCTTTTGTGTCCAGCTTATCGCCAACATGCATGCAATATCTTGATGATAAACCTGAATATTATGTTAAAGAAATCTATGTTAGAAAGAATGATTTTTCCCTCTTTGTAAAAGAGAACTACCAGTTGTATTTGCTCAAAAAAAGAAATTAGTAAAGACATTTCTGAACTTTTTATTCCAATACTAAATCTCATAGTCTTGACTAAAAACCTAAACTATTTTTGGTGTTTTAAAAAGCAGCTAAATGATATAACAATGTTCTTTTATATTTAAGTTCAATATTTCAAAACAATTACTTGCATAAAAATCAATTCAGTGTCTTGACCGTGCTTTAAAGTATTTTTTTCTTCATAGAAATGTTTATTTTAATTTTATTGATTCTTGCACTATCACGTCACATAAATGCTTTAAGAAAGATTTTATATGCATTCGTGAATACGTATTCACGAATGCATGCAATGCAATATACAAATATTATTAAATTATCCAAAAGCTATCAAAACATTACAAGATATCTGGTATGCATAAATTATCTAGAATAATATATGGATAGATTTTGTACGTGTTACGAGTAATTATGTAATATTAATTAAATTATCTATAAGGGGCCTTTGAAATATAGACTTGAAACTAAATTTTTATTGTATTTAAAAAGTTTTCATATTTTTGAAATAATACTTCAAATTAGTTTTATACTTATTGTAGTTCATCGAAAACATTTTTATTGTTTCATGTCTAAGAGTCATTCCCTTGATTACTTGGCATTAAACAGTGTGCAAGGTGTAACGGTTGTTAACCTTTGCCCTCTAGTTTCCCGCCTTCTCCAAACAAGTGTAATGCCCGGATGTTAAGTCTAATTACCCTTTGCAATAGACAGATAGAACAAAATCGTAAAAGGATTTTGGCAAATTAGCTCGGACCATCAACAGATACTTAATTAAAATTTTTATTTTTTATCCATATTATATACATATTATGTGTCAGTCTTTTAAAAACTAAGACTAATTAATATTTTAAGTATTACTTAGTGAAAGTTTTTGTTACATTGAGAAAAATAAAATGTACCTACAAAGTTATTTATTACAAAGCATATTTAAATTAGTAAATTTTTTATCCCTATTCAGACAGATTTAGTGAAACTAAAAGCTACATAGAATTTAGAATTATTAATTATTATTAACGGATAAGTATAGGATTTTATTATTATTAAAAAAAACGATTAATTTATGGCTCCAAACAATATATAACACGAATTTTATTTCTTCCATTCTATGGTTTCAGAATGTTATGTATCTTGTACCTACTTAAGCTTTCTTTGTAATAATTCTTATACATAACAAAAACGTCATGTAAATAGGATCCCTATTTTTCTGGCCTAAATATTGAGGAAATATAAATACTGAAAAAAAAACTCTGTTTTGATGTCTTTTCAAAAGTAGAGATGGGTTTCGTGAGAAAATCACTCTGGCAAACAATACTATAGTATTAAACTATCTACATTAATGATATAGTGAGGTTATATACTCGACAGAAGTTACATGTGTAGAAAGATAGTTTTCTTGTGATAGCTATCTTTTATATGACTATGTGGAAAAAACAACATATCCAATATTTTACAAATATTATCCTAAATTTACTTTTATCCAACTTCTTTTATGTACAAAACTAATTATCATACAATTTCATTGTGTTATAAATTACTAGAGTTGAAATAAATTACTACTTTAATTTTAAAACGCAACGTGGTTACTGATACTTTAATTCATAAAAAAATAACAATTTAGTGATCCGGAAATCAAACAGTTATTCCGTCATAATGAACAATAACTTTACTTCTTTAATTTGACAATGTTTTTCAATGGCTTTAGAACGATTATCTGACACGGTAAATATTGTGTTATATTTATTAAAAGATTTATACACTTTATGGAATTATATTAAATATTTAGAATTTAAATTATAAAATAATGAGAAATAAATTTGAATAACTTAGTAATGGATGCTATGTTGATACAACAGTGAAATGTCATTACTCATTACAAATTATCAATATCATCAAAAGCAATGATTCTTAATAGTTAATAGTGTTGCGAATTTAAAATAGATTAAACATAAATATTCAAAGAAAACTATAATAAGAATAATATTATTATCTTAAAATAAGTGGAGTGATAAATATGAAGAAATTTTTATATGAATACAAAGCGTTGAGAGGTCGATCGGAAAGAGAAACGTCAAGAAATCGACGCAGCCGGTAAATAAACAATTAAACTGTTAAACTTTTCTCACTATCTACCCTTTATTTTGCAATTTATTGCACTTTTAATGTTAACGGGTCGTCCATCGTCGCAGTTGAGTTTAGACTGGGCTAGTGCGGGGCTCCGGCCTGGATGAAGTAGATCATCGGAGCGCGACGAAAAGTAATTTGTACAAAAAACCGAATTCAACTCATTGCGATTGCCGTGCCGTCCGTGATGTTTTGTCTGACCGCACAATATATCGGTAGTCATTGTTGTTAGAGGTTTTTTGTAACGATTGAATTAAATACGCCGGTAATGTCCCACGTGCTCGCTACTCGCTGACTCTTACATCTAAAAGTTTTTATTAGTGTCGTGTAGACTGTACTGTTAAATGTTTAGTTAGAATCAAGAAAAAGTGGATTCCTCGCAAGAAATGGGTGTTTTCAAGTGGCTACGCCGGTATGTATTTAGCACTTACTACCTACTTTTCATAAAATAAGTACGTAATACATATAACCAAGATCATTGCTATAATAGACAATTATGTTTTTAAAGCAAAAGAAGAAGTTAATAATGATTGTAAATGGCTATTAATAATATAGGTACTTGCTCTTAAATAATTTTCTATAAGTAGTAAGAAATGCGTATGTAATCGAATTGTGTCGTATCTCTCTTAGTAATACCATAGAGGGCGCTTTAAACAAAGCTATTATAATTATTATTTAAAATATGCATGTTCATCAAAATGATTACTCCTTATAAAAGGCTTCGTCATATTATTATTAAATTAAAATAACTTACAGAAATTATGAATAAGAAATGTTTTTAACGAAATACAAGATTGTACGAGTGTTTAGTTTTAAGCGTTAATTTTGTAAATTTTTTAATGGAATAGTATTTGATTTCTTTTTCTATAATGCAACGCTCGTATGTAAATCTTTCGATTTAAATATTTTAAGGTGGGATTTCCGCTCACTTAAAGCTCACTAAATTGAAATGATACATAAAAATGACTCAAGTACCATCTCTTTTTAAATTGTCACGAATCTAAATTGTTTTTCCAGTAACATCGAAATCTGTTTATTTAATATGAATCTATATTTTAAGACGTGCCTTCAAACATTCTGTTCATCACTTTAATGACATTTAATATAATTTTAACGAAAATTTATAAGATTTATAAATATTAGACTAGGTACAGGAGAAAATTACTTCTGTTACAATACGGAACATGTATTTTTGAAATATGTGTAATAAAATGCTCGCCATATTATATCGTTTATGGCCAAATGCCTGTAATTTACCTATTGCAAAATTTGAATGCGCTCGACACATGGAATTAACAATTTTGAAGGCTTTTATCACAGGCATACAATTATTTTGAAATCTATAAAATGTACGTCAAACGATATGTTTGTGTGTACGTTTTAAATAAAATAATATGTAATTTGTATTTATACATATAAATTTCTTACATGTATTACCATTTTAGTTTCAACAGTGTGAAAATATTTCTAACGTCTGGAATTCGACTAAGATATTTTTATGAACAACTAGTTTTTAGTCCGCGTTAATTTTGGAATTAGCAATACATACCTATATGTATAGCTGAAAGGGCTAACTCTATTTCGCTACATAGGCAGCAAATAACCAGATATTGGAGTTTATTAAGCTTTTTTCTCTTTCATTCGTACAGAATTATTAAATATCCTATGTCCGTCTCCTGTTTCTAAGCTAACTCCCCGCCAATCTTCATCCATATCCCTACAGTCGTTCTTGAGTTATAAATAGTGTAACTAACACAACTTTCTTATATATATATAGCTTAAATACTATATATACATATAACACTTAAGTGTATGAACCATTCAAATAACATCTTTTTAAAATTTAATTTACGAAACTTTTTACGTATTTCTTTTTTATAATATTAAATGTAATAAATGGTTGAATATATCTTGTGCTACTTAATGATAATAATAATTATTATAATAATTTATTTACAATACATTAACAATATTTTTATTATTATCAACTTTAATGAGCCGTAACGTCATAATAAAGCATTTTTGTAATTAATTTACTATTACATGTATGCGAAAAAACAAGTTTCTTGGCCTGCCTGAAGTTAAAATAGTTTTTTAATCGAAAGGTCAATGTCCTATGGTAGTTCCAGTATTATTCCCGTCTGGATCAGATAATTATATGATCTTGGAGAAATAAAATGACAACTCGCATAATTATAACGCGTATCTGAAAGAGAGTTTAATATACGGACAAAACCGCTGTCAACAGCTAGTATGTAAACAAATTACTTCTGTCAGATAAATCTTTCGTAATAATATTTAACATTTATATTACACGAAAGTCATGACGGTTTTCGTTTTTACAGATTATGTATTATATCAGTTTAATTTAATCAATTTATTTAAGTTTTGTTTTCAGCCTTAGGTTATACAAAATATACATATAACCTCGTTTCTTAAAGATTTATGACATAGTATATTTTATATTATATCAATAGATCATAGATGGATTGTATTTATCACCGAACACATCAAACAAATAAATCGAAAAATTACACTTTCATACTGTGGACAGGACAAATGATTTTATACATATATATGAGAAGATTTTAAGGGAACTTTACATTTATTATAATAGTCAGCATTACTTCTGTTGAAAATAAACTTATTACTTAGAGAACCTTTTAATACAAAAATATTTTATCATATATTTTATGCCCTTTATGGCAAAATAATATGTATCAAAATATTTTTTTTTTGATAATATTATCGTCAGACAAGTTGAGTTCAATATCCTTACCACAAGAATACATAACCTTACTTCTTATAAAATAGTTATTTTTTCGTAATGAAACAATTATTGGGTAAACGTTGGTTATTGACTGAAAAACGTTTCACTAACTTGATGTCAATGTAGCAGTGATATAGTTTTGTAGTTTCAGCAAATAATATGTAAGATTTTTGCGAATATTCATTTAAATAAAACTAATTTTCATATGTAGCTCGTGATCACGGTTGTTGCAAAGTAACCGAAACGTCGGAAGTACGTACTTAGTTCATAATAAAAAACGCGTAGTACATCCGAAAATATTAGTTTTATTTCAATAAAACCCATTTTTTGGTAAAAAAATTAACTCTAAATCTAAGGAATGTCAAAATTTTAATAATTATAAGCTTATCGTAAAAAATGTCGCATCCCAAATTTCGATTGTCAACCGCTTTCACTAAATTAACGGTATTGAGACTTTCCAAATTCTAATGCTGTGTATAAAAAATATATATAGACATTTAATAAAGCCTAAGCAATAGTTATTGTTAATAAGTTTTTTCAGTATCTTATTAAGAAAGTAATTTTCAAACACATTTAGGTATATTATTTCTATATCTATATTGAACAACTATTTTGTTTTAAAAAAATAAGGTACATGTACTATATGTTAACATTAAAATTATGATGTTTTACTTGTAGCTGAATATAAAATGATCATGGTATATTCCGCAAAAAAAAGTCATGCAGAAAACAAAGATTATAATAATAATTTGACTAAAAGTCATCGATTTATGTTTGCATCATGTAGGGTTCTATGGATAAATAAATAAATATATCTTCTCCTTCCTCGCAATTTCGCAGCTTTAGCCAGAGTCTGCCTTACATGTTGTGAATAGTTTTTGCTAATTTTTTTTACGACCGGCCGCGTCCCTGATATCAACCCTCTTTTGGGAATGCAATAAAACATTTTAATTCTAATTGGTTTATAGAGACAAAAAGAATGAGGGCTTTTACTTCCCGCTGTATTTTATACAGGGTGTTCAATTCAATAGTAAATTATAACAAATTTAATATCTACCATTCACTAGTTTTTTTTACTATCGTTCACACAATACAAAGCTTTAGAATGCTCTGTGCAATTTTACTGCTGATTGTATTTCGTACTTTTACTTTAGAAATTATAACAACTGTATGAATTATACGCTTTTAATATATTGATTTAAGTACACTAGAAATCATATATATCTATATGAGACTAGTCTCAACTAGTAATGTTTAATGGAACTTTAAATTTTCATTACAACAATGAATTCTAATCGAACTTTCACTTTATTGTCTGTAGATTATTTATTACAATTACTCGTAAAAAATTTATTGATAGACAGACAGCTTATTTGTGTAAGATAATCTCTGACTTTGTTATAATTTCGATAGTGCTTTCTATTTTAAATGTATTGTATAACGAATGATTCAAAGTATGTATTTAATTACAATCTATATAAACTTGAACGACGGGATATTATTTTTTATACCTGTATATAGAATGTTAATAAAAATTGCCTAAATACATAGAAAAATATTTTTTTAATATAATTTTTAACTGCCATTCTTTTATCTTATAATATTTTTTCGTTATATACCACAGTGTGTTAAATATGTGTCATTGGACTAATCGTATCAATATTATAGAGTTAGGAAAATTAGAAGTACCATCAATTAAATGATTTAAAATAAACCAATCAGATTTTAATGAATATTTTATTAAAATTAACATTATTTCTATTTGACCCCTCTAAATGTTGAACTGTTATCATAATTAGAACAGCATTACATTCCTTAGTGTCGGTGAAGCGAAAGTGTCCATAGGTTTAAGTTGGTGAATCAGAGCGTCGTGACGATTCAGTCACGGTCTGGAGTCATGACTTGTTCTTTGATAAATATAAAAGTAAGGAAACGTCAGCGATTTAATTGTTATTTAAATCGCAAACAAAATATTTACGTCCTAGGTTATTGACATAACACACTTCGGTTGGTGTGATTTTAAAAGCATCATTCCTTTTCAATAACTCATTTGATTATAAAGACGTAGGTAATTTTCAATTAAATGAAAAAAGTCTAAATTTCTATTATTATTTCTATATGGTGAGATATTTTATTAATTTCGTTTTTTAATTTGTAATGTAAATAGATCAAAATTCATGGTCGAAATAATTTAGTCCTAGTAATCTGGTCCACTTTGAATTTATCACCGTTAAGAAAATGAATAGCGACAAAAACAAACTAAATAGATGTTTAAATCTCCGTGTGATCTGATTCAATCCCAAAATTTCTTTATAGTAATTACCACGCGTCTATTATTGTAAAAATATTATATTCGTGACCAATATAAACTGTCCCTAAGTTCAGTATGAAGAGTTTAATTTAATCGTTCCAAGTAAAGGTAATAAATCGTTCTACGTCAAGTGTGTTCAGGTTTTGTGTGCTTGGAGGCGTGTCGTGATGGCGTCATCTTTTTATGATAACATTGATTAGTTCCACTCAATACCAACGATCCTACTATTAAATCTATTCTAACTGATCTATATCGATATACATTGCTATATTGCTATATTATTTATAGGGAACGACTAACAGTTACCACTGGCCGTGTAAGCCCAGCATCCAGCGTAGATGACCCACCGGTTCAAGTGGGAACAATTAGGACTGAGGAGTATAAGAGAGATCTAGCCGAATTCCAAGCTAGACGGTCAATAGGCAGCAAAGACGTCCAAGAAACACCGAACAAAAAGAAATGCGGTCGACACTCCCTTCCCGTATCTTGCACCAATTGCACGGGTGATCCGGACGCTACATTCAATTACGAAAAGAAATCTGCTATGAAATATAAGAAGAAATCACAGAAACGCACAAGAAGCACCCATTCCGAGGAGAAGCTGTACGAAGGTGCACCCAACATTCAGTTTCTATTTCAGAACCAGGTTTTCATGCCGGGGAATGTGTTCGCTTCATACTCCGAGCCTCGTAAGCAGCGTAAAAATCGTCAGAGATCGCCAGATTTTCTAGCACAGAAACAAATAGACTTTAAGGACGATGAGCCTCAGCCATTGTCGCCGCCGCTGTTTTATAAGAACAATTCGTTACCATTTGACACTAAAAACTTTTTAGAGTTATCGAGGAGCGATGACGAATTAGACGGTGTGAAAACTGATGTGAAGAATCCCAGCCAGGGTTCTGGTAGCCATAAGAATGATAGCTGTGACGGAAAATTGTGGGAGGTTATGAGCGAACTGAAACATTTTGACAAATGGGCTGACGAACAATTACAGGCTCCATCGACTACCAGCAAATCAGATGACAGTAGGGTGAGTGCATAAAGAAAAATGATTTGTATTCAGACTTCGTACTATATAATATATTTGTTGCTTTGTCCAAAAAAATAATGATATAATAATATTTTAGTTTTGTTACTCCGATTCATATGTTTTTGTTGGGCATAAAAGATATTTCATATTTACAAATTTGTCGATCCAGTCGTTAGTAGAAAAATGGTCAAGAAATCTAAATATATATTCTTTATTCTTGTTTACTTTGAACATTTTAATGGGTATAAGTTACTCGATATGGTCTTCCAAAAAAGCTTAGACTCTAAATGTGTTCTATCATACTAAATCATACCTTATTTAAATACTCTAGAAACTTAATTTCCCGACTGATACAATGGCTACTCAATACAGTCTAAGAAAACCATTAAGGAATTTGAAATCTTCTTTGTCCCTATTAAACTAAACTCTATTATAATGCATTAAAACTCAATTTTTCAGAGCGACACCAGCGCTTTTGGTCTGCCGATAGCAAGCGCTTGTAATTTAGACGTTACAATTGAAAGGAATACTTCTTGGAGTTTGGGCAAATGGGGCATCGTGCCAGTTCAGATAAAACGACTCAATGACGTCACAGTGGAGCATGTGAGGAAGAAATGGAATATGGAGATTAATATATTGAGGTATATATTATACTAGCTTTCCGCCTACAGTTTCGCCCGCGGGGAGTTCGGTTATATCGCGTTCCCAAGAGAACCTTTCAAAAGTCTGGGATAAAACTATCCTATGTTCTTTCTCAAGGTCGATTCTATCTCTGCACCAAATTTCATTAAAATCAGTTCAATTGTTTAGGCGTGAAAGCGTAACAGACAGACAGACAGAGTTACTTTCGCATTTATAATTATAATATATGTATATATTATATGTAACATACCACATAGCATAAAACAAAACATGAAAAGAGTAATTATGAAGGTATAATAGCAATACCTATTTACACTATAAGTAAGTCAGTTCAAACAATTTACTTTTGCCATCAAATATTACGTTAAGACTAAGACCAAATTAAAAATGAATAACTGGACATGTTTGTGTGGGTTATTCTCAAAAGTTCAAAGGTAATAATATTAATACACTAAATGCTAAGACATAATAGTATACAACCAATCATCAGATTGGCTGATGGAGATAAGGATGGGGTTAGCAACATTTGGCTTTTGATTTTTCTTGAAATACTTATTGTTAAATATTATTTTTCATGTAGAACACCTGATTTGATAATAAATTTGAGCTAAAAAGCAATTGAGCTTAGCCTGTTTCTTAATTTGAAGTACTTTATGATTTTCTACTTTACACTACCAACTGGTCTGATAATAATAAATTGTTTTTAGGACAATGTTTGATGATTTTTATTTTTTTATTAATCATATTAATTGTCTAGTATACAAACAATGTAGTTTCTTTTTGGCTACAGTCATTGATCTTCATTTTTTTTTTTGGTACATTTAGGCAAATTAAGTAAATTGTTATATTTCCTTCCATGCAAATCACATAATAATGTACAATGTTTATTCATAACAATTTTTAAATACTAATTTCTTTTATTACATTCCAGAAAGTTCCGTCATCCAAACATAATACTTCTCATGGGTGTGTATCCAGATGTTCAGAACAATGTGCACCTGATTTGCGAGAGATGCATCGATACCTTGTATGGAATACTACATATACAGGTGAATATTAGATATGTTTGATGGCAGACCCTGGCCAAAGCTGGGAAATTGCCAGGAAGAAGATTAGATATGTTTGATGATAACTACTGTTATATTTCATTAACATAATTACCTTATTATTTCCTTTATACACACTTGAAACTAATAATGATAGTGTGAAATTTGTCTCTATAGATGTTTTATATACCTATGTATAATAACAATACAGTATTGTTGTTTACAAATTGCTACACCTAAAATGCAGGGTGACTGGTGAATTACTATCGATACTTGAGGACGTGATATTTGACGATCACATATGACAAAATAAAAATTAATATAACATAAATATTAATAAACTTCTTAGTAAAGTTAACCAAAAATTATGTAATTAATTACGCATCGTGTGAACACCCTACAGATTAGGTATACACACACACACACACATACGCGTGCGGCGGCGTAGTGTTGTATCAGCACGCCGCCGCACGCGTCCACACTTGGAACACTTGGAACGTGTCAACACTTTATTTATTTATACGGAAATTTGGTCAAAAATTAAGTACCTATTTTTTTTACACAATTCGAATGAGAATCATATACCGAATATTCTCCTTAAATATTGATAGTAATTCACCAGTCACCCTGTATATTAAATTCAAAAAATTTCTTATACTTCCCTAAGATTCAATATTATGGGGGTTTATTTTCGTATGAAGACACTTATCACACGCTAGATGACGCTGTCTTAGCAATAATATTTGTTTAACTATACAATATTATGTCCATACATAAATTTTTAATATTAAAATATGTTTTTTTTTCTAAGGACACATTGATTGTTGATTCACCTTAAAGTGTCACTTAGACTATATGTAACTTATTTCACATTCCAGGGTCGTATTCTAAGCATCCAGACTTCAATAAATTATACCCTGGATATAACGAATGCCCTGGTCTTCCTAAACATGCAAGGATACCTCCATACAGCTATAACTAGCAAGAGTATAATGATAACTGCCCAAGATATAGCTAAGTTAGCCGACCTACAGCCCTGTATGAAACTGACGAAGAAGAAAATATATGACAAAGGCTATAATACTTATAAATCTGAACCACATTATACTAATATTAGCGGTGAGTTTAGTTATATGGAATTAATATATCAGGATTAAGTAAGAATTTATTGAACTTAAATAGTTATTTATATCAATAAGAGTAGAATGCTGAATGTGTATAGAATATTAGTTTGTTTTGGATTTTAGATTTATTCATATATACAGGGTGACTGGTGAATTACTATCAATATTTAAGGAGCATACTCGGTACATGATTCTTATTCGAATTATGTAAAAAAAATAGGTACTTAATTTTTTACCAAATTTCCGTATAAATAAATAAAGTGTGTACACGTTCCAAGTGTTCTAAGTGTGGACGCGTGCGGCGGCGTGCTGATACAACACGCCGCCGCGCGCGAGTGTGTGTGTGTGTGTGTGTATACCTAATCTGTAGGGTGTTCATACGATGCGTAATTAATCACATAACTTTTGGTTAACTTTACTTAGAAGTTTATTAATATTTATGTTATATTAATTTTTATTTTGTCATATATGATCGTCAAATATCACGTCCTCAAATATCGATAGTAATTCACCAGTCACCCTGTATAAAATGAGATCTAAGATTTTTGCAAGTTTTATTCATTTAAATGATACTAATATTTTTCGGATAATACTACTTAATATTTTTTGTAAAAAAACTACATACTCCCGACGTTTTGCTACTTTTCAGCCACCGTGATCACGGGCAGACGAGATGTGATATCTGCATGTAGTTTTTTTCATAATACGAAAAATATTAGTTTCATTTAAATATTTATATACAGGGTGACTGGTGAATTACTATCAATATTTAAGGAGAATACTCGGTACATGATTCTCATTCGAATTATGTAAAAAAAATAGGCACTTAATTTTTGACAAAATTTCCGTATAAATAAATAAAGTGTTGACACGTTCCAAGTGTTCCAAGTGTGGACGCGTGCGGCGGCGTGCTGATACAACACTACGCCGCTAAACGCGTATGTGTGAGTGTGTGTGTACCTAATCTGTAGGGTGTTCACTCGATGCGAAATTAATTACATAACTTTTGGTTAACTTTACTTAGAAGTTTATTAATACATATTTATGTTATATTAATTTTTATTTTGTCATATATGATCGTCAAATATCACGTCCTCAAGTATCGATAGTAATTCACCAGTCACCCTGTATAGAGAGTATATATATTTCAGAGTATATTTCAGTGTACAAATTACACTATAATTCATACACCAAATTTTCAGATAACCAGACCTCATCAGAGAGCGAGCCACTTCTAACTCAAAGATCGGACATTAATGCTGTGTCTAAACCCTATGAATATTACTGTGAGATGATCGACTACAACTGGCAGGCTCCAGAATTGTTTGAACCTGAAGAGGGCATAGTACATCCTTGTAATAAAAGTGATGTGTATTCACTATGTCTTTTACTATGGGAATGTTGTAATGGTTCGTACTTTAATTAAACACTCTATATACACAAATAATACGTTTTTAACATTTTAATGTCCTTTATACAGGGTGACTGGTGAATTACTATCAATATTTAAGGAGAATACTCGGTACATGATTCTCATTCGAATTATGTAAAAAAAATAGGCACTTAATTTTTGACAAAATTTCCGTATAAATAAATAAAGTGTTGACACGTTCCAAATGTTCAAATGTGGACGCGTGCGGCGACGTGCTGATACAACACTACGTCACGACACGCGTATGTGTGAGTGTCAGTGTATACCTAATCTGTAGGGTGTTCATACGATGCGTAATTAATTACATAACTTTTGGTTAACTTTACTTAGAAGTTTATTAATATTTATGTTATATTAATTTTTATTTTGTCATATATGATCGTCAAATATCACGTCCTCAAATATCGATAGTAATTCACCAGTCACCCTGTATAGATCAGTAGTTAATTTGAATTAATTAACTTCACATAAAGGTTTAATTTTTTGTAGAAAAGAGAACTTTGAGTAATATTTTCGTATTGAACTTTGTTCAAATTGTGGGGTTATGTTTAAATTGGTTATATAATTTATTTCATATAAAAATAAACATATTACTATGGCAAAATAAAAGATGCTGTTGTAATTAAAAATCTTTATAAAACACAAGTAAAATCTGCTTATAATTATTATTCCAGCCTCAGTTCCTTGGAAGACATTAAATTATGCCAAGCTTAAAGAGTTATATACATTATGGAAGACAGGTTTACAACTGCCTAGAGACGGTTCATACCCGGGATGTGTACTAGCATTATTAGAATCGGGGCTCAAATTAGATCGGACATCTAGAATTGATTTGGAGGAACTTCAAGTTGCATTGCAAAAGGCTAAGGTGAAAATTGATATTGAATTAATATTATTTTTTATTTTATTTTCATAGCTAACAAAAGACAACATTATTATTACATTCATTACATTATCAAACTATCAATAATAACTTAAATGTCCTTTTAATTATATGCTATCACATGATGCAAAATATAATAATTGTAATAATCAAAATTTAAATTAAAAAACAATAATAATAAATCAATAAAACATTACATTATGCTATTGGAGATCAGTATCTTTGCTGTTCAGAGTTGCTGTTGTTAAACTACACACGGAAAGTTTTCAGTTCTAAATTCATTAATTTATCCAAAGGTGTTATTGTAGGTTTATGAATATAAAATTGAAATGATGAGTACATATGTATTTTGAGGATGTGCACTGGTTATAGTACTAGTAGTACACTACTAGTACACTGGTACTAGCACTTGGTCACGAAAATACATTGCCATAGTCATTTATTTTCGGATATTTAGATCTTTAGTAACTTATTAAGAAGTTTATAATTAATATGAAGTAGTATACGCTATTACATTCGGTTTTTACGTTTGATTTGGTTTTTATTATTTTAATTAATAAAATATATGTAGTAGTCTAGTAAAATTATTTCACTTGTTATGTATGACAAATTCTTTTACACAATCGCCAACGTCCATACCACGTTGAATACACCGGTTCTCGTCCGATCACCGAAGTTAAGCAACGTCGGGCGCGGTCAGTACTTGGATGGGTGACCGCCTGGGAACACCGCGTGATGTTGGCTTTTTGCACTGATTTCTTTTATTTTTCTAGTGCTAATTATATAGCAACCGTAATATTTTGCATTTGGTTTTTATTAAAACAATTTTAAAATGTTTCAGCATGATTTAGACGAAATCGAATACATTATATTGCCGGATAGAATCGCCAAGAAGAAATCCAGTTTCAGCACGCAACCGTGGGATACAACCTCGCCTACCGACTCCGACTATCAAAGTCCGAAGAGTTTAGAACATACGGCGGTCATACACAAACATACAGACAGCTCGACGGGCAGCGAGAATGATATGAAGTCTAGTAACAATGAAACATTACGTAAAACTAACTTACTAACTTCCTATACTACTGAAAAATGTTTTATATCCGACGACGAAGACATACATACATACACTTCACAAATAAAAGATTACTCAAGCGCCTGTTCAACGCCAATAGCAAAACTCAGAGCTAGAATTAAAGATATTGAAACGCCAGGAACTTTACATAGAAGCGATTCCACAGAATACTGTAGTATAGTTAGCCCTGACACGAGATTGACGAATTTCGGACTCAATGACGACACAAATAAGGACGAAAGTTCCGAACGATCAAACGCCAAACTAAGCAGAAGCTTCACACCGAAATCATATAAACCGTTGCACATAAAAGTACCGGAATACAATTTCGATTCGGTCAAAACTATACTGAAAAATCGCAATGGGAACGAAAAATCTTCATATAATTTTGATATAAAGAATTACAGTTTACCGACAACACCCATAGCTAGGAGCAATAAGTTGAGGAAAAACGCCTGGCTGTCGGGGGATGTGAATGATAGACGAAATGCAAGGAAAACCGGGGCACAGGAGTTGATTAATAATAATAAAGGTAAATAATTAATAATTATTAATTTGTAATCTAATATATAAAAATTGCATACCATATTGTTAGTTACTGTACTCCTGCGAAACGACTATTCCCATTTTTTAACAAAATATATGCTTATTCAGTAGGTCAAAAAATCGGATACTATCTATTTTTCATACCCCTAAGTGATAAGGGTTGTTCACCCTTAATTAATAATTTTTAAGGATTTGGACATTTTTTAATATAATGTGGCATTAAAAATGCGTACAACCCTAAATTTTCATCACCAACCCCTATTTTTTTATTTGGCAAAACAACGTCTAGCGGGTCAGCTAATCAATATATATGTGTGTGTATGATTTTCTCAGTTTTACTATATGTTACTGGTTCCTTATTTCCCTATGCGACGTCAATTGTATGACAAAGATTTCTCTATTTAATTCCAGCATATTATTTCTAAAAAATTGACCAAAAAATTGTTAGATACTTTATGAATGATTGATTTAACAAACATACACACATGACACACTTATACACGCACATTGCAATTGTATTTTTTTAAATATCAATGTCAGTAAACGCAATTTAAAATATTATACAAAACATCAGTTAATAGATTTTATTCAAACATTTCGGGCAATACTTTAAAATATTAAAATGCATATTATGGTAAGTTGACAAATCCTTAGTTTAAAATGTATATACGAATGAATAAATTTCGTTTAGATTTCGTTGTATAAGGAATTTATATCTCTGGCTGTAAATAGGATTTAGGAATCTTTAATATGTACTGAAACTTGTATAGTAATAATCTATAATGCAAATAAAATTCAACAATTCTACACTACATATCGCCAACGTCCATACCACGTTGAATACACCGGTTCTCGTCCGAACACCGAAGTTAAGCAACGTCGGGCGCGGTCAGTACTTGGATGGGTGACCGCCTGGGAACACTGCGTGATGTTGGCTTTTTTATACCTACTGAATATTTTTACTTTTTTATTTTTTTTTCAGAAGCCAAATCGGAACAGTCGCCTACAGACAGTAATTCTACGAATAATTCATTAGATAAAGAAGAAAAATGTGACGAATTATCTTCTTATCAGTTGGTGAGGAATGAAATCGTGAACTATAGAAATGAGATCGCTAGGGATAGTTTTACAGGACTCAAAAGGTATTTAATCTATAAAAAGTTTTCTTACTAGGGCCTAAATATGTGTTTTTAGGCCAGTGCAGAAGCCTTTAAAATTAATAAAAAGTGAAAATAAATTATAGTAGAATGAAACTCATTAGAAAAGGAGGGGAATATTATAAAAATTAAGGGAAAAATAATTTACGGGCGATCTGAAGTCGGGAAGGATACGGCGGTGGGTATTTAAGGGTAAAAAATGGGTTTTCTCGATTTCCGACAAAACTAAAAGTTCTACGGAAAAAAGTTATATGGCAAAGTTGTAGGTAATAAAAAGATCTAAAACTTTTGTACTAACATTTTTTTTACATAACCTCAAAATTTATGTGAAAAATTCAAAACACCTAGTTTTTATAGTTGTTTTATTTTTATCTCTTCCAAACAACAATTTTTTGTCACGAAATTTGGTGAAAACCTTTTGAAAAAAAAAAAAAAAATTTTGATGTTCCAAATGCACTGTAATTTATTTGATTAGTAATATTAAATTTTTCAGCTTATTTTGAATAAATATCGAAAAATCAAAGTCAAAATATCAGCTTTTTAATTTTTTCAAAAATTTGGATTGTTTTCTCTTCGTTGAAATCTCTATTTTTCGAAAGTGAAGAAAAAAATATAAGTTTCTTACTTGCAGTACCATTTTTGGATAAAATAATCATGTCCCTTATAATGAAATGACACTGGCTATCGTTTGGAAAATGCTCTTTCTATTTAACTTTTAGTTTTGTCGGAAATCGAGAAAACCCATTTTTTACCCTTAAATACCCACCCCCATACCCTTCCCGACCTCAGTACGCCCGTAAATTATTTTTCCTTTAATTGGTATAACATTATCCTCCTTTTCTAATGAGTTTCATTCTACTATAATTTAATTATGTTTTAAAAGCTACCGGCACTGGTCTATTTAATATATAAACTTTCAATCTTACAATTATTTTTTTGTAATATAACTAGATGACGCTGCTTGCTATTGCAAATGTTAACACTTGTTACAATAGTTTGCTTAAAAAATTTAGACTATGTAATTTTGATATATAAACGATTTATCTAATAAAGGTACATGAGAAACAGTTTAGTTATTTTTTACATAAAAGAAACTAACATACATCGGTATTCATGACGGGACTACTTTGTATCAGTGATATTAGTCAAATTAGACTAAATTAAAGTGAATTCATATATATAGTGATAATAAATCTCGCTTTCAGAATATCTGATCCGCCAGAAGATTTCATACACAACACTAACTTGGAACGTGCGAGATCTTTAAACTGTGTCCAATCCATCAAGTATAAGATCGAAGAAGACTTATTGGCTAATGTAAACGTGAAGCCGCTCGTCGCGATACACGAAAAGTGGATATATGAAGCCAATAAGAAGACTGGCAGATCAAATTCCATGCCTGAAGATAATAAGTATGATGTTTATGAGTATTATTATTGTATTTATTTTTGTTATGATAATCGCCAACGTCCATACCACGTTGAATACACCGGTTCTCGTCCGATCACCGAAGTTAAGCAACGTCGGGCGCGGTCAGTACTTGGATGGGTGACCGCCTGGGAACACCGCGTGATGTTGGCTTTTTTGTTATATTTTTTTTAATTAATTCTTTATTTTACTCTTTAATAATTTTCTTTTCATCAAGATTAAAATTTCGTTTATGAATATATTTGTGTTTTATCAGATATTCAGCTTACAGTTACTTTAAAAAATGAATGACTAAGAGTATTTAAAGTAGCTTAAAATTTTTGTACTAATTGCATTTTTCAACTCCATGGAGTTCACCACTTGGGCCATAAACTGAAATGGTTTGTTTTAACCATGTCGTAAATATTGTGTGTTAAGACAGTATTTTTGTTACACTAGCTATGAGCTAATACTTCCATGAAACATACAGACATGTCTGTTTGAAGAATATAGGAGAAAAAGACTATAAGTTGTACAATCTGTTTGCATCCAAACTCACTTTGAATGGTAACTTTCTCATTCCAGATATTTGCATCAATTCTCTATGTACACAGCATATTTTATTGTTGAATGTTAAGTCCAATGGACCCGATGGTATATTGATGACGTGTGTTAAGGTTTTAACGTATCTTCTTCAGTTGTATGTAGCATTGTTCCGATTTCAGTTATATGACGAAACGAAGGGATAAAGAATGTACGGCAAACTCCTTCGATATTTTCAGGTGCATCAACTGGGTAATTTATAGTGATATGCATTTCAGGATCAAGAAAAAACTTTAGTCTACCATCATCAGTCCAAAAACCTTTCTGTCGAAGCTTCCTTACTATGTTTCTCGAGAATTTGTATACTCGTATAAGTTTATAGGCTTATAAGTTTTCCCACATAAAGGTCGTTGTAGACAATTTCGTCAGTAAACCTCGGTCTGTGTATTCTAAGTTTCACAAGTTGTAATGACGTGTTACTATCTCAATAAAATTACTGGTGATTTTCCCTGGTCGTGCTGAAATATCTTAAGAGAATTGTGGATCATTAAAGAAAACCTCTGTTTGGGCCTTAATGAGTTCCAATTGAATCATATGAAGTTAAAATTTTGGTGAATTAATGTGATTAGATCACATCTCATCTGCCCGTGACCACGGTTACTGCTTAACGTTAAATATAAAATATAAAGAATATAAAGTTTAAAATAATACAAAACCCCCAGTAATTCGAAAATATTAGTTTTATTTACTATAGGACTAGTGTTACGTGTGGCTCCAACTATGCCCTACTAATATACTATAAAGCTTAGCTTTATTTTTATGACCGATTAAATTTAGTTATATTACTCAACCATTCTAATTTTATAATTGCAACATTTAAATATCAACTTGTATTAGAAAACTCTAAATTGGCTTCAGCCATTTTTAAGGAAACTACTTTAAGTAACGCTGAAAAATCAAAATTGAGTTTGAAACTGTATTTCAAACAGTGACTTGACCGAATTTAATTTCTTACATTATTATTATTATTAATTATTATTATGTGTTTTCAGTAAGGGTAGAGTATTAGCAGTGAAGCCCGCGTCTCACTGTACAGACACATTACAGAAGTCTTTGCCGCAACTCAGCATCACACCTAGCCCGGGATCATATCAACCACACAAAACATCACCAACCAAGAACGGTTAGTGCAAAATACACTCTAAACTACTAATACAAATAAAGTACAATATCGTTTGATACTTGTTAATGGTTGTGGAGTTTTATATATTACTAGCTGCACCCCGTGGTGTTACCCGCGGATTTCTGGGATTCCTGAACGTCAGCTTCCTGTATACAAAATTTTATCAAAATCTGTTCAGCCGTTTGAGCGTGAAGAAGTAACAAACATACACACACACACAAACTTTGGGGCCGTTCAAGTATTACGTAAGCACTATGGAGGGGCGGGGGGTCTTTGGTTTGATTATTTTGGATGACATGGGGGGTAGGGGAGTCTAGGTAATGATGACGTCATCGGTAGTTATTTACTTTTTAATCGTCACACCGAGAAGATCCATAAAAAAATATAATAATAATTTTTTTATGGATTTATATGAAAAACAAAAACCATACAGTAATTCAAAATGTTTACGTAAGCATGGGGGGAGGGGGTAAAAGCTTTGCTTACTTTTGCTGACACGGGGGATGGGGGGTAAATAATTGTAATAAATCTGCTTACGTAATACTTGAACGGCCCCTTTCGCAATTATAATATTACTAGGATGTTTGTATAGAACTATTTTTATTTTCTGTTTTGCATGTGGTTGTTGGTTTATTATAATCTTGTATATTACTCTTGTTTCGTTTTGTTTTAAACATTATTGAAGTCACTTTGATTTTTTATGGGTTCTTATGTAACTTTATACTTATTATTTGTCCTAATATGTATGTTTATGTTTAATCTGGCGATGATTCTAAACTTTCTTTGTATGTAACAACTAACTCCATCCTAATAATCTTAACTCGTACTAATTTAAATGTATCTTTGTTACAAAACTTATAGATTCAGCTTACTTTCTTTCTGTTTAGATATAAGTTACAATTGCAAATGGTTTTTATACATAAATAAATAAATTACACAAAGATTAGTTGGTTTTATTTTTAACAAATAATCATTTTAGTAATTAGGTACTTGGTTGTGCATAAATGTAAATATATAAATATTATAACCTTACAAAATAACTAGTTTTTCTATATATTACATAATGGAAGTGGAAAATAAATTACAGGAAATCAATGGGAACAATATTGTCAGAAGAGAGATGTCATCTCTAAAAGTATGAATTTTCATCCGATAGATACTAAGACATATAAGAAGGCCGTTGAAAAAGGGTATGTATTAAATGAATTATGTAAATAAACAGAAATTTTATCGATAAAGATGTCACAAAAATAAACTTAATATATTTGTTTTACTTATAATGAATCACAAATTATTTAACACAATCGCCAACGTCCATACCACGTTGAATACACCGGTTCTCGTCCGATCACCGAAGTTAAGCAACGTCGGGCGCGGTCAGTACTTGGATGGGTGACCGCCTGGGAACACCGCGTGATGTTGGCTTTTTTGCACCATTTACATTTCTCCAAAAGCAGAATTTTGCTGTTTGTTAACAATAGTTTTATTAAAATGAATCTTATGTAATTGAATAATTAATTTTCCACAGAACACTTACCGACAACATCCCAAGCGTAACCAAAGTGGACCGCGGCACGGACACTGTGAGCATCGAAGACTACATACGAGACGTGATAAGGAAGGAGTTCAGATACATGATGGACGAGACATACGACGGACATGAGGAGGCGCTCCACAGACGGGTGACCAACATAGTGGGGTCACTGACCGGGGAACCGGAAGTGACGCACAAGGAGCCGCTGACGACCTACTCCACCATCAAGATCAACGGGAACAACAAGCCGCTGCTGCAGATCACGTTCAGTCGCTGCGGAGACAACACGCTGCACGTCATGGACGGCTGTGTCAACGTGAGCGTGGCGGACGAGCCCGCGCTCAAGAGGTGCCAGGCGTTCAGCGCGCTGCAGGTACATGTATGTAACTTACACTGTATACACACACACACACACAGACAACACGCTGCACGTCATGGACGGCTGTGTCAACGTGAGCGTGGCGGACGAGCCCGCGCTCAAGAGGTGCCAGGCGTTCAGCGCGCTGCAGGTACATGTATGTAACTTACACTGTATACACACACACAGACAACACGCTGCACGTCATGGACGGCTGTGTCAACGTGAGCGTGGCGGACGAGCCCGCGCTCAAGAGGTGCCAGGCGTTCAGCGCGCTGCAGGTACATGTATGTAACTTACACTGTATACACACACACAGACAACACGCTGCACGTCATGGACGGCTGTGTCAACGTGAGCGTGGCGGACGAGCCCGCGCTCAAGAGGTGCCAGGCGTTCAGCGCGCTGCAGGTACATGTATGTAACTTACACTGTATACACACACACAGACAACACGCTGCACGTCATGGACGGCTGTGTCAACGTGAGCGTGGCGGACGAGCCCGCGCTCAAGAGGTGCCAGGCGTTCAGCGCGCTGCAGGTACATGTATGTAACTTACACTGTATACACACACACACACACAGACAACACGCTGCACGTCATGGACGGCTGTGTCAACGTGAGCGTGGCGGACGAGCCCGCGCTCAAGAGGTGCCAGGCGTTCAGCGCGCTGCAGGTACATGTATGTAACTTACACTGTATACACACACACACACACACAGACAACACGCTGCACGTCATGGACGGCTGTGTCAACGTGAGCGTGGCGGACGAGCCCGCGCTCAAGAGGTGCCAGGCGTTCAGCGCGCTGCAGGTACATGTATGTAACTTACACTGTATACACACACACACACACAGACAACACGCTGCACGTCATGGACGGCTGTGTCAACGTGAGCGTGGCGGACGAGCCCGCGCTCAAGAGGTGCCAGGCGTTCAGCGCGCTGCAGGTACATGTATGTAACTTACACTGTATACACACACACACACACAGACAACACGCTGCACGTCATGGACGGCTGTGTCAACGTGAGCGTGGCGGACGAGCCCGCGCTCAAGAGGTGCCAGGCGTTCAGCGCGCTGCAGGTACATGTATGTAACTTACACTGTATACACACACACACAGACAACACGCTGCACGTCATGGACGGCTGTGTCAACGTGAGCGTGGCGGACGAGCCCGCGCTCAAGAGGTGCCAGGCGTTCAGCGCGCTGCAGGTACATGTATGTAACTTACACTGTATACACACACACAGACAACACGCTGCACGTCATGGACGGCTGTGTCAACGTGAGCGTGGCGGACGAGCCCGCGCTCAAGAGGTGCCAGGCGTTCAGCGCGCTGCAGGTACATGTATGTAACTTACACTGTATACACACACACACACACAGACAACACGCTGCACGTCATGGACGGCTGTGTCAACGTGAGCGTGGCGGACGAGCCCGCGCTCAAGAGGTGCCAGGCGTTCAGCGCGCTGCAGGTACATGTATGTAACTTACACTGTATACACACACACACACACAGACAACACGCTGCACGTCATGGACGGCTGTGTCAACGTGAGCGTGGCGGACGAGCCCGCGCTCAAGAGGTGCCAGGCGTTCAGCGCGCTGCAGGTACATGTATGTAACTTACACTGTATACACACACACACATACACACACACAGACAACACGCTGCACGTCATGGACGGCTGTGTCAACGTGAGCGTGGCGGACGAGCCCGCGCTCAAGAGGTGCCAGGCGTTCAGCGCGCTGCAGGTACATGTATGTAACTTACACTGTATACACACACACACACAGACAACACGCTGCACGTCATGGACGGCTGTGTCAACGTGAGCGTGGCGGACGAGCCCGCGCTCAAGAGGTGCCAGGCGTTCAGCGCGCTGCAGGTACATGTATGTAACTTACACTGTATACACACACACAGACAACACGCTGCACGTCATGGACGGCTGTGTCAACGTGAGCGTGGCGGACGAGCCCGCGCTCAAGAGGTGCCAGGCGTTCAGCGCGCTGCAGGTACATGTATGTAACTTACACTGTATACACACACACAGACAACACGCTGCACGTCATGGACGGCTGTGTCAACGTGAGCGTGGCGGACGAGCCCGCGCTCAAGAGGTGCCAGGCGTTCAGCGCGCTGCAGGTACATGTATGTAACTTACACTGTATACACACACACACACACAGACAACACGCTGCACGTCATGGACGGCTGTGTCAACGTGAGCGTGGCGGACGAGCCCGCGCTCAAGAGGTGCCAGGCGTTCAGCGCGCTGCAGGTACATGTATGTAACTTACACTGTATACACACACACAGACAACACGCTGCACGTCATGGACGGCTGTGTCAACGTGAGCGTGGCGGACGAGCCCGCGCTCAAGAGGTGCCAGGCGTTCAGCGCGCTGCAGGTACATGTATGTAACTTACACTGTATACACACACACACACACAGACAACACGCTGCACGTCATGGACGGCTGTGTCAACGTGAGCGTGGCGGACGAGCCCGCGCTCAAGAGGTGCCAGGCGTTCAGCGCGCTGCAGGTACATGTATGTAACTTACACTGTACACACACACACAGACAACACGCTGCACGTCATGGACGGCTGTGTCAACGTGAGCGTGGCGGACGAGCCCGCGCTCAAGAGGTGCCAGGCGTTCAGCGCGCTGCAGGTACATGTATGTAACTTACACTGTATACACACACACGCACACACACACACACACACAGACACACAGACAACACGCTGCACGTCATGGACGGCTGTGTCAACGTGAGCGTGGCGGACGAGCCCGCGCTCAAGAGGTGCCAGGCGTTCAGCGCGCTGCAGGTACATGTATGTAACTTACACTGTATACACACACACACACACAGACAACACGCTGCACGTCATGGACGGCTGTGTCAACGTGAGCGTGGCGGACGAGCCCGCGCTCAAGAGGTGCCAGGCGTTCAGCGCGCTGCAGGTACATGTATGTAACTTACACTGTATACACACACACAGACAACACGCTGCACGTCATGGACGGCTGTGTCAACGTGAGCGTGGCGGACGAGCCCGCGCTCAAGAGGTGCCAGGCGTTCAGCGCGCTGCAGGTACATGTATGTAACTTACACTGTATACACACACACAGACAACACGCTGCACGTCATGGACGGCTGTGTCAACGTGAGCGTGGCGGACGAGCCCGCGCTCAAGAGGTGCCAGGCGTTCAGCGCGCTGCAGGTACATGTATGTAACTTACACTGTATACACACACACACACACACAGACAACACGCTGCACGTCATGGACGGCTGTGTCAACGTGAGCGTGGCGGACGAGCCCGCGCTCAAGAGGTGCCAGGCGTTCAGCGCGCTGCAGGTACATGTATGTAACTTACACTGTATACACACACACAGACAACACGCTGCACGTCATGGACGGCTGTGTCAACGTGAGCGTGGCGGACGAGCCCGCGCTCAAGAGGTGCCAGGCGTTCAGCGCGCTGCAGGTACATGTATGTAACTTACACTGTATACACACACACAGACAACACGCTGCACGTCATGGACGGCTGTGTCAACGTGAGCGTGGCGGACGAGCCCGCGCTCAAGAGGTGCCAGGCGTTCAGCGCGCTGCAGGTACATGTATGTAACTTACACTGTATACACACACACACACACAGACAACACGCTGCACGTCATGGACGGCTGTGTCAACGTGAGCGTGGCGGACGAGCCCGCGCTCAAGAGGTGCCAGGCGTTCAGCGCGCTGCAGGTACATGTATGTAACTTACACTGTATACACACACACAGACAACACGCTGCACGTCATGGACGGCTGTGTCAACGTGAGCGTGGCGGACGAGCCCGCGCTCAAGAGGTGCCAGGCGTTCAGCGCGCTGCAGGTACATGTATGTAACTTACACTGTATACACACACACACACACAGACAACACGCTGCACGTCATGGACGGCTGTGTCAACGTGAGCGTGGCGGACGAGCCCGCGCTCAAGAGGTGCCAGGCGTTCAGCGCGCTGCAGGTACATGTATGTAACTTACACTGTACACACACACACAGACAACACGCTGCACGTCATGGACGGCTGTGTCAACGTGAGCGTGGCGGACGAGCCCGCGCTTAAGAGGTGCCAGGCGTTCAGCGCGCTGCAGGTACATGTATGTAACTTACACTGTATACACACACGCACACACACACACACACAGACACACAGACAACACGCTGCACGTCATGGACGGCTGTGTCAACGTGAGCCTTGCGGACGAGCCCGCGCTCAAGAGGTGCCAGGCGTTCAGCGCGCTGCAGGTACATGTATGTAACTTACACTGTATACACACACGCACACACACACACACACAGACACACAGACAACACGCTGCACGTCATGGACGGCTGTGTCAACGTGAGCGTGGCGGACGAGCCCGCGCTCAAGAGGTGCCAGGCGTTCAGCGCGCTGCAGGTACATGTATGTAACTTACACTGTACACACACACACAGACAACACGCTGCACGTCATGGACGGCTGTGTCAACGTGAGCGTGGCGGACGAGCCCGCGCTCAAGAGGTGCCAGGCGTTCAGCGCGCTGCAGGTACATGTATGTAACTTACACTGTGTATACACACACACACACACAGACAACACGCTGCACGTCATGGACGGCTGTGTCAACGTGAGCGTGGCGGACGAGCCCGCGCTCAAGAGGTGCCAGGCGTTCAGCGCGCTGCAGGTACATGTATGTAACTTACACTGTATACACACACACACACACAGACAACACGCTGCACGTCATGGACGGCTGTGTCAACGTGAGCGTGGCGGACGAGCCCGCGCTCAAGAGGTGCCAGGCGTTCAGCGCGCTGCAGGTACATGTATGTAACTTACACTGTACACACACACACAGACAACACGCTGCACGTCATGGACGGCTGTGTCAACGTGAGCGTGGCGGACGAGCCCGCGCTCAAGAGGTGCCAGGCGTTCAGCGCGCTGCAGGTACATGTATGTAACTTACACTGTATACACACACACACACACACACACACACACACACACACACACACAGACAACACGCTGCACGTCATGGACGGCTGTGTCAACGTGAGCGTGGCGGACGAGCCCGCGCTCAAGAGGTGCCAGGCGTTCAGCGCGCTGCAGGTACATGTATGTAACTTACACTGTATACACACACACAGACAACACGCTGCACGTCATGGACGGCTGTGTCAACGTGAGCGTGGCGGACGAGCCCGCGCTCAAGAGGTGCCAGGCGTTCAGCGCGCTGCAGGTACATGTATGTAACTTACACTGTATACACACACACACACACACAGACAACACGCTGCACGTCATGGACGGCTGTGTCAACGTGAGCGTGGCGGACGAGCCCGCGCTCAAGAGGTGCCAGGCGTTCAGCGCGCTGCAGGTACATGTATGTAACTTACACTGTATACACACACACACACACACACACACACACACACAGACAACACGCTGCACGTCATGGACGGCTGTGTCAACGTGAGCGTGGCGGACGAGCCCGCGCTCAAGAGGTGCCAGGCGTTCAGCGCGCTGCAGGTACATGTATGTAACTTACACTGTATACACACACACACACACACAGACAACACGCTGCACGTCATGGACGGCTGTGTCAACGTGAGCGTGGCGGACGAGCCCGCGCTCAAGAGGTGCCAGGCGTTCAGCGCGCTGCAGGTACATGTATGTAACTTACACTGTATACACACACACAGACAACACGCTGCACGTCATGGACGGCTGTGTCAACGTGAGCGTGGCGGACGAGCCCGCGCTCAAGAGGTGCCAGGCGTTCAGCGCGCTGCAGGTACATGTATGTAACTTACACTGTATACACACACACAGACAACACGCTGCACGTCATGGACGGCTGTGTCAACGTGAGCGTGGCGGACGAGCCCGCGCTCAAGAGGTGCCAGGCGTTCAGCGCGCTGCAGGTACATGTATGTAACTTACACTGTATACACACACACACACACACACAGACAACACGCTGCACGTCATGGACGGCTGTGTCAACGTGAGCGTGGCGGACGAGCCCGCGCTCAAGAGGTGCCAGGCGTTCAGCGCGCTGCAGGTACATGTATGTAACTTACACTGTATACACACACACACACACACAGACAACACGCTGCACGTCATGGACGGCTGTGTCAACGTGAGCGTGGCGGACGAGCCCGCGCTCAAGAGGTGCCAGGCGTTCAGCGCGCTGCAGGTACATGTATGTAACTTACACTGTATACACACACACACACACAGACAACACGCTGCACGTCATGGACGGCTGTGTCAACGTGAGCGTGGCGGACGAGCCCGCGCTCAAGAGGTGCCAGGCGTTCAGCGCGCTGCAGGTACATGTATGTAACTTACACTGTATACACACACACAGACAACACGCTGCACGTCATGGACGGCTGTGTCAACTTGAGCGTGGCGGACGAGCCCGCGCTCAAGAGGTGCCAGGCGTTCAGCGCGCTGCAGGTACATGTATGTAACTTACACTGTATACACACACACGCACACAGACACACACACACACACAGACAACACGCTGCACGTCATGGACGGCTGTGTCAACGTGAGCGTGGCGGACGAGCCCGCGCTCAAGAGGTGCCAGGCGTTCAGCGCGCTGCAGGTACATGTATGTAACTTACACTGTATACACACACACACACACACACACACACACACAGACAACACGCTGCACGTCATGGACGGCTGTGTCAACGTGAGCGTGGCGGACGAGCCCGCGCTCAAGAGGTGCCAGGCGTTCAGCGCGCTGCAGGTACATGTATGTAACTTACACTGTATACACACACACACACACAGACAACACGCTGCACGTCATGGACGGCTGTGTCAACGTGAGCGTGGCGGACGAGCCCGCGCTCAAGAGGTGCCAGGCGTTCAGCGCGCTGCAGGTACATGTATGTAACTTACACTGTATACACACACACAGACAACACGCTGCACGTCATGGACGGCTGTGTCAACGTGAGCGTGGCGGACGAGCCCGCGCTCAAGAGGTGCCAGGCGTTCAGCGCGCTGCAGGTACATGTATGTAACTTACACTGTATACACACACACAGACAACACGCTGCACGTCATGGACGGCTGTGTCAACGTGAGCGTGGCGGACGAGCCCGCGCTCAAGAGGTGCCAGGCGTTCAGCGCGCTGCAGGTACATGTATGTAACTTACACTGTATACACACACACGCACACAGACACACACACACACACAGACAACACGCTGCACGTCATGGACGGCTGTGTCAACGTGAGCGTGGCGGACGAGCCCGCGCTCAAGAGGTGCCAGGCGTTCAGCGCGCTGCAGGTACATGTATGTAACTTACACTGTATACACACACACACACACACACACACAGACAACACGCTGCACGTCATGGACGGCTGTGTCAACGTGAGCGTGGCGGACGAGCCCGCGCTCAAGAGGTGCCAGGCGTTCAGCGCGCTGCAGGTACATGTATGTAACTTACACTGTATACACACACACACACACAGACAACACGCTGCACGTCATGGACGGCTGTGTCAACGTGAGCGTGGCGGACGAGCCCGCGCTCAAGAGGTGCCAGGCGTTCAGCGCGCTGCAGGTACATGTATGTAACTTACACTGTATACACACACACAGACAACACGCTGCACGTCATGGACGGCTGTGTCAACGTGAGCGTGGCGGACGAGCCCGCGCTCAAGAGGTGCCAGGCGTTCAGCGCGCTGCAGGTACATGTATGTAACTTACACTGTATACACACACACACACACAGACAACACGCTGCACGTCATGGACGGCTGTGTCAACGTGAGCGTGGCGGACGAGCCCGCGCTCAAGAGGTGCCAGGCGTTCAGCGCGCTGCAGGTACATGTATGTAACTTACACTGTATACACACACACACACACAGACAACACGCTGCACGTCATGGACGGCTGTGTCAACGTGAGCGTGGCGGACGAGCCCGCGCTCAAGAGGTGCCAGGCGTTCAGCGCGCTGCAGGTACATGTATGTAACTTACACTGTATACACACACACAGACAACACGCTGCACGTCATGGACGGCTGTGTCAACGTGAGCGTGGCGGACGAGCCCGCGCTCAAGAGGTGCCAGGCGTTCAGCGCGCTGCAGGTACATGTATGTAACTTACACTGTATACACACACACAGACAACACGCTGCACGTCATGGACGGCTGTGTCAACGTGAGCGTGGCGGACGAGCCCGCGCTCAAGAGGTGCCAGGCGTTCAGCGCGCTGCAGGTACATGTATGTAACTTACACTGTATACACACACACACACACAGACAACACGCTGCACGTCATGGACGGCTGTGTCAACGTGAGCGTGGCGGACGAGCCCGCGCTCAAGAGGTGCCAGGCGTTCAGCGCGCTGCAGGTACATGTATGTAACTTACACTGTATACACACACACAGACAACACGCTGCACGTCATGGACGGCTGTGTCAACGTGAGCGTGGCGGACGAGCCCGCGCTCAAGAGGTGCCAGGCGTTCAGCGCGCTGCAGGTACATGTATGTAACTTACACTGTATACACACACACACACACAGACAACACGCTGCACGTCATGGACGGCTGTGTCAACGTGAGCGTGGCGGACGAGCCCGCGCTCAAGAGGTGCCAGGCGTTCAGCGCGCTGCAGGTACATGTATGTAACTTACACTGTATACACACACACAGACAACACGCTGCACGTCATGGACGGCTGTGTCAACGTGAGCGTGGCGGACGAGCCCGCGCTCAAGAGGTGCCAGGCGTTCAGCGCGCTGCAGGTACATGTATGTAACTTACACTGTATACACACACACGCACACACATACACACAGACAGACACAGACACACACACACGCACACACATATACATATATCGTGCATCTAGCAATCTCAATAATGATCCGTGTAAGAGAGGTCTTTTAACAGCGTCTACTGAAGGTAACATCAGTGTTGTGAGACGTATTATAGAGGAAGATAAAAGACTGACCTATCCACTGTTTTTCTCAATGGTTCACTCGAATACGACGATTTGTTGAGAGGAATGAGGGTGTAGTTCGAAAAACAACGAAAGTATTGGCAGCTCTCTACATTAAGCCGTTTATTTTCTACACAATTTCAGTGTTACCTAGATATTAGACATTAATATTGTCAATAAATTTAAATGATAATAAATACTATTGATGATATTCTAAGATTTCTCAATTTACCATATAAGTATAAAATATTACTAAATTCGTTGAATTTGCTCGTACAGTCGCTGGCAAGGCTAGTTAATAATATTATGAATACTATACAGGGTGACTGGTGAATTACTATCAATATTTAAGGAGAATACTCGGTACATGATTCTCATTCGAATTATGTAAAAAAAATAGGCACTTAATTTTTGACAAAATTTCCGTATAAATAAATAAAGTGTTGACACGTTCCAAATGTTCAAGTGTGGACGCGTGCGGCGACGTGCTGATACAACACTACGTCACGACACGCGTATGTGTGAGTGTCAGTGTATACCTAATCTGTAGGGTGTTCACACGATGCGTAATTAATTACATAACTTTTGGTTAACTTTACTTAGAAGTTTATTAATATTTATGTTATATTAATTTTTATTTTGTCATATATGATCGTCAAATATCACGTCCTCAAATATCGATAGTAATTCACCAGTCACCCTGTATAAATGTGAATATGTCTTTTCAATATAACGATATTCGTTTGCTTCATACATCATAATATATTCAAGTAGTTTAATATCAATGTCTCGGTGTTTCAGGAAGCCCGCAGCACAGAAGACCTGTACATAGACGACGAGATGTCCACCAACGTGCAGGACTTCGGCAAGGTGAAGCTGATCCCGCTACACGGCTCCATACACGAGATACTCTGCGACAAGGACGACTGCTGCCTCGTCAAGCTCAAGCAGGAGAACGGATGCGACACCATCTACTTCCGCTGCGACGATACCGGGGACGAAGTGGACGGAACCGCGATTAGTGGCGACCTCGTGTACAAGCGGAGCATCTCCATAGAGGAGAGGGTCCACAGGCGGCCCCGGCCGAGGTCCGAACTGCTGCTGCGAGCCGTCAGCAACAACATGCGGCCCCGCAGCAACAGCAGCCCCTGCGTGTTCAAGGACACGGAACACAAAGAACACACGCTCAATATAGACAGCGTCGCTCCGTACGACGACTCCTCCTCCGACGAGTTCGAGAACATGGAGCGGAGGATAGAGGAGGAGCTGGCGAGGAACAGGCTGGGGAAGATCTCCGAGGAGGACCTGGCCGCGATCAGCGAACACACGGACCACACGAGCGACGGGAACTGACACACACGGACACACACACACACGGACAGATACATACAACATACACACATACACAGACACACACATACAGATACATAGAGACACACACACATACATACACAGAAACATAGATACACACGTACAGATACATACATATACCCACATACGGATACATCAACACACTCACACACACATACATACACACGTAAAGATACATACACACCTTAGCGTCTAATACCGTGGCGAGTCCACTCAGTACAAAATCAATAACATTCACCGAATCATTAAAAACATTCTCATATTGATTTTTATCGTTTCTAAACCCAAAGATATTTATCGTCTCATATAGTTTTTTAATCTTTGTAAGTCTTTTTGTTTATTAGTTTAGTTGAAAGCTATGTGATTGTAGATTAAGTGGCACAAACATTCCACTGTTGTGATTTTAGATTAGTCTTTCTCACAGATCGTTATTTATATTTTTCACTGTTAACTTAATTTTATCGAATCTCTATTGAGTCTGCTAAGACCAAAGTATTCGTTTGAGATTTAATGTCGTTTACAATAATTTCTAGAAGTGTTTTAAATGTATCTATTTAGGAGATTTTTTATCAAGTAGGGTGCTGATTTTAGACTTGGCTGTTGATAAATAAACTCGTTACTAATTAATAATGTTTCATTTTATTGACGTCATTGTATATAAAAATAATATTGTATATGTGCGTCAGCCTCACTGATGTCTTATATACTATATAGTATGTATATAGTATTTTATTTATATCTATGAGTTCTTCTGCGGTATTTTGACGACCACTGCCTTGACTTCCGTGTAGTTGTTAATGCCGTAGGGTCCGTTTTCTCTCCCCAATCCTGATTGTTTGTATCCTCCGAAAGGTACTTGTTGAGCGAACACGTTGTAGTCATTCAGCCACACTGTGCCCGCGCGAAGACCCTGAAATATACATTTATTATTAATAAAGGATTTCGAGAGATGTATAGTTAACTATAACTAAAAAGAATCTACTACTTGATATACAACATGTAACATAATTAACGCAAATCCTCAAACACCCCAATTAGAACATAATTTAGAAATATTAGACCCTATAATATACAACAATTATTAATTAACGACTAAGAGAGATGTATAGTTAACTTAACTAAAAAGAATCTACTACTTGATATATATACAATATTCACCAGTTCTTAAACAACAAAGAGTGATCATTAATTGATAATTTTCTGTTATAGCACGTACTTATAAATAATACTTCAATGTGTATTAGAATTGGATAATATAGATTTAGAGAACACACAATATGAAAGGAACCTTTAAACTCCCGAACGCACCCACAGTGATATTAAAGCGATGACGTTTGGTTGGTTAAATTTTAAGCTGGAAAATATTTTGTGAAGACGACTTGTGTGTTTGTATATTGAATGTAACTTATATAAGGTGTTTTGGTTTAAGATAATAATTAATTGGTTCTAGTTACGTTTTTATTGTTATTTAAAAGTTCTGGCTTTATAAGTCAACTATGGATATGATTTACAGTATATATATAGTTATTCTCTGCGTATATATTTCCGTACCTGTATCAAGTAGTTAGCTCTATCTATGTCCTTGGTACAGACGGCCGCTGCTAAGCCGTACTCGGTGTTATTCGCTCGCTCCAGTAGTTCATCGATGTTGGAGAACTTGATGATCTGCTGCACCGGCCCGAAGATCTGTACGAAGGGGTTGTTAATATATATATATATATATATATATATATAAATTTCGTGTCACGTGTTTGTCCGCGATGGACTCCTAAACTACTAAACCGATTTTAAATTTGATTTGCATTCCGTGTGCATTTTGATCCAACTTGAAAGATAGGATAGCTTACATCCCAATTTATAGTCACAATATTATTTTATTGCAAATTATTTGTCTATTAAAGAAAATTATTTGTCATTATTACAAACGTGTTTCTGAGGCTAAGGTATAACCTAAATTTATTTATAAAAAAATGTAACAGATATTTCTTGATTATAGGGCGATACGAAGTTCGCCGGGTCTTCTAGTATATATATATAAGTTCGTGTTAGTAATAGTCTTTATAAGCCCCACCTCAGTCCTCGCGATGTCCATATCATCTTTAACGTCAGCGAACACGGTCGGTTGTATGAAGTATCCCTGGTCGCCGTATCTCTGGCCGCCAGTCATCAACTTGGCTCCTTGTTGTTTGCCGCTCTCGATCAGGCTCAGGATCTTTGAGTGTTGCTCCGAGTCGATCTACAGACAATATAACAACAGTATTGTAGTTTAAACATAATATGTAGTAATATATAACACACAAACATATGTCATCAGCCTATCAGAGCCCACTGCTGAGCATAGGCCTCTTTCTCACATGGAGAAGGTTTGAGCATTAATCACCACGCTTGCTCAAGACGGGTTGGTGATTTCAAACTTATAATTGTGATACTATAAGTCCAGGTTTCCTCACGATGTTTTCCTTCATCAGTCAGTGGTATCTAAATATTCTCAGAAAGTACATATGACTCCCAAAAATCACATTGGTACTTGCCAGGTTTTAACACACAATACAAATATGTATATACAAATATATATTAACCTGTGGCCCTTGTTCTGTGTCTGGTTTGAAGGGATCCCCCACCTTTCTTTTAGCGGCGCGAGCGGCCGACATTTCTACAAACTTGTCGTAAATTGAATCCTCGACGAAAGTTCGGGACCCTGAAAAGATTATATAAAAAACACACTAATACATATATATAAAATAAACCCACAGGTTTCAAAGAAAGTTAAGGCTGAAATATAAATCTTACTCTAATATTATAAATGGATAAGTTAGTGAGGATTTTTGTCTCTTAAGACAAAATTGTGAAACGAATTTTGTTGAAATTTTCCAGTTATATGCTTTTTAGATGGCAGCTAAATGAGGTATAATTTATTCAAAAATGTGTTATTACAAAAATAGTTTTTATTTTGAAGCAAGTCGAGAAATGTATGGCTTGTCAGTGAAATATACGTAAACATACTATTAATTTCTCTCTGAAGTCTCAACTAATTTCCAAAGTTTAAGAAACGAAACTAGATTGAACTGAACTAGTTTATCATCTATCTATTCGGCGCTATCTAGTACAAAAAGACTGAACTAATTCTCTACTTCCCGCTAGATGGCGTTAGTAGCTATAAGCGTAATAATACGGTTTTGTTATCAGATAAGTAGTATTTGTTTGGAACATTCGATAAGACGGTTATGATGCGATAAACTCCACTTGGGTTCATGTGATAGCGAATTTGTCCAAACTAATCTTTATCATAAGGAAAATGTATATATGAGATAATTAGTTTTTTTATTTACTGATTATATTAATTATTATCTAACCGGCACAACAGCATTGTCCCATGTTGTAGAAGAGCGCTTGGTGTGATAGTTCCACGGCTTTTTCTAGGTCGGCGTCCGCGAATATAATGTTGGGAGACTTCCCTCCTAGTTCTAAAGTGATTCGCTTCACTGTACCGGCTGCGCCGCGCTGGATCAACTTACCGACTTCTGTGGAACCTGGAAGAAAATACTTTATATTATATACATACACCTCAACAACTTACAACACAAGATGTTTATTTGTCGCGAATATTCATTGAAATAAAACTAATATATTTCGGACTTACAACGCGTCCGGTAACGTCGGGAGTATGTATTAGTATTAGTTTTATTTTAACTTACAATACACCATTAGTTAGTCAGAGTTTAGTTTTTTTATATATAAAAAGTTATATTTCGTATTCTATATTTGAATTATAAATATTTTTTTCCTTTATTTATTTTACCATAAACATTATTATAAAAAAACTGGTAAGAATTTTTTACTATTTCATTATTTGGATCTGTAATGTTTTTGAATTTATAAATAGCAATATTAAGAAATGTCTTATGTTTGAGGTACAGATTTTTAAAGTTCAGTGTTACTTAGAGTAATGTCTTACAAAATGGCTGAAACCACTATTTATAGTTTTCTAATACAAGTTAATACTCAAATGTTGCATACAAAATTACAATGTAACAGTATTATAATTAATTATAATCTGTCCCAAACATAATTCTAAGGATTATGGTATATTATAATTAGTACGGCACAGATGGCGCCACTCGTTGGAACACTAAATGTTAGTATAGTGCGTTTGATTTAAGCTGAGCTTTGCATTTGTGTGAGTGTACACGGATAGTATAGGTGTAATGTCTAATTTTTGAATGCCACGTTCTTTTCTAGTTTTGAACCGGTTTATTCTGCTTTTACTCCGCCCCGCACCTTCCACACTTCACCCTTAGTACTGATAGGAAAATCAAATCTTGAAAACGCTATGTCAAGTGAAGAAGAATTCGTATAGCTTTTTTTTTTAAAATTCCATAATATTTCCCTCTGGCGTTTTACAAGTTTGGCTTATTTTATAGCACTTATGTTATGTATCTCTTTAAAATATAATTAAATTTAATTCTAAAACTTTTTTGTCTAACTCTACTTTTTTCTACACACAAATGTAAAGCTCAGCTTAAGACTAACGAACTATAGTACATACCAGTAAATGCTATTTTATCAACATCAGGATGTTCGACCAGAGCCGCCCCCGCGTCTCCGAAGCCCGGCAACACGTTCACTACTCCTGGAGGGAAACCTGCCTCCTGGAAATAAAATATTAATGATAATAAAGACCTATGATATAAGTCATTATGAAATTATGTTCATATATATTTTAATACAAATTATACATATAATTGAATGAAAATAATAAAGCAGTGATATATTTAAAGGAAAATATTTAATATAAAAAAAATTATATAATTTTGTTGAACATAATATATCTTAAGATGTATCTTGAGATTCCAATGCAACTTGTCCTACGTGTATGTTATGTGTTATAGTAATTCTTTTGTTTCTGTTTACCTTGGTCAGTTAAGGACATAAATTCATGTAACCTTAACAGTTTAATACATTATTCAACTCTTGTCATATTGTTCATTCACAGAGCAATTTACGTGAAACTATTTTTTTTATTATTTGTTTACATTTAGGAGGTTATTTATATACATATATAAATGATATGAAAGTTTTTGAATACAAATTTTTCAACAAATAATAGAGGATTTCAGTTAGATAATATCGGTGTTATTTGAGAAACTTCTAACTTCAGAATAGTGAAAAACGATTATTTTTGTATTCATTTTACTTATAGTTATTTTATTATCATTATTTTCTTGTTTACTACTTTAAGTGCACACTGAATACATGGTGTCTTTTCATTTAGTAGCGAAGTCATATGGATGTGAGATTTTATCAATATTTCTGATGAGAGAGAGGATTCAAGATGTAAATAAACGTGCCTTCCATACATTACTATGTTAATTCTTAGGTACAGTAGGTTCGTGAAGTCCTTCAAACATTATATATCCTTCATTATAAATCTTTCCAAGTTCCAACATTATAATTATGCTATGAGAATGCGTGATTGTATGTTTGTGTTTTACGCAAAAACCGCTTTGAGTATTTCGATGACACTTTACATCAATTCAGATTGGATATCACAATAAGACATAGGCTATTATTAATCTCAAACTTTCCGCAGGATTAATTTGTATCATTCATTAAGTCAGAGACAAAGACAAAGTCGCTGTCGGTAGTTACTAAATCTATTACATATAAATTTCATTAGGAATTTCATTCTGATCCTAATTAGGAAGGGAAAATGGACCAATTTGATGACAAAAACTAGTTTATTATATGAAATTATTAGTGAGTGTTCCGTACCTTAACAAGTTGGGCCAAATACAGTGCTGTAAGGGGAGTTTGTTCAGCCGGTTTCAGTATCAACGTGTTCCCTCCAGCCAGCGCCGGACCTAACTTCCAAGCAGCCATCAGGAGAGGGAAGTTCCACGGGATGATCTGTCCACACACACCTGGAAAGAAACGTCATACACAAGGGTATAGATGAGTTTTATGTATCGTTATTCAAATTCAATGAATGTGGTAAAGCCTAACAAGTTACTACTCGAACATAGGCTGGCTCAATCTGGGAAGTACTATCCTCTCACAGAAGATGGACATGAAGTAGTCTTTAATGGTTGAAAGAGCCGGTTGCACTTTCCCTGTTCCCACCCTTTTCAGCCATTTCCTTATTCCTTCCCTTCCCTGTTCCTCAATAACCAATATTAGCAACGCACCCGTAACATCTCTTAAGTTGACAATGTCTACGGTGACTACTGTTCATCAAGTACGCTGTTTGTTTGTATGCCACGTTTCTCAAAAAATTATGATTACATTACAATTATGAACGAATAAACGAATGGTTTGGGGAGTGAATGAGTGAATGAATGTATCGTAATATAATCTCACCGACGGGTTCATGTCTGGTATATGCGAAGTATGGTCCGTCAGCGGGCAGTACTTTCCCGTGGTTCTTGTCAGCCCAGCCAGCGTAGTACCTCAGATTCTTGATCACACCAGCTAAATCTCCATGGTACGCCGCGAGGTATGGCTTACCGTTGTCTAGCGTCTCTAAACTCTATAATATATAATCATATAAGTACTGAGTTATGTCACTTGTAGTTAAAAAAAAACTACGTCTACTCTATTTTTAGCCTATAGATCAAAATAGAAGTTATATTTTTCAAGTTGTTATTTATAAGTTATGTTATGCTGTTATGTATTATCATTTCCGAAGTTTCATGAATATGGAGTGAAAATCGAAAATTCAGTAGGTAATTGTAGTAGTTTTTGTGTGTCGTGTAAAGTATATTTTCGGGTGGAAGAATTTGATTGGGAAGTTCATTGACTTTCTATAATGTTGAAGGATTTTTATTTAATCAATTTAACACTAGAAAGACCAGAGTGGTCAAATGACCCCAATGAAGTTATTGATCAATCATATTATCAAAACCATAGCATTGAAGTCATTGTTGTTTTATGACTTTTAATATTTCGTCATTGTTTATATTATTCTGATATGTGTATACCGATAGCAAGATAAATACTAATTAAAAATTATCACCTACCTAGAAAGACCACAGTGGTCATTTGACACCACTGCGTGCATGCTTTGTAAATATTTACATTTTGTTGAATATACTCGTGTTGTGGGCAGTTGAAATAAAATATTTCGTTTCTTTCTTGTTTTGTGCTTGTCAAAGCTAAGACGTATCACGGCTCGCCATAATAATATAATGCCTCATTATCGTTCCCTTCGCCCTTCTCAAATATTGGAAGTGTTGCAAAATTTACCGGACGACCAATCAGATTGTGAACCGACTGAAGAAGAGAGGCACATTTTGCATTTAGACTCAGAAAGTGAAGAAAGTGATTACAATATTACACAAAATAGTGATTCTTCTAGTGATGATAGTCACACTCATAGCGATTCTGATGGTAGGTGTATATTATTTTATATATTGATGTAAATAAAATAAGAATTTTGATATTGAGAGAAAAGAAAACATTTTATTATATTAGCGTTTACTCCACTGTTTCAGATTCAGTACCCCTCTCGACATTATGTAGCGCAAACCGAAAGCCGTCCACAAAATCAAAGTTAAGGCGAGTGCGTTGTATTGCGACTAATGGACCCATACTTGAATACAGGTCGAAATATAATAACTGATATTTTTTTCACTAGTGTAAATTTAGCTAAAAAGCTAATTGAAAAGCGTACATCAATAGTTGGTACGGTAAACAAAACACGACGAGATATTCCAGCTACTATAAAAAATGCATCCCTTAGTTTATATGAAACACATATTCACAACTCTGAAACCTGCACACTTACAGTTTATCAAGGAAAACCGTCAAAATCAGTTATGATTCGAAGTTCACTTCACTCTAATGTATTTGTTGATCCAGAAGAAGCAAAAAAGAAGCCGAACACGGTGAAGTTTTACAATGCTACGAAATTTGGAGTAGATGTTATTGATCAAATGGCCAAGAAATATAGTGTCAAAGCACCTTCTCGTCGTTGGCCCGTGCAAGTGTTTTATAATATTTTGGATTTGACAGCAATTAATTCTTGGATTTTGTACAAAAAACTATCCGAGAAAAAAATCAGTAGAAAAAAGTTCATTCTTGACTTGGCAAGAGAGTTAGTCGGCCAAGATACCCACTCCCTGATGACACCATCTACTACACAGCCCGATAATAGCATACCCCTAGAGCCTGAAAAAGAACGTAGTGGAAAGAGAAAACGGTATTACGTGCAAAAATGCAGGAACAAAACCAATAAATCTTGTATTAGTTGTAAAAAGCCTTTGTGTGGCTCTTGTAATGTAAACAAGGACTAAAATGTCAAAAATGTGCCTAATATATTCATTTTTTTATCACATAAGAGATGTTTAATTACTATTAAGTTTTATTATTTACTATTATATGTTAATCAATAAAACTTAAAACCATTTTACACGAATAAAACATTACAACCCATGAATGAGTCATTTGACCCCACTTGGTCTTTATAGGTAGTTCAAAATTTCGGTCTTTCTAGTGTTAAGCAAAATATTGTTAGTATTATAAAATTTAAAATTCGTTTTCAAAGTTATAAAATAATACAATAATATTTGGAAACAAAATATTGGAATGCCATTTTTTATAGATCGTTACTATGAGCATAATAGTGGCAATTTAAATAAATCGAATTTGATAATAAGTATAATTTTTAATAATTATTGATTTAAAAAAAAGTTTTGTTTTTTGAAAAAAAAATATCACAACTAAACGTCTGAATTCGTATAAATTTATTTATATTTTAATAGAAATTCAATACACTATTTTGAGATAATATTTTATTATTATTATTTTTACAGCCATTATTACAATAATATTTAAATTATTATATATTAGATATATTTTTAGTGTAACAGTTTTAATTGTATATTAATTCAAGTTATTTGGAATGTTAAAATTTAATAAAATAAATGGTAGAATAATAAACTTTGTATGAAACGTGAGGTCAAAATATTTTTATAGCGTAAGCCGTAAGCAATATAAATTAACACGATTGAATGACTTGCTTTTGATAATTGACGCTAACAAATATCGTATGGCTGATAAAATTACGTAAGAAGATAATACGAGAGCATATAAAATATATGTATTATGAGGATTTAATATAAAAGAAATTTACAAGTTAGTAGTGTCGAAATTATTACTGATAGTTTTATGGTTCTCCATTAATAATACGAGAATCAACTATATCAATTTATGAATGAAAACTAATACGCTTAGTAAAAGTTTTCATAATCACACTACATACACCGCGATACCCGTTTCTCATTCAATAAAGTAGGTACGTTCCGTTTGTAGTAACGATGCCAACTTGTACTAAGCATAAAATTGTTTTAATATAGATAAAGTTTATCGAGATCTTAAATATATAAAAATAATTCGATAACAATGTATTGCATAATAAAAATATAATTTTCCCAATAGTAGTACATAGTAATACAATTCCTTTATTAATTATTATCTAATGTAAACTAAAATTACTACTGTCATAGTTCTAAGAAACAAGAAGTAATTAAATGATTTGAAGAATTTTCCTTCAAGTATTTTACTAAGTAATTAATGTTTTTCACTGTACTCTTTTTCAATTATTATATGTATATATTTTATTAACTAATTATCCGTACCATAAACTTTGAACTCTAATATATTCATTGTTTAAGAACACACATACAAGTCTTATGGACATCGTAAAAATCACTCACTATTAAAAGCCATACCAAAAATCAAAGATGTTTGCGGTATTTTCAGTTTATTGACAGCTGATTATTTATAACCAAGGATATACAATGTATTTATTATATATAATTATAATTAATTGTATATTAATGTACTGGATGTGGCCGGGATAAGACTGTTTGAACCTGATATTAAATTTAAGTTATACAGGGTGACTGGTGAATTACTATCGATATTTGAGGACGTGATATTTGACGATCATATATGACAAAATAAAAATTAATATACATAACATAAATATTAATAAACTTCTAAGTAAAGTTAACCAAAAGTTATGCAATTAATTACGCATCGTGTGAACACCCTACAGATTAGGTATACACACACATACACACACGCGTGCGGCGACGTGGTGTTGTATCAGCAAGCCGCCGCACGCGTCCACAATTGGAACACTTGGAACGTGTCCACACTTTATTTATTTATACGGAAATTTGGTCAAAAATTAAGTACCTATTTTTTTTTACATAATTGGAATGAGAATCATGTACCGAGTATTCTCCTTAAATATTGATAGTAATTCACCAGTCACCCTGTATATTAAAGTTATTTTCGTGATGGCAGCGTTTTGGTATCAACTTGTATTTGAAGCTATAAATACTTTCTTCAGCAACTTTGTAGTACATTACTAAAATAAACGCGGAGCATTAAGAATGGAGACTGATAATGTACCACGAACATGTTTAAGGAAAGGAATATGAATATATTGTGTATATAAATAAATATTTAGTTTATGTTAGTATAGAACAGAAAATTACTTTATTTTATTTTGTTATACATGTTAAATTATCCCTACTAAGTTCTCTTGGAAACGCGATATAACCGAACTCCACGCGGGCGAAGCTGAGGGCGGAAAGCTAGTTCATTATACATATATTCTACATTGCGTGGGTCATTAAGCCAACTAGATTATTTAGATTTCAGTGTACACAGTAATTTAAACGGTCTCACTATGAAAGAAGCTTGTCATATATGTAGTTCAATAAACTACGTTAATATTATAATGTGTGAGTAAAGAAAGCTTTAGGGAATAATACTGTGTATTTAGATGTGTGTGTGTGTGTGTGTGTGTGTGTGTGTGTGTGTGTGTTTGTGTGTGCGTGTGTTATATTGAATCAAATTATCAAAATAGCAACACAATTCAAATAGAATACGTTTACTTTATGTCTGTTTGTAGACATAAATAGCATATTGTTAAAACCTTAACCCACATATATAGTGTATATTGTATGGTATTGTGTATGTAGACTAGAACCAGGCCAACTAGATTGCAGATTTTAGTAATTGTTTCACTTGTGTACGTAGTATTTGACAAAATTAATAATAAAAACTATAAGCAACTAACTGAGATCTAGAATTTCGCGAGTATTCAGTTTAACTAAACTAATATTTTAGAATTACTATTAATTTTTTGTTATTTTTAGCTACATACTCCCGACGTTACATCTCGTCTGCCCGTGATCACGGTTGCTGCAAAGTAACCGAAACATCGGAAGTATTTAGTTAAAACTATCAAAAAAACGAATAGAAATCCTAAAATATTAGTTGTATTTTAGTATTATACTATCAGGCTGTAGAATCCAATGTCTAGGTTATGGAAAACTTTACTGACAAACAAAAAATATATACAAAATTTTATCGTAAATCCTTCTCTGTCTAAGATACGTAACTTTGAAACTCAATCACACCTTCTGTTACAAAGAGAGTCCAAGTACAGTTGCAGTTATATATCGACTGAAGAGTTTTTTGTTTGTTTGCTTATATATATACTTATATATTTTTATATATGTACCTACTCTATATTTCTTTTCTCATTTCCTCAATCAAACCATTTCTGGTAGAGATCTTTTAAGAAATAAGTTACCCTTTGTTCATCATATTTCTTTTATACTATCTTAAGAAAAAAAGTATGAAATTTAAAGATATTACTCACAGCAAGGTAAGCTCTATCCCTCTCGATGAGATCCGCTAGTTTGTTGATGAGGTACCCCCGCTGTGACGCGTCCATTGTACGCCATTTTGAACCGAATCTAGAAGAAACAAAGCAATCATAAATAAAACGTAACTTTAATAGTTAAGAAACAAAAGTGTGTGACTAAATCAGTGGTTCCCAACCGGTGGTCGGCGGACGAATTCAAAACTCTTTGAATTTTTATTAATGTTTTAATAATATATTTTTATTGAAACAAAAATTTTAATCAAATTTATTTTTTAGTCATTCACTTTATTTTTCTTATACATCGTTGTCATGCGAACAACAAAGAATAAAAAGTGGTCCCTGATCAAAAAAGGTTGGGAGCCAGTGGACTAAATCGATTGGTTATTAAATCTTGCCACATTAAGGTAGGTAGTTGAACGAGAGACGGAAGACACTACGTATGAAGTGTCGATGCAAAACTTGTAGGAAGGACCATGATATACTTAATGATTTTCTATATTTTAAAACATTTACTAACTGCTATTGTGAAAATTGTTAAATATATTGTTTAAAAACATGAATTTATATTGTGCTAGCTTCAAAGCTATGAAAAAGTCTTCGACATTATAAACAAAATATAAATATAATTTAGTATCAAGTAAAAACGTAAATGTATGGATACAAATCCCTACTAATCCCTATCCCTATAATATTATAAATGCGAAAGTAACTATCTGTCTGTTACGCTTTCACGTCTAAACCAGTGAACTGATTTTAATGAAATTTGGTACAGACATAGAGTTGACCTTGAGAAAGAACATAGGATAGTTTTTATCCCAGACTTTTGAAAGGTTCTCTTGGAAACGCGATATATACGGATTATAATTATTTAACCAATCGATATGGGTACGAGTAACACTAAAAATATATTATGATATTAAATTATATAAAATAAACATCTTATACACTACTATTAATCTTACACACATATATGTATCTAAATCCGTGAATATTCCTCAATGTGTTTGTCATCACTGTATGTCAAACATAATACTATTGAACTCGAAATAATTAACTGTTATAATTAATATACATGATGTTTAAAATTCAAACTATAAGTAGAAAATGTTAATAAGATTCATTAATATTACGAACTCATATCAATTAAGAGCACCCTGTATATAACTTGACCTATAAAGGCGTTTTAGCAAAGAATATTTTCCTATATATTCAAATTGTAAAAAGTCTGCATAATATTTTTTAGTTATCAGTCTCGCAAGAATAATTTTCATGCTCAACAATAAATTAAGTTTTACCGGTATATGAAAACTTACTGGAGTGGAACATATACACATAAGACAGATTATATTAATGAGGAATAATACGATTTTCAATCTTATTTCTATATAAATATAAATCTTATTTCTATATATTCGGAAAATTATTCGAGATGTAAATGATAGTGTGCACTGATATGCAAAAATAAGCACGCATCCACATTTTTAAATTTTTATCTATGTCTTCATTCGCACTGGAATCGTGCAATATTTTGCCAAAGTTTTTATTTGTTGGACGAATAATCTTGAGTACTGTGTGGAGAAAACATGAAGAAGTTTGTCGAATAGAATAAAAGCGTCAATTTAATTACTATAATCGATTATTTTAACTATAATAGTTTTCTTGATATTTTAAAATTTGACATGGAAAATTCTAGAATGGAAATTGTATTGACAATAGCTTCATTTAGAAAACCGCGTTATGGTTGCAAATACAATAAATGAATTTTCCGTTCTACATTGTCTAAAGTATCAATACATTTATTAATCTCAACATTGCTTTAATTTAAAAACATCTGTTATAAGTTTAGAACTAGTTTTGGTTTCAACCTAAATACTAAATTCCTAGTATTTCAAGTTATAACTCATAGAAATACATACGAAGCTTTGTAAATGTAACAATTTAAATTGTACGAATGTAGTACATTTAAACTTGAAATATATTTTAGAGTTTATTTAAATTCAACTATTACATATTTTTCGGATTATACTACGCAATTTTATTTTTGTTAGCTTCTTTTCAGCAACCGTGTCCACGGGCAGACGAGATGTGAGATCTGTATGTAGTTTTTTGCAAAAGAAAAGTAGCGTAGTATAATCCGAAAAATATTATTTTCATTTAAATGAATAAAACTCACGAAAGTCATATCTCATAAATATAGTGTTTATATATATTATAGCTGTTACCTGAAAGCGTCTTTAGCAGCGGCGACTGCTAGATCGACGTCGGCCTTCCCCGCTTGTTGTACCTCAGCAATAACTTTGCCATTAGCGGGATTTTCAGTATTGAAAGTTTTCCCATCAGCTGATTTAACCCATTCGTTGTTTATGAAGAGCTATAATAAAATTAATTGTTAATAAACATGGATTAGGATAAAAAAGGAAATTAATATGTTTTACTTAGTAAATGTAAAGAAAAATATGTTAATAATTCTGAATTAAAATTAAAGTTAAAGTTATAATATAAAAATTCACTGACACGAGCAGGAATCGAACCTAAAACCTCCAGAATATTGCGGTTCTGTTGCATTTAATTAAAGTATAATATACTTCAACTTTTAAATAAAATTACGATTTTGGTCTAAGCTAAATTTTTTCCTAAATTTTTCTGTGATCATGGTTACTATAAAGAAACGAAACTTCGAGATTACATTGATATAACATAATAAAGAATACGTATTATCAGCAAAACTTAGTTTCATTTCAATGAATACTCGCGAAAATCTATACTAATATTATAAAGCTGAAGAGTTTGTTTGTTTGAAAGCGCTAATCTCCGAAACTACTGGTTCGAATTGAATAATGCTTTTTGTGTTGGATAGTCCAGTTATCGAGGAAGGCTGTAGGCTATATAACATCACGCAACGACCAATAGGAGCAAAGATATAGTGGTAAATGTGTAAAAAGCGGGAGAAATTATTTCATCTTTGAAGCCTTCCGTTGCGTGCGCCGTGAAAACGGTTCAAGATACACAAAAAATATGTATCAAAGAATAATAGCTCTTTTAATGATCAAAAAAACAGTCCACATCTTTTAAGATTAACTCACAAAAACCGTTTTTATGGTACCTAATTTTGTCGAAATAATTTGTTTAAGTTGTATCAACATAATAATATTAATCTTTATTCAAATAAACAAATAAATATGTTTTTGTTTAAGAGTACTTCATTGTGAATAAAAAATAAACATAGGTTTTATCCTGGAAATTCTACGGGAACTCGACCATTCCGAAAACCCCGCAAGGACCGGAACTATGTGGGAAGAATCAAAAATCTGCCGGAAGTCACTATTCCACGCGGACGGAGTCGCGGCAAAAGCTAGTTTAAGATATCATTACTTCAACATTTCTTACATTTGAAAAAACTATTTTCATTAATTTTCTCTTGAATGCAAAATATTCGTATCCTTACTACAAGCGCATATTGTCAAACCTAGCAGATAGTTTTCTTTTCGTCATTCATAAACTTAATTTGATTTATGAATGAAAAAACAGAAGACGCTACGTATTTGGCTTGACGATGGAAACATGTGGTAAGGATATATAGTGTACTAGCTTTCCGGCAGATTTTTGGTTCTTCCCACATAGTTCCCGTTCTTGCGGGGTTTTCGGAATGGTCGAGTTCCCGTGGAATTTTCAGGATAAAACCTATGTTTTTTTATTCACAATGAAGTACTCTTAACCAACAATATTTTATTTGTTTATTTGAATAAAGATTAATACCTATTATTATGTTGATACAACTTAAACAAATTATTTCGACCAAATTAGGTAACATAAAAACGGTTTTTGTGAGTTAATCTTAAAAGATAGACATATACTGTCGCGGACTGTTTTTTAGATCATTAAAAGAGCTTTTATTCTTTAATACATATTTTTTGTGTATCTTGAACCGTTTTCACGGCGCACCCAACGGAAGGCTTCAGAGATGAAATAATTTCTCCCGTTTTTTACACATTTACCACTATATCTTTGTTCCTATTGGTCGTAGCGTGATGTTATATAGCCCAAAGAAATTCTCGATAACTGGACTATTCAACAAAAAAGAATTATTCAATTCGAACCAGTAGTTTCGGAGATTAGCGCTTTCAAACAAACAAACTCTTCAGCTTTATAATATTAGTATAGATACTCATATTATTTGATAAAAGCCATATATTTCACTATAATATTATTATTTAAAATATTATTTTGTGTAAAAACTATTAAAAGAATACAAAACATAATTAAGTCTAGGCAACGCTAAAAAGTATCAATATATATAATTAATACGTATGTATTTATTTATGTAACTTCTTATTACAATGTTTGCAAAACAAACTACATAGTTTATTCAAATCTAAATTCTTTGGCTTATATGTACAATGAAACATAGTATTCTATATGTACTTCTAATTGTTATACCCATTATTTATTTCAATATATAATGTTTGTGAAACTAATATTAGAGTAAAGAGGACCTAAAATAAATGAACTCAAATATTCTAATTCAATTGTCTCGTTATATAGATGCTCAATGTGTACACTCAGCTTAATCGTCCTTCCTTCGTTTTGCAAGCTAGGTCTTATATAGAAGACCATCTGAAGAACTAAGTTAACTATGTCATTATTTAGACAAAAATAATTACACAAAACAATAAATTTTAGTGACAATGTTTTTATTAGTAATAAACATGGTAAATAAAAAAATACCGCAATATCATATAATAATTCTTATCACATAATATCTGATGCACCCGATTTCGTAAACGATGTTTGATTTATAAACAAGGTATTCATAATATGTTCAACAAGTCAAACAATTAATATTTATAAATATAGTTGTTTATTATCATTTTTATAACCACACTAGTTTTTGCCCGCGACTTCGTTCGCTTTAGTTTGGTCAAGAGTAATACATGTAGGTATAGCTAACCAGGCGAACTCTATTCCGTCTTAGAGGCCACAAATAATCAGGTTTTTCCTGTTTCAATCAAACAGAATGATTGACATATTAGTTAGTTGTCAAATCTAATGTCAAAAAAAAAACGTTTGTATGGGAAATAGAAAAGGGCTGTTTTTATGGTTTTCCCGGCAATTATTCCAATTTTTCTCACCTTTTATACCTTCCCTGAACCTCCATAAACATTTCAATACTAAGATAAGATAAATCCGTTCAGCCGTTCTCAAGTTTTAGCAAGACTAAGGAACAGCAATCCATTTTTATATATATATAGAAGATAGAAGATAGAAGAAGAAGATAGAAGATTAAATGACGTCATCGCATTTTATTGAAATGTTTCAATTAGTTACGCCGCTATGAGCTTACAAGTTACAACTGTTTACTTAGTTGAGAGTTAGCTTCCTCACACGCATACGAAACGACCTACGTTTTCGTTCAATAACATACCTTACTATTAATTTCCAAGAATTATGAATACAAAACTGTTAACGAATATAAAACTCTATTTGTAAAGCAACAAAGGCGATATTCTGATATATTATTTGCTTTCGTTTTGGCCTTGTTACATATGTCAGTCGAAAAAATAATTATATGTCACACTAACAATAGGCCTAAACAACATATTCAGCTGAAGTAGATGACAATAATAAATAATGGATATTAATGTAATTTCGTGTAAAGAAAATTACATACATTAATTAAAAATAGCAAAGACTAATTAAAAGGAAAGCTATTAACTTTAAGTATCTTTAATATTGGTAAAGATAAAGAAAAATAGATTTGTATTGTGTTTCAATACAGGGACCAAATGTTAGAATTCAAAACCGGACTCTACAAGTTCTTACTAATAAAACCGGTAGACCTTGAAAGAAGTGATTTTGTTTTGAACTAAATATATTTCATACTTTTGTTAAGTATAAATTAATATTGTTGTAAATATATAATTTTATTCATACGAATAACTATGTCTATACAATGATTTAGATAAACGCTTAATAGTTATGGTGGAAGTATTCTTACCAAGAATTAGCATCGTCAAAACAAAGACTGCCGCCATATTTTTTTTACAAACTAACTATAGACTGTGTTTAGTTCGCTGGTACAAAATCCTGGTTGAAAAACTACTGTATTAATTAATAAAATCATCGTGACTCGAACAAACCAGTCAAAGTACCAATAACGACATCCTGTCTATGTACATCACTATTTGATTTGTATGTATCAGTCATAAATAAACAATCTATACATAATAGTCAGCATTAAAATTTGAGGAAAATTTTTATACGAAAGTTTGAGTTATCAATCAAATTTGGATATTTTATTTTTGCCAGCCTTAGGTTCATAGCTTATCTCACTTAGATAACCTGAAATATATTTTTTATACTATACCTTAAAATTTTATTAAATACTAAATTATAAGCTGCTTTATTATATACAGCCAATAATGAGACTATTAAAGAAATCGTAATTGTTAAAATCTTTGACTTATTGTTGTCTTCAACAACCCCAAAATAGTTCAAATTCTTTTATGAACAAGACAATTAATTTCTATAAAAACGATAACATAATATTTTTCTAAAAAAACATTAATTAGGAATATTTGTCACTATAAAAATCGACTTAATACGAGGAAGAAAAATTGCAGTAAATAAACCTAATATATATTTTTTTAAATATATGTATAACCGGTACATGGTAATTTTTTATTAATAATATGATTTCTAAAGCTTTTGTACTATTTGAAGCTTGCGTAAAGATTAGCTATGTCTAGTTTATATTGAATACTTAGGATGATCGTGATATACAAAACTACTATGTTATTATCTAACTTTCGGCTTAGTAACCCTGGCCAAACGTGAAATTACAAAAAAATATATGTTATCAGTTGCTAAAAAAAACAAATAAAACTTTCATATTGTGTCTACTTACACCGGTATAAAATATTTCAGGATTTGTGTGCGGTGCTGGAACTGCTGCTGTTGCAAAATTTGCTTTTTTTGTAAGAAGAACTGAACTGAAACGCCTCAACATATTTTATATTAGTCAAAACAAGTTCAAGGTTAAACTACGGCCGCTGCCGGTAACGCACTAACAATACCTAGTCAATGGCGCACACCCGGTAAATCAAACATTTTTCAGCGAGTGCGTTGTAGGGATGGGCAATATCGATACTTTCGATACCAATTACATCTTAATCGATACTTTCGTTCTAGAAATCGATATTTATCTCACAATATTGTTGTTAAGACCAGTATTCTAGGGAATCGTTCACATTTTTTTTTACAGCTTTCCTTTAAAGAAAATCTACTTTACCAAATTATATACAAAATTTCGACATATCTGCTTAGTTTATTGATTTACACATTTTTAATAATGCTTCGATTCAATTGTTGCTTTACTAGTTTTATTTCACTCTATTCTTTTTTCAAAACTATGCATAGCTAAGATTTAAAAATACTTTTAACTCTCAGTAGTTTTTACGGGGGATCTAAATACTTCGTTTATATATTCAATCTTTATTTATTAAGTGTCAAAAGTTGATGTCAAGAATGTCAATGTTATTTATGAATTTTTTAAAACGAATAACTACCTAGCACGTTTAAAATTATATGTTAGAATATTAAAAATATGTTTTGTGTGTGTAAAGACAAAGAATTTTTAAATTAAATTTTCTGTTAAGCATTAGACATTGTCTGAGACGAGTACATTATTTTACCAATCGTCAGCAAATCATTTGTCGACTTCGACGACCTTTGCATTTTATGTGTAATGCAATATCCGGCTGCTTTTATCTCAGGAATTTAATCGTCAAACACAGCTCCAATTTATAGTAACTAAATGTGTTTTGTTACTTTCCTTATATCTAAGTCGACATGGCAGGTGCTTATTCCGTTACGGAACTTTTCAAACGATTTGAAAATGTATGTTTTAAGTTAGTCCGATCCACGGAGGATCAAATAACAAAGAATTTGTTAGAAGGTGGCATCAACACGAGGTAAGGGTTAAATTGATATTAATAATAATAATTATTATAATACACATTCTTTACTATCCATCCTCGAATTTATAATTATTAGAATTATACTAGATGTACAATCGTCGTGGTCTTATCGCTAACGAGCGATCTATTCCAGACAACCGACATATTACACTCTTATTTAACTGTAATTCCCTTTTATTTTTTCACAGACCAGCCAACAGTAATGGAGTCTGGTGTCCCTTATTGTTGCCGGCCATTATGCTTATATATTGCTGGACTGACCAAGTCTCTATGCTATATAAACTAACAGCATTTATTTCCCTCGGCCTGTTGACCTACAGTCTTCTATTTGTACTATTTCTATCAACCTCACATGTAGTCGTCACAGATTCAGTGTACGGAGGCTGCTTGGCTTCCAGCTTAATAGCTACATTAGCTATGTTTGCTGGTCTAAAACAAGGTAAAATAAAGTAGCACTAGTTAGTAATAAATATCTGAGTTTGTGTTCTTAATGCAGTCCGAGTTATTAAAAATGTACTGTCTAAATAAATTTATATATGTCTAATATGCATTAAATATCTAAATTTTCTATACAATTACATAAAAGACCTATTTCGTTTTACCTTAACATACTTAAGTCTAATTATTTTCATATTGACCACCTATTTATATAAATTTAAGCATACATATTCTAATAATGTATTTTTATTTCAGGCTTATTATTTTCATTATCAATAACTCTGTTGTCAACAATACTGTTTGCGTCGCTACTAAGATATAGTTTGACGGAATTTCACAAAACGTTCACTATAGGTGAAGCGATGATTGTATGTCAATCTGTGGTACTGTTTGTGATGATGGCATTTACTAAATTCTTCTTCAGCATATCAGATGGTGATGAGGAAATGGATTTTGTTAATAATATTGTGTATGTGAGTGTATAACTTTTAAATTTAATACATTCATTTCTACATAGCTTAATATAGGATTCATTTAATACTTATTTCATTTTTAAGTTGCATTGCAATGAGAGAGGTGACAAAACCTTTATATTGATGTTTGTCTGTCTGTGTGTAACTCTCTCTATAGTAATAGAATTGAAATCGTTCTATCCATTTGAAGCCACCAGGTTAAATATAATGCATTATTATTATATATGCTAAACTTGTGGTTTGCAACTATGATTGATTGATACTAGTTTAGCAGTAAGAGAGAATCAGATCTTTTCTAAAACACAAAGTAATGTTTCAATAATGATTATTTGATTCCCTTTTTTTACAACTACCAATAAAAGACGATTTAAAAATATGTACTATATAATATTTTGTTATCCTTCTACACATAATGTGTTCATTTTCCTTTAAATTTTTTGATATGCAGACAAGTAAATGATTTAAAATAAAATTCCATTTTTTTTTTGGAACCTTTTTGAATTGGTTTTAATATAATTTTACATATAACAAGACTTGTAAAAAATCCACAGATAATATATATTTATTTTCTTTTATAGTGACAAAAGTATTAATATTTCAGACAGTTTTATCAACAGTGGGTTTGATTGTTGCAGTATTATATCATCTGAACGATTCACAGAGGAATTTAAAAGTTTTGTCATATATACTGCTATCGGCAGTTGCATTTGTACTGCTCATATTGCATACATTACTCGGAAACAATTCTATTGAAAAAATTCTCAATTATGTTTTCTATCAGGGGAACAGGGTAAGAAATTTTTATATTTTCATTATATACTGATATTATATTATACATATTTATGATACAATCCTCATATATAATATATTTTGTTATATAATTTATTTTAATTATGTTTTCAGTCAAGAATATTTACATTCTGGTTGATACTGGTGTTAGTAGCAGTATGTGCGTTAATGTTTAGAACAAAACTAGCAATTAAAGCGACCACTGTAACAAGGAAGACATTCCATATTTTGGCATCATTAGTATTCATGTCCGGTATATTGTTAGACATCCACTTGATGTATCTTGCTGCAGGAGTGGGACTTGCTATACTGGTTTTTGTGGAGGTTAGTTGACTGAATTCTTATTTACCTATTAGCTTTCCGCCCGCAGCTTCGCCCGCGTGGAGTTCGGTTATATCGCGTTTCCAAGAGAACTTTTCATATGTCTTCGACAAAAACTATCCTATGTTCTTTCTCAAGGTCGACTCTGTACCAAGTTTCATTAAAATCAGTTCAGTGGTTTAGGCGTGAAAGCGTAACAGACAGACAGAGTTAATTTCGCATTCATAATATTAGTAGGGATACTAACTAAATATATATTAAATTGTTAAAAATAATGTACATTGTATTTAATTTTCAGGCGTTACGTAAATCCCGAATTGAGCCAATATCTTCTGCATTGCAATCCGCATTCGTTGTTTACTGTGATGAAAAGGTAACTCATATATTTATACCTAGTTTTTTGTGAATAACCTCCGTTTGGTTCCCAGAAGTAGATTCAGTGAATATAAACTTAAAACATTAGATAGATTACCCAACTGACAGTGTATATTACAAGTCAATTAAAAACTTTTAAAACTCTCTATGTAATGTGACGCTGACAATTTCACTAAGCATAATGTATTCTGTGTCACATTTCATATAAATACAATAATTGTAATTATAAACCATGATTATTCGGTTACTACAGAGAATCTTAGGATAAATTACAGCTTTTGACTTATAATGTAGACTAGTTTTTGCCCGCGACTTCGTCCGCGTTAGTTTGGTCAAGAGTAATATATGTAGGTATAGCTGACCAGGCGAACTCTATTCCGTCTTAGAGGCCATAAATAATCAGGTTTTCCTGTTTCAATCAAACAGAATGATTGACATATTAGAGAGTTGTCAAATCTAATGTCAAAAAAAACGTTTATATGGGAAATAGAAAAGGGCTGTTTTTATGGTTTTCCCAGTAATGAATCAATTTTTTTCAGCTTTTATACCTTCCCTGAACCTCCACGAACATTTCAAGGCTATGATAAGATAAATTCGTTCAGCTGTTCTCGAGTTTTAGCGAGACTAAAGAACAGCAATCCATTTTTATATATATAGAAGATTACTGTATTACTGTAGAGATTCATCAAAATCTGTTTTTCAAATGAAACTAATGTTTTACGGATTATATTACGTGTATTTGATTATTATAAAAGCTACATACTCCCGACGATTAAGTTACTTTTCAGCGTAAATGATCATTTAAAGACAAGGTGTTTCATTTAAATGAATTTTCTTGAATATCCTAGATTTCATTATCTGTTTAGTATTTTTTACTTGAAAAAATGTATTGAATTGACTGGGTTTAATGAAATAAATGGAAATTTTGTTCGTCTGCCCGTTATAGGGTTTTTGTGAAGAAACCAAAATGTAGGGAGTGTGTAGTTTAAAATAATAAAAAACACGATAGTAGGCGAAAATATTATTTTTATTAATTGATAGTAGATTATATCTATATTCATTATTTTAACCTAAATCTATATCATTCGTCGAAAGTTTATTGGAACTAAGTTAATTTTTATTCAATTTAAAACCAATTAAGGAGTCGCCAATTACCACGTATTCATAAGTTTTTCACTACTGTCCTTCATCTTTAGCACGTGCTTATGAATTAATAATTTTGATGTAAATTACGTTATTTATTTTATTAAATGGTGCGAAAAATAATTTGAAATTTGAACTAAATCAACTGTCATTAATGTTTGACATATTTTCATTCACGTTACACACGTTCGTTTGACAGATTACGTTTCGATTATATTTTTAGAGGTATAATATTAGGAATCTATATTCTCAGTGTATATTTTTGTTTAAACCTAATTAAATATTCCATTATATATAATTAATAAGTAATATAATTTTATTATGAAAGGTTTTATTCTGACCATTTTCGAAACATGGTGTTTATTTTTGTTACACTAGTTGCATTTCGCTCGCTTAACCTTGACTCTTTGGATAATTAATTAATTTGTGGAATTAATTATCATTTCGGTGCTATAATTTGGTCCCTAGACTAATTATACCCGATTAAAACTATTATTAAGTTTAAAGAAACTTCATTCTTTTAACTGTGGCCCATCTTCTTCCTACATACAAAAAAAATCGTCGTTACTAATGTTTTTGTTATTAATAAATAATAATTTAAAAAATCAACATTCCTAAATATGCTATTAATAAAATTGTAACTGTACTGTATATTAAATTTTTCTCGCCATCTCTTATTAATGTCATTTAAATATTCACTAACATATTGGAGAGTTTAATAAATAAATTAATTAAACACTAACTAATTACTAATTGTGAAAAAAAAACCGGAATTATCCAATGGTTAACATGATTTGCACTATTTCCGACGATATTTTAACCAACCAACCATGATTTTTACAAGGTTTTTTTTTGTTCGACAGGATTGCGGGTCATTCGCTATGACTCCTATATATCTTTACACTGGTCTGGCGTGTCCCTTATTATTGGTGCCGAGTGAATCATATTTGGATCGTCTGTCGGGTGTATTATCAGTAGGTGTGGGTGACACAGCGGCTAGCTGGTTCGGATCTAACTACGGATTTCATAAATGGCCAGGTATTTCTTGTTTAATCCTACTAATATTATAATAGCGAAAGTTTTTGTGTGTGTGTATGTTTGTTACTTCTTCACGCTCGAACGGCTGAACGGATTTTGATATATTGTATACGGGAAGCTGATCCAGGAATAACATATAGGCTACTTTACATCCCGGAAATAACAGAAATTCGCGGGTAACACCACGGGGCGCAGCTAGTCTTATATAAAAAATTATCGTGTCACAATGTTAGTTACCATACTCCTCCGAAACGGCTTGACCGATTCTCATAAATTTTTGTGAGCATATTGATTAGGTCTGAGAATCGGCTAACATAAATTTTTCATACTCCTAAATCATAAGGGTTGTCCACCCTTAACATTTTTTTTAATTTTTAGACATTTTTTTAATTTCTTAATTTTTTTATTATGTTGCATTAAAAATACAAACAACCCAAAATTTTTTACCCTTTTATCACCAACCCATATTTTTTATATGGCAAAACGTTATTATAAGATAGTATTATATATATCTCAATTGAATAAATTCTCTAAATGGCAAGCCGTTAAGATGTATTACATTCTTAAAATTACTATAATTTATTTTAAATCGACATGTCAAGAGATAGAAATTAAGAGAGTATTATAAGGAAAATTTTATAGACAAAACTTTTTAAGACTTAATATATTGTGTGTGGTGTGGTTTGTGCATATACAGTGTAAACTCTATATAACGACACTGAAGGGACCGTGCATTTTAGTGCGTTATAGAGAGTTGCCGTTAAATAGAAAGAAGAAAAATCAGAATTAGAAAAAGACAAAGTTTATTTCAGACTAGTGTTAGTACTTATGTACATAAAAAAGAATGTTATAGTTTGAGATTTTGTGAGCAACTTTTTATGTTAACGTATAGGTAATACAAGACTCCTACTTATGGTCAAAAACCGTCGACACGTGTAATCAATTTGTAATTGTAAACAAAAGAACGAATTTCTTAGAAAGTTCGGTATGGATGATAGGGATGATAGTCGAGTTTATTGCGGGCTAGGATAACAAAGCGACAAAGGAACGTACACAGCTGCACAGTTTTTACTAATTTTAGCAACTTAAAAGGTACTTTTTATTACTTAATTGTTGTCGTTATTGAGAGTGGGCGTGCCGCTATGTAGAGTGTATCATTGTATGGTAGATAAGCGAAACCAACCAAAGTCAAATGATTTCGACGCTTTAGAGAGTTTGTCGTTAAATCGAGTGTCGTTATATAGAGTTTACACTGTATATATTTTTTTGTTTATTTCAGATAGTAACAGATCCCTTGAAGGCACACTATTTAATATTTTATCACAAATAGGAACTGTGTATATGCTCACGTTGTTTGGTAAGTATAGGGTACTAAGAAGTATTTAATATTTTAACATTAAAATACAATATTTTTTTTAACTTTTATTTGTTAAGGAAAAATTAACTATATTTTAAAGCGACGCCATTGTGTTGGTAACGTTAAGAAAGTTTGTAACCTAGGGTTTTGAACATGTTATTTGTGGGATATATTTCCTAGTCAATTCGTCAATTGTGCTTTAATGGTTTTGATTGTTTAGTTTCATTAAAGTAGATAGATAGATAAAAACTTTATTTGGATCACACCACAACATGAGAATAAAAAAATTACAAAAACAATAGGGAAATATTAAAATACAAAAAAAATAGCTAACTGACAACATTATTTTACATCTATTATAAAAAAAAAATAGATTCATTACCACAAAGCTAATGTGTGTTATATATGTATTAATAAATATTGTTTATCGTTAACAGGTCTGTTGAATGAAGCGGATTCAGTCTCAAGAACTTGCTTTTCGGCGTTAATATGTTCTTTAGTAGAAGCTCGGACTTCACAGGTTGATAATTTGGTGCTGCCTCTCGTCATGCTGTTAGCGTATCGAGCAGTGTGATCTTAACGAAACGAATGAAACGAAAAGTCCTAAATTAGTCTCAAAAGTATACATTGTTGAACTGAAGAGATATTTTGAAGATTCACTTTAATGGAATATGTTGTTACCAATATGTGAATATTTATGGATGAAACTTAAGTGATATCGTCGATGCGCATGCAATACCGCGAAAGAGCAGTTTGTTAATACCGCGTAACTGCTTTTGTACGATTTTACAGGAGGCGAAAAAAACTTAGTCATTTGCCTATATTTTACTGACTAAACTAAGTAGTAACTTTTTCGTGACTTACTCTGTAAAAAAATGACGTAAATTCAACCATAACTTGTTTAGATTCCGCGAAAAGTAACTTACGCGGTTTTGTAGCACTAAATATCAGAAAAATCAATTTATTATTAGCAAATACGCGGAGTTGAAATAAAACATTTTATTGAAAGAATTAATTTATTACGACAAAATAACAAAAATAACTTCAAAAATATAAGTTTAGACTTCTTAAAAAAACTTATCTGATAAACAATTATTTTTACTACTTAAGTATATAATATCCATAATCAAATTATAAAGAAACCTTTTTTTTTATTATTATGTTCCAGAGTGAGATCGGTCCCTTCTCATGAAAATACAATACCCATTTTTACTATATATCCAAAAATCACTATCTTTGGAATGTCAAATCAATATTCTTTCTTAAAATTACAGCATAATTTTAAGTCAATACTTATTTTTTGAGATCTACTTAAACATCACTTTTTTGCCATTGCACTTATTCTTATCAAGGCTAACTATTATACTTACACACTATAACAAAAATAAAGTAACAAAATAATCTGAAACTCAAATTAAAACTAGTAATGAATCACAACGTTTAGGATATTAGAAACATTATTTAATAATAATAATAATTTATTTTTATCTCAGACATAGTCCATATTTAAATATTAGTAATACATGTCAACCTTATAACTAATGTTAGTAAAAGCAAATGATAATAATAATAATAATAATGAAAACAAACAAAACAAAACAGAGACAAACACAAAAGACAAAAATCGCTATTTTTAGGCAGCGTGTAGCCGTACCCAGTGGCGCAGTATTTCAGAGTCCCAGCGGCCAGCCAGTGCACACAGAATGCTGTTCGAACTGGATCGCAACCTCTGAAGCGCAGATGCACTCCTCTTGCGAATAATAGCATAAAAGCTATCAACACGCCTCTCAGCAAACATTTCGGAGGCGCTACAGTAGCGCGGCAATCCGAACAGCACTCTGAATATTTAAAAGGCAAGTTATCATAAAAGTTATGACAGTCTCTTGGTATGACACTCTTGAGCTCCTGCAGATGATGGTACTTTGTGGTGGTTATTGGTTGTCTAGATTGATAAAGTGAAGGCACACTATCTATTGAAAGTATTTTCTTTGGTCTTCTAGGCAAAGGCGTAAAGTTATGTGTGAAGTGGAGCTTATAGTCTATTGTACCATTTGGATTATACCTGAGTGCTCTTATGTCAACGACACAGTGATCACCCGCCCCACGACCAGGCCTGATTGATTCGTAAATCAGATACTCTTTAAGACCGAAGTCTTTAAAAAAAGTAAAATCTGGTGTAATAACTTCATAAGGACTTGGTACTTTCCTTGCCTCTTTCGTAATAGTCGCATATTGAGAGGGTAAAAACACTTCTCTATTTTTCAATTTTCTCTCAATCACAGAGTGAACTGAGTCCACTTCCATCTGCGTGTGGCCTTTCTCCAAGTATTTCTGAGTTATCACTATGTTCTTGGCCATAGCTAAACGCAATAATGCATTCGATACAATATTGTTTCTATTTTGGGCGGTACAGCCATCTGTAAATATTACGACATCCTTGGGATCATCATCTATTAATTTTGTCAAATAGTCCACAAATAATGTAGCATAGGTAGTCGATTTTAAGTCGCATACCGTTTCGTCGAACCAGTAACACGTGACTCTATTATTCCCCAGGTTGTAGACTGTAAAGTTATGCACGGCTAGTTTTGTTTTAAAATACAGGGCACTGGCATTGAGGCAAGGACACAGTTTTACAGCCTGAAGATCTGCTGTTATTGCATGTATATTTCCTTTCTGTGCTGCTTCTTTGTCAGAACTTTTTTCAGCTCTGGCTAAGTCTTTTAGTTCAATATGTTTGGTATACTGCGCATCTGATATATTGCCTGCTTTGTGAGCGCAACACTGGTCGCATGCATCTTTTTTTGGTTGAAATATTGCGATATTCTCTTCAAATAAAGCACCTTCAAATACCTTTCTTGAAGCCACCGGTTCATTTCTTGAAACTGAGTAATCTACATAAAGACGATACAATTGCGACTTTGACTGTATGATGGGCTCCAAATATAATTTCGAGGAAGATTGTCTACAATAATAAGACGGCAGCTTCGGTAGAGCAATCAAATATTTTTTAGCTAAATCTTTTTTGGGTTCTTTGACAATTACTTCTCTTTGTTCAGGTTCAAATTCACTTTTATTCATCTTCTCTCCTAGCCAGTATCTAACGGTCCATTCTTTTATACCTAGTGTTTCCAGAAATGTTTTTTGGCAAACTCTTTCCTTTTTATCATTCACCTTTAAAAAATATTTTTTGGTATCGCTTCGCCTTGAATTTGAGCCTTTAGTTTTCCTGGTGGTAGGAATCTGATCCACCATTGAAGATACGTACATTTTCTTTTCTTGCCAACTCATTTTCCAATAGGTTTTAAAAATTTCTGACCTGACTTCTTCTGTTAATTTCGAACAATACATAGCTTTTCCACTGAAACATCGCATTGACATACATATTGGACCCATTATTCGTGCTGGTTTAGGATTATTTTGTATAAATTTAAAGCCATCTTTTTTAAATCCGATGTACTCTTCTCCTAACATTCTCTGTCGCTTATTTTTCATCCTTTTCCAATTTTTTTGATCCCCTTTGCGCTTTTTTTTGTTTGTTTTCGACTTTTCTTCTATTTCCCTTTCAGGGAACCATTCCATATTTTCTGGCGATAAAGGCTTTAAATTTGTTATATCTGAGAGGGCGACATAAGAAGGATCTGCGACAGAATCGTCAGACGAAAAATCAAGTCCGTCATTGTGCTCTACTACATTAACATTCAATTCAAGAGGAGTAATTTTATTTTCTCTTTGTGTTGGTACAGTACTTAAAAGTGTTGTAAATGTATTAAATTCGGATGTTATATCGTGATTTTGTTCTTGCTGTAATATATTATCTGACGAAGGTTTTGAATCTGATTGCAATGGTGGTTGATTGTGGTCATTATGTTTTCTTATTATTTCCTCTTTCTTTTTCAGTAAAATGTTTCGCCTTTCTAACAAATCTTTCAATGAAATCACGTCGTCGGCAACATCAGCATTTTCAAAAGGAAAACTATGATTGTCTTGATTTTCCATTATTATTTGCACCTAAAAATAATTTTAGTATGTTAGTATGTAAGTATTGTAAATTTAGTATTGTAGAATAAAATACCGCGTAGATGAAAAATTTTATCAAATCATGAAGTTTTAAAACCGCGTAATTACAAGATGGAGGTTATGTTTGCTAGAATCATTAAAATAATTAAATAATTACACGAAGCTACATTACCTAAGCTTAAACTATTGATAAACATACACGTTAAACAATAAAAACATACTTACATGGGGGTTTTCCACGGTAAAACAGTCGTAATCGGGAACACGCCCTAACCGCGTTGTAACTTCTTCGCCGGTTCGGTAAATACGCAGACTTGCTGCCAACTTCAGACGCACTGCTGTTCCGCGGTATTGTTGCGATGTCAAAATCAAGGTTCCTTATTGGCTAATTCAAAATGTGTCTAATCCACTACAAGCCAATACGCGTTATGAATCCATTGGCGAGATATTTCAATTTTGCGCCTTTTGCTGTTACGCGGTATTAACAAACTGCTCTTCAGCGGTATTGCACGCGCATCGACGATATGTGTTTAGTTCGATGCGAACTGGGAACAAAGCTATAGTTTAACTTTTGTACATTCCAAATATAGCTTTTGAGTCTATATTTATATGTAATATATCTATATATTTTTGTATAATAATATTGTTTAAGATTTATTCTTTATTATATTATTTTGAAAATTTAGAGGAAAAAATGTACCAATTCTTACGTTTGTACAGTTAACAATTCTTATATAGCATGATAGTCTAAAGTATAAAGCCAATTAGTTAATATTTGCTTACACTGATGATATTGAAGGTCATAAATGTTAATAATCATATTTATTTTATTATAAATGAAGCAAGACTGTTTGTTGTATTGACTGTTAGCAATGTTGTTAATTAATTACTGCATTACTTAATTACGTCTTCGTCTATTCTTGTCTGGTTTATTATATATTATTGACTTATGAAATCTTAACACAGTTTGTAGATTATAAAGATGTCTGATTGTTAATATTTTGCTTGTTGAATATAGATTATGTGTTGCGCATCCATACTAATAATAATAATGATCTGTGGGCTCTTTCTAAGTGTATAAGTTAGGTTTTGCAGGTACCTCCCCAAATCGGGATACAATACGTAAGAATTGATTTTAACAGATCGGGTTGTAGAACGTGACGGAGTTTTTTAAAAAGCCAAATTAGATTTCTTGTCCTTTTTATTAAATTATCTATTTGTTTATACCAATTGAGATGTTGATCAATTATAACACCTAAATATTTATATTCTGTTACACTTTCGATATCTAGACAACTACAGTTATTAATATATGGATAGGAGCATGTATGGCATTTTACTTGAAAGTTTTGTGGGGGTTGGGATTGTTTTCTAATCGTAAAAGTTAGGTACTTAGTTTTAGTCACATTTAAAGTTAATAGATGTAAAAAAGTTCAGTGAAAGCGTGTAAGGAAGAGAAATCGTTTTCAATTTCAGAGCTAAAATCCAAAATTTTTGTAACCTTTCTCGTGGTTTTCTTTGAAATAAGTTTAGGAGCTGATTTTACTTTTGCCTCTTCTATATTTGGCGTTGAAGTTAACACCAATGTTGGTTTCTTGCGTGGTTTTATTTTGCCTTGTCCAGCCAAATACATATGTTCCTTTCATCACTGGAGATACCACGTTGTCTGTAACATTGATATTCATGTTTTGGAGTATCAATAATAATAATAAATAATCTTTATTCACAAAAAAAGTTACAAATTAACCTGATTTCTGATTTCTGAGCTAGGCTCAAAGACCTGTATTACAGAAATCAGTGTCCTCTCTCATATTTTAGTGTCATATCGTTCTATGTAAATAAAAATAAAGGATAAATAATTATTTCTTACTGTATACTAGACTAGAGAGTGTGTGTGTATCAATTTATATGATATAGATGTCGTAGGTATTGCAGTAGCCGTGTATCTAGATTGGGCTACTGACAGCGTACGTGGGTTGTCTAATTTCCAGTAATTTCAAACTGGGTGCTTCTGCCTGATATGTACGTGTTGAGGGTATGCATAGGTTGTCTTCTGTCATTGAATCTTTAACGTTTGTCGTCTCAGCAGGTTCAAACAAATTATCTTTCAATATATTTATATTAATGGGGCAGAGACCTATTTTTGTAAACCTAGTAGAACAGGTGTTATACCGAAAAAGCTCCACCATAGTCTTAAAACACTGGACCAAGTTGTTTGAATCTATAGTGACGTCACAAAAAAGAGGTATCCTCAAAATCATCATCGTTGTTTGTCAGTGTCATTCATATTATCTTCTTGGAACTTTTGTTGTTTATTAAAGTTCTATCGTCTGCAGCGGAAAAAAAAATAAACAGTGTAATTCTTCTTGTTCGTTATAAAAAATTATAGTATTTATTAATAAATGTTCTATTTCACAATAACTTTGAACAATAATAGGGGTGATGGAGGCATAATGGGGACGTCAAGGAAAATACTTATTAACCCTAGAAGCCTAATCATATTTAACTAGTCATAAAGCCCAATCATACGTAAAAATGACGTGTAAAAATAAAATTTCAGAGTTTTCCTATTTTTTTCTGTTAATGAACTATATTTTTGCATGAGTTATCATAATTGAAGTTTTAATTAATAAATAAAATACATTTTATGTTAAAAATACTCTTTATTAATACAATTATGGCACTTTAATTAAATCTTAGAAAAAAATCAACAAAAAATCAAGCTTCTAAAACTTTTTTCTTAAAAATGTGTAATTATAACAAAAATCAACTAGTTTTAAATGTTTTCATAAAATTAAATCAACTTGTAATAATACTTTATAAGTCTCTTCGAAAAATACAGTCTTTATATACAGTCTTGACAAACATCAATATTGTGTTCTCCACATACAGCCTTTTTGCATTTGCAACACTGCGCTTTGGTCATCCGCCTTTTTTTATATGAACAAAATCCACAATAACGTCGTTTCTTTGGTTCTGGCTCATCACTAATATTTTCCGGAGATGGCGGTACCACATTTTTTAAAACATTTGTTATATTGGCGCGCAGAGTCCTCTTCAAAGTAGGTGCTTGTAGCCGTTCTTGCATCCAAGGTGTCGACAGATCTGTGCTTAATTTTTTCATAAATTCTTTGCGGCTCATTGGTTTTTCTTGTTTATTTATCTTATTGTGACAGTATATTATATAGGAGTTCACAAACGCCATATTCAACATCCCGTAAAAGACCGCCATCGGCCACCTATTAGTCTTCCTGTTAGCAGACATAGATTTACACATCTGATCAAAGGAATCAACGCCGCCTTTTGTTTGATTATAAAACAATATCATGTCCGGTTTTCCGTTACTTTCATTGATAACAGCATTTTCATCACAGGAAGACAATAAAAATACCATTTTCGACGGCTTTGGTTTATAAGAAACCAAGGTCAAAGGGCCATCAAAGCAAAACATTGAGGATCCTACCGGCCGTGAGCGAGAATTCTTGATCTCTTCAGGTATCTCTCTTTTGTTAGACCTGATGGTTCCTACTATTGTTAGGTTGTATGGAGCCTGGAGCATGTTCTTAGCTAATGGGATAGACGTGAACCAGTTGTCGCAGGTAACATTTCTATTCGTGCCGTGTACTGTTTTAGTCAGCTCTTTTACATAAAACTCGCCCAGTGGTAAACCATTTGTTTTCGTACTTTTACCAAGGTAAGGTATGGCATCTATCATGTACTTTGTGGCAGCGTCACACATCATGGGGAATTTTATGCCATATTTGTCAGGTTTATTGGGAATATACATCCGGAACGGACAACGGCCGCGAAAACCTAACAATTGCTCATCTACAGTCAAGTTACTGCCAGGAACGTAGTTTTGTCTGCATTGATTGATAAAAATCTCCCATATTTTTCTCACTGGTAAAAAAGCATCATCATTACGAAGAGTTGGTCGCAGTGTTTTATCGTCCATTCTCAAACATGTTATTAAAAATTCAAATCTCTCTCGGCTCATTACTGATACATATCTGGTGCCAGAGAATGTAGCGTCAAACAACTCATCAGTTGAAAGTGGTTATCTTTCATAACAGCCGTCAGAGTGAGAATTCCGACTAACGCCCAGATCTCCATTGTATTTGTATCCCTGTAGCTTGCTGAAATGTCTTTCAAATTTTGTCGTTTTACTATCATCTCGACGTTTGTCCACTTGACTATTTCATGAATTATCTCGTCTGTCATAAAAAGTTGAAAACAGAGCAATGGGTCAACAATATTGCGACACATTCGCGTTGGTCCCCTATTTGTGCGTATAATATTGATAGCAGAAGTCCTTCCCGTCGTACGTCCCTTTGTAGTTGACCATACATGGTTGTTTTTTCCACGTATTGACCGCTGAGGCAAACTAATAATTCTGTGTGAAGTCAATGAAGTTACCTCAAGATTAGGCGATTCCCGAGAAGCAATATTGTTATCGGGGTCCTCTTGCCTGCTTGTATCTTCAACGAAATCGACCATCGCGTCCTCGTTATCACTCCAGACGTCATCTTCAACTACACGATCTTCTTCCTCGGAGTCCGAATCCAGCGGAGAATAATCGTCATCATTTTCTAAAATTGTAGCTATTTTGTCCTGGTTTAGCCGTTGACGGGACTCCATTTTGTGTTAAACCTGAAAATATTAATATTATATGAAAAATGAAACGAAACAATACGATTAACTCAAATAAATTACAAAAATAAAAAATTAGAAACAATTTCAAAAGTTACACAAAGCCCAATTATACGTCAAAATGACGTGCAACCTCTCTATTACAATAAAATGGCGGCACTTACCGAGATGACGCAACTGTGTCCTGCGAGGTCTCAATGGCTACTGAGTTGGTTCAGAAGTTAGCGGCGATCCGACGGTAAACGTGAAAGAGACAGAGATATTTCGCCGCGGTATACGTCAAATTTACGTAGATTGGGCTTCTAGGGTTAAATTGATAAACGTACATATGTAATGTATGTATTAATTAAAAGTAATTACAAAACTTTGCTTCCTTGTTGATCTATGATGTGTCATAGAATATGGTGTGTTAATAATCATAAGAAGTTGTATCTAATTATTTGAAACTTTAATGAAAACCACATCGTGCCCCAGGAAGGGGGCAGTATGGGTTACGTATTAATTTTACGTCAAAGTACAAGCAAATGTGGATTTCTTCTGTATTGTCGTCGTCTACACCAGCACAAGCTGTATGAGAAAACTGTTCACATAGTTAGCAAGCCATCTAACCTTCAGAAAATTTTAAATAACTTTGGTCCATTTCGAGACCGTAGAGGTACATGGCATTATCGTCCATATTCTCTATGTCAAAGAGAGCTTTTTGGGTCATCCGTTACTTAGAGTTCTTCTTTAACTTGGGGTCATTTGGATAAGAACACTTCTTCGTTCTATTAAGTTGTTCTCGTTCTTCTAACTCAATTTTATAGAAGGATGACGTGAAGAACGGTTTTTTCTCGGTGTAGTTTTTTCTCGTTTGTTTGACTGTGGGGATCGCGAGAATTTCTTGAGGCGAAGCATTTGCAAACGAAGTTGTCAAATCATCACATAATTTTCGAATCGGAGACACCCTACCGGTTGGGGTGAAAGGTTTGAAAGGGATATAAAACAAAAAAAAATCAAGTTACCAAAATTATCTTTGTAATTAATTAATCAGTAGGTACATAAACTAGTTGTTTATACTAAGTTTAAAATATGGTATCTGAAAGATGACGGCCGTTAACAGCGATACACTCTTGAAGGCGGTTTCTGAAGTTTTCATCAGCTTTTTAATGTTATTTTTATTTATTTATTTGATCCACCAACATGTTTACATCATCACATACGTAAGAAAAATATACAATACACATAACTTAAAACTAGGTGTGACAAACATTTATAGGTAGATACATCATGCTTAATTCCTATCTAAATTAGACCTCCCAGCGCGAGCCGCAGTAAAAAAAAAGGTTAATTACAAAATAAAATAAAAAATAAATAAACAATGAAAAAATTAAATTAAAAACTAAAAGTGAACCATAAGACGGACAAATACAATTTTAAAGTGACCGAGGTAAGGTGTTTAACAGTGAATTCTTTTAATTGAGTCGTCATAAATATCAAACACGTCGCTGTAATCATTAACCAGCTTGCTATGTCTGGAAACTGGGGAGTTTGATCCGACACAGTTTTTCGAGGTGGTGGTGGATGTAAGGGAGCTTTTCTGCACGTTTCGATGGGTATTGCCGTAGCTCCCTCCCTGATTCTGTCCTTAAGTTCTTTCAGGGTATGTGGACGATGTTTAAAAAGCTTTTCCATTTAGTATCCCCTTAAGGAAAGGAAATGCTCAAATCTGCTGAGAAATCGTAGCAGTGTGGGATGTTGCCTCGTCCTGTTTGAACCAAATGAACCCCAGACAAGTTGCTTCATTTAATTCTTTTAGCTGAGGTTCAAAAAACTTTTCTAAAACATGTCTTCAGCAGTGTCAGTGATTTTTCGCTCATTTTTCTCAAAAAAGTAAGGACGGGTTTATTGTTAACTGTGATACTGCGCACCATACAGTCCCTTTGGGAGGGTGAAATGGCTTCTGGTGAATTTCTCTTGGGTTTTCATTAGCAGCAGTTAAGGCAGCGAAGGATGCAAGAAAAATCCTTTTTACTTATAAAATATGTATATTCAATTTAATTATGAAGACTTAAATTTAACTACTAGCTAGAACGGGGTCTTTAAGTTTAAAGAGTTTATTTTCTCATAAAAACACAGGGTTAACATAAAATGAGATTAATAGGTACATTAATATGTAGTTACAATATAACACCTCTGGAGCGCCGGTGTCTAAACAAACTATTATCATCTAAACCGTATTTACATACTCCTTCAGCTTTGTCTTAAATATATTCATACTCTCTGCCTTTATATCATTTGGTAAATTGTTATATAACTGCACTCCATCAAATAATATAGTTTTTTGACCGAACTTTGTACGTACACCAGCCAGCCTCAATTTATCTTTACTTCTTAATTCATGTTTAGTTTTTCTCTTATCAATTTTGATGTTAGAGTGAATTGAACTGGTAATTATTTTTTTTACTAGGATACAAGCATAATACGTGTATAGTTGGTTGATATTTAGCAATTTTGTTTCTTTATACAATTTTTTGGTTGAAGTTAAATACGGATAATTGAAAAGTGTTTTAATAAGTTTATTTTGTAGTCTTTGTATCGGTATTAAGTTTGTCTTGGCAGCAGATCCCCACACTTGTATTAACCCGTATCTTCCCAAGTCCTCAAAACTCATCTGATTGAAGCGAAACTTTCAGAATCATTTGTTAGTAGCCTAATTATCGATAATATGCAACAAAAAAAAAATTTCGATTTCCGGTATTTCAGTTACAGTACCGATCCAAAAATGGAACAGTAGGAGAATATGCCACTGTATTTTATTGTTGGTATTGTGTGCTTTTTAGGAAGATTGCTGTAAATAATGAAAGATATTTATGAATAATCTTATTTATTTTTAGTATATAATTTTAGTATTTTTAGTATTTTATATAACATTTAGTATAACATTTAGTATTACAATTTTATTTCGTATGAAACGCAGGAGAACACTTTTGGTGTAGGGCGACGTTGCATTTGCCACATTTCATTGTCGTGTTTTTATGACATAAACCACAACGGTTTTGTTTATCACTTTTATTTATTTATTTATTTATTTATTAATGTACCAAACATAAAAAATAGTTACAATTCGAATATTATAAGAGAAATGTCATGTACAAAGGATAACTTATCTCTTAAAAGAGATCTCTACCAGAAACCCTTTTGATAGAGGAAATGAGAAGAGAAATGTGGCATAGGTACAATAAAATGAGAGAAGGAAAAAAGAAAAAAGAGGTATATAGATATATATAGAGGTATATATATAAGAATACAAATCAAATTATAATAGTATAAAATACAGATATTATACATACATAGATATATACATAAATATATACAAATAAATACAATATATATATAAATATATAAACATACACATAAATATATATATAAGTACATAAACATTACATATTATATTAAGGTAAGAGTGATAGAAGATGTCTCTTAAGCCGATATTTAAAGGCAAATGTACTTGGACTCTCTTTGTAAATAGAAGGTGGGAGTGAGTTCCAAAGTTTTGAACCTTGGACGGAGAAGGATTTACGATAGAATTTAGTATTAAAGGAGGGGATATCAAGAGGATTTTGTGCAACACAGGAACGATTAGGAAGGATTCTGGGGGAGGAAAATTTAAAACGTTCGAGTAGGTACGGGGGAGAAGAATGTTTGAACACATTGTACATTAACGTTAAAACATGCATATTCCGGCGGAAGCGGATAGGGAGCCACTTTAATTTGGTGCGGAATTCAGAGATGTGGTCATATTTACGCAAGCCGAAAATAAATCGGATGCACAAATTTTGAAGTCTATCCAGTTTATCGAGCAGCTCATCAGTGGCATCTAAGTAGCAAACATCACCGTAGTCGAGTAAGGAAAGGAGGAGAGATTGTGCTAGAATAATTTTAGTTTTAAAAGGAAGGAAGTTTTGCAGACGTTTAAGAGAATGAAGAGTAGAGTGAATTCTTCTACTTACCTCATTCACCTGAGCTGTCCACGACAGGTGACAATCCATTAATAGACCTAAGTTTTTAACCCGATCTAACAATGGAATTGTCACCCCATCGTACATTATACAGGGTAAAGTGTCAAAATTAATTTTTTTGTAGAGTTGCTTGCTTCCAATAATTATCGCCTGAGATTTATTAGGATTCACTAGTAAACCGAAGTCATTTGCCCATCTGTGTATAGATATCAACTCCTCATTAACAGCCTCGATAGCTACCACAAGTGTAGATAGTGGAGTATGTCTATAAAGCTGCAAATCATCTGCATAGAGATGATAGGGAGAAGAAATGTTTTTGGAAATATTATCTATGAATATAGAGAAGAGTAAAGGAGAGAGGACGCCGCCTTGTGGCACCCCGGCATATGTGACATTCCAATCAGAGCAGCTCTCATCAGATTTCACCATCTGCCGACGACCGACGAGGTAAGATTGAAACCATTTAATAACAGCTGGTGATATCGAGAGGGAAGAGAGGATTCCTAATAAAATGTCAAAGTCAACTGAGTTAAAAGCGTTACTGAAGTCTAGAAGAACTAAAATGGTTAGTTCTCTGTTGTCCATAGCGTTTCGGACATCCTCTGTTACTTTCAGTAAAGCAGAACTGGTACTATGGTGGGATCGGAAACCAGATTGAAATGGGTTAAGGAGGTTATTGCGGTTCAGGTAGTCAGAAAGATGTTTATGGATAATGAGTTCAAAAGCTTTTGAAAGGATAGGAAGAATAGAGATAGGTCTAAAGTGAGATGGTAAAGTAGGGTTAGTTAGTTTGGGAAGCGGAATAATGTGAGCCGACTTCCAAGCAGTAGGAAATGTTCCAGATACCAAAGAAAAATTAAAAATATGAGTTAATACAGGTGACACAACGCTGAGTATTGGTAAGATCATGTCAACACTGATTTCATCATAACCCACTGCTTTGGAAGAAATGGATAAAAGAGATTTCTCGACATCATCTTCCGTTATTATGGGAAATGCAAAAGAGTTACCATTAGGTGGGGATGCGGAAGCAAGTTTCATTAAAGTGTAATTCTTACGAGATGAAGGCACAGACACCGGAGGATTGGAGAAATGATTATTTAATTCATTTAAATTAATATTTTGGAAAGATTTCCACTTGGAACAATTACCCACACCCAATGAGTTTAGGAAGCTCCACATTTGCGAGCTTGAAGTATTACAAATAGAGGAAAAGATATAGCGGCGCTTTGCATCCCTACACATTCTATTACAGAGATTACGCAGCTTTTTGTAGGCAGCATGGTTATCAAGCGACTGATCCTTTCTGAATTTACGTTTAGCTTTATCCCGCTTGGCCATAAAGGATTTAATTGTTGGAGTTAGCCAAGGTGCGGGATAATGCCTAACTCGTATACGTTTCATCGGAGCATGGATGTCATAAAGATTGTAAATTTCAGAATTGAAACAGTTCACTTTGTCTTCAATATTCGCAGAATTATAAAGAGGCGACCAATCTATACACAGTGCGTCAGACAAAAGGACATCAGTATTAACGCTTTTCAAGCTACGGCGAAAAATTGTACGGCGTTTACGTCTTACGGTAGGAATACTATAATTAAGGAAAATGAGGTCATGGTAAGAAAAAGGCGATGATACTTGGCCATAAGAGCGAGCAAATTCAGGTTGAGATATAATTATAAGATCGAGAAGAGAAGGTCCAGCGTTTGGAGGATAGTGAGTTGCAGATAAGGGAAGGACTGAAAGGTTAAAAGATGAAATTAAAGATTTCAATCTTTCGGCTCTGTAGTCATTTTTGATAAGACAGGTGTTCAGGTCTCCCATTAGTATTAGGTGATCATAAGAAGGAGAAAACTTATCAAGAAGGGAATCTAAAGAAGAAAAGTAATTAACGTGTGAAGAAGGGCTATATAGAACACCGATCAAGAGCTTGGTATTGTGGACATCGACTTCGACAAAAAGGTACTCCAAAATGGGTTCGGAAACACATTGTGGAGACTGAGAAACACTACGAAAAGACAAGTTGTTTCGAAGGTAGATACAAATTCCTCCACCTCTTTTAAAGGTTCTGTCATTACGTAAAAGGGTAAAGTTAGGAATATTGTAAAGAGAGGAGGGGAGAGAAGGTTTCAGCCATGACTCAGAGACCAGAATGCAGTCGACACGTGTGTTGCTAAAGGATGCCAGAAGATCAGAATAATGCGCCGGAATACTCTGTGCATTAATATGTACAATGTTAAAGAAATTTAATGAATCGGGAAATAAATTATTAATTTGTAGATCGGAACAAGAAGACAGGCTATCATTATTTATACTATCATCTTTGGAGCAATCAGAAAATAAATCATTATCAATATCAATATTCAATATACTATCACACATAAGATATTAAATAAATATAAATATATAAAAAAAATATTAAATCAAGAAAATATAAAAAAATAATATAAAAACAAATACCTAATTACCTTAAATAAATTCAGATAAAGTTATCCTTTACATGGCTTCATAATTTAAAACAAATAAAATATAAACATGTACATTGTGGCAATGACAAAGATTTTAGTACAAATATCCGAACATATATAGATGGAACTGTCATGTGTCACATAGAAATAACAGTATAATTGTCAACAAAATAAACACTTGAAACAAATATCACAATCCACAGTATTAACGAGAAAAGAAAGTGCCGGGAACATTATCACTTAACTTTTTGATTACGCCGAGGTCTAGAATGGTGCTCCACAAGTGATGAACCGTTAGGAAACTTCTCGATTAGTTCCTTCAGCTCACCATGAGAGACAATCTTTCTCCTTGTTTTATCTGGCAAGAGGACAACTACATTTCCGTCAGAAGTCCAGCAGTTCTTAATGCCGAAATGTTTCCGTACTGCTTGAAAAACTTCCTGCCTTGGTTTCGTCAGGAATTCAGACACAGTGCAACCACTACCTTTAAGCATGGTTTTAGAGTTCCAGACAATGTGTTTTATTTTAGTACTTGAGAATTTAACAAGAATAGGACGAGGCTTGTCCTTTCTCGAACCAAGTCTGTGACAGACATCAATACTTTCAAGAACCTGTCCGGACATCTTCATGCGGTCCGATAATACCGTTTCGATGATGGAATGTGTCTCGGGGTCAGGAGCTTCCTTCAGTCCGTGAAACAGTAGAATATTGTTTCTAGAAATAGCCTCGTGTTTATCAAAACCAGCTGATAAGAGTTGTAGCTGCTGCTGTAACATGGATAATGTTTTCCAAACCAATGTTTTGAAGGAGATGTATTCCGCTGATAGACTGGAGAGATCTTTGAAATGGCTTGAAGATTTAGATTGTGCAAGTTCCTTATCAAAGGAATCCATTCTGGACTGAAATACCTGAACAATTTCTTCCATGTTCCTTCTGAGTTGGGTGTGCAAATCCATTTGTGAATTTTAAAGAATAGTGATATTGTTTCTATAGAGTTAGTGAAAGCCACGTAAGTAGGACACTTATTGTTGCATTAATAAACGATTTATTGAATTTTAAAATATAAAAAACTGAGGAGCAAAAATTATACGTGTTGTCAATTTTACACCTACCCACGTTTTTGATAATATGGTGTGCCTTTTGATAATATGGTGTGCCTTTCCATCTAACCTAATATCAACTGGAACTCGTTTTATGACTGCTAGAGATGATCTTGGAATAGGCTTCTTTACTGAAGAAGAATTTTCAGGAAAAGTCTGAAGATATGTTGTTACAACATGTCTTGTAAATGACAAATAGTCATGCTGATTGTTTTGTGAAGCTGGCGATAATTTATATAACTGAAAAGCATTATTCATACATACATTTATAGGAAACATAAGTAGCTACCAGTACCACCTCTTCAGGCGTATAGAAATACGATAGCATCCCACATTTTGATCCAAACGGTCGACACCGCCCATATATTTGTTATAGTTGACGATGCAGCGAGGTTGGTCGACGTCTTTCTTCTGCTTGTCACAGTAACGTTTTACCTTAGCTAAAGGCTCCACACCACATTCGGTTGAGGCAACGGTAACAATATTGTTGTCATTGTAACGTACGAGGGTGATGTTCGTCAGAGTATCTGTACACTGGTCAAAAGACCCTCTGCTCATTTTCTTCATATCTTTCGCTTCTTTCAAGGGTGCCTTTTCTACCCTATTTGCCCTAACCGTTCCCGTCGCATCGTGTCCTAATGTTTTTATTTCATCCAACAAGGGTAAAGATGTAAAATAGTTGTCCATATAAAAGCTGTAAGTACCGGGCGGCAATTTGGATATGAGGTCTAAAACAACAGAAGCACCTACACCAAGTTCTGGGTGGGTATTTCCTGTGCTTGCCCCTTGATAAAGCTCTCCATATATCAAATATCCAAGACGAGTACATATAGACCAATTCTTATAACCGAACCGAATGGGTTTACCATGAATATGTTGCTTCGTCCCATGTTTCCCGAAATATGGAATCATGGATTCATCAATGCTTAGATTCCTGTCACCGGGATAATATTTTACCCATCTCTTATTGAGTAGATTCCAGAGAGGACGAACCTTCGCGAACTTGTCCTGTGGAGCTAAGTTATTATTATCGGCGACGTGAAAGAATCGTAATAGTTCTTCAAATCTGTTCCTAGGCATAGCAGCTGCCACACCTTGAAAATTACAATCAACACTTTGCTCCCAGTACATACGATATCTAGCAACACTGTTGTAACCAGACAGCAAGAGAATCCCTATAAATCGTTTTATTTCCTCAGTTGTAACTTTGAAATTGTGGTAACCTTTTTGAATAGCATTTTTTTCGGTTTCAGAGCGAATCAATTCAAAAACGTCTTCGTCAAAAAAAAGTTCAAAAAAAGTGAACAGGAGTATCTAGGTGTTCTAAGAAATGTGGTGGCTCTGATGTTTTCTCTGTCTTCACTGGAATATCTACTTTCCTCCACTTTCGGGTAGCTGGACATTTTTTTTTTCTTTGCCGGTGGTTGTACTGATAAGTCGCCGTGTGTATTATTATCTATAGAAACTTCATTTGATACGCTTTCTATAATATCTAAATTAGACTGTGAAGATACAGTAGCCCTAAACTCAGCCTGTGCTAAGAGCTGCTGCCTGGACAGGTGATTTATGTTCGAAGACTCCTCATCTCCACTGTCTTCATCACTTTTGTCGTAATTATCTGGGGGTGTTATGTAAATATCTGCTGACAATACGTCATCGTTGTCTTCAAGATGCGATATTATGTCATTTACCGACAATCTAAAACAAAATAAACGCAAAATTCAAAAATAACAATTATGTCACTACATAAAATGTTCCATATCCATATTATCCTACTGATCCATTATTGGATCGGTACGTATAAAAGTAAAAAATAAATGTAAATAAGCTAAATGTGCATTTCACTGTCTTGCAATATGATAACTCAACTCCTAGCCGATATAAATACGATACAATAATTATAAATTATCTAAAAAAAAAACAAGAAATACTTACATTCGGCGATGAGACATTTTTTCACAATTTCCAAAAAATTCAGTGCGTAACAAAACACAAATTTCGCGGCCCACCGAGGATCTGACAAGTGAATATGGCGGCAAGAACTGTCAGTGCTGCCACCATAGACAAAAAAAATGGCTGCGTTCACGAAATTTTAGTAAAAAAAATATTAAACTAACCGATCCAATAATGGATCACTGGGATGATACGGGTTAAGTATTCAATATTTGATTTGACTAAGCTGTTATATATAATCATTCGTACTTGATTTGGAATGCAATTTGAGAAGCAGGTATAGCTTACCCATCTCTGCAAAGTCTTGGAATCTTGTGGCAAATTAAGAATGGTGGGAGAAATGAACCAGCGGCATTACAACAACCTATGACTTTCGTTAGTTAGTTAGTTAGTTTTATTCCTTTCGTTGATAGCACTTTAGGCGGCTTATTTGTGGTTGTGGACCAGTTTCATCCATGTTATATAATCTGGATGCATCAATATCATGTTTTACTGTTAAAGTTTCTAAGTTTGCATAAAAACGTCCAACTTCACGTCTGTTAAATCCTTTTGCCCTTTCAACCGATGGTGCCTCTGGAGTCCTGAGGGATATTTGATGGTGACGAGACAAAAATGACGATAACCAATCATCTCCAGCTTTTTCGTACTTGTCCCAGTTTTTCGGATAGTTCAAATTATTTTTCTTGGCGTAGATGAACGCTAAATGTTTAAATTCATCTCGAGTCAAGCCAAAATTAATACAGAATCCATATCTTTGAGTTTTGTCACCAACTCTATTTCCTAATCTTCAGTGAAAACAGGACGGAATCTACCAAGTTTTGAAGCAGCGATTCCGGTTTTTATATGCCTATACAAGGTTGCATAAGCCAAACCATACTTTTTAGTTGTACTTTTTATTGATTCTCCAGATTTGCACAAATCAATAGCCGTTTGCATAGCATTTTCGTCGCACGTCCCTTGCTTAGTTTTTTTTATATATTTATTTACCATCTGAAACAAATAAAATACATTTTTAGATAATAACGCGTACTAAATCAAGATGGCCAAACGTAACAGTAATGGCGTCTTGAATGACAAACTAATAATTTAGAAGTGGTATTCACTTTGCCCGGCCTTCCTCTATGTATAAAAAAATTAGGCAAATGTAACTGAATATTTATGAAAGTTTTATTTATAAAAGTACAAAATTTTAATGTTTCTTACTTATAATCGCACAAAATTTTAAAGTTTTTGACAAATCAACATCACGGCATACAATTTAAAGTATTTATTGAAAAAGAAACTATAAAAAATAATAAATAATAATAAATATTAAAAAACAGCTTAAGATTAGTAACCATCTCTAATATTTATCAACTTTGACAAAAAGTTTAATTAACAAAAATACAAAATTATTTAATAAAATACAAAGAATACCTAATCAACTAATTTTAACATCTCGAGCTATAGCTTAATTATCAATATTTGAGGGCCCTGGTTAAGGTTCGTAGATCGTTCCTGTTGTTGATGGACGTGGCTCACTATCTGGGATTGCTTCCATGTTATGGCCGGCGCTCACTGACGGCGTGGCACAGAATTGCACGACAGGTTGTGTAGTGGCATCCCGCAGCGTTCCGTGGCATGCCGTGGCATCCTGCTGAAAGCCCAGCCACTCTGGCATCCATCAGTTTTACTCCGCGCGTATTCGAAGTTGGATATAAGTTGGTTGTGTCGCAATAGAGAACATTTGTTATATCGGTATTTATCCAACCACTCTTAGTAGCAGTTCCTAGGCTACCTTCTGGAGCACCTTCCATGAAGTCATCCTTAAAATGAACCCTCGGAAATATAAATAGTGGCGGAATTGTATTACCACTAGCAGAAACAATTCCTCCGAATGTCACGAGTTCACCTCTTTCGGCCGAAACAAGTTGACCAATTTGTTTTTGTTTTTTTCAGCTAGTACCTTTGGCGTAGCTAACACTGTGCATATCCCTGACTCGTCAAAATTATAGATACGATCTGCACTGAGTGTATATTTAGTTAATATCTTTTCTAAATTTTCGTAGAAATCGTTTACGGCTGTCTTGTTGAATTTTTAATTTTCGAGTTTATATTTTTCATTTTCATTTTTACCGTCTTACGGTTACGACACAGTTCTGAAAATATATTTTTTTAAATCTCCATTCAATTTCCTATGAACCCACAGGTTCATAACCTTTTAGAATTTTTAAAAACGGTACTACATATTGAAAAAAAATAAAAACCATTTTAGCTCAAAAATCTAAAACCGAAGTACTGAGGTAATACATACAATACATCTTTCTCAAATAATTGGATCACTTGATCACAATATTTTGAAACCAATATTTTCTAATTGTAATGTCGCTGATATCAACCTTTTAGAGTTACCAGTACGTAATGAGTGTTAATTATAAAAGAATTAACAAAAGCTATAATTAGCATGCCATAAAACATCGTCATTGTTAGTTTTCCTCGAACAAGATATTGACGAACACATCTGGTAAAAAATATCGATGCCTCCTTTAGTATGGTTGTAAAACACAATGGATATCAGGTTTGCCATTTGTTGTATTTATTTCTGCATCTTCATCACACGATGACAACATATACACCATCTTTGAAGGTTTCGGCTAAATAAAATTTCCTCTTAGGTACAGTTTATCTTTCTGGGGTTAATAAAGAAATCATGTCACAGTATGCCACTAGCCTTACAAGGCAATGTATCAAATACATATAATCGATGACTGAGAGTTTGATTCCCTGTTGATTTTGCCTCCAAGACCGCTGACTAGGAGATTTTCTTTATGGAGTGGAATGTTTTGACCAATAATTATTTGTTTATACTTTACGCCGGATATTGAGGCGCCAGGGTCGAGTAACAAGTTATATGAATAATTGTTAATTGAAGTTATAGTTATATGACAAGTATTTATTTTTTCTGATTTTATTTAGGGACTTTTTAGCGGCAAAAATAAATGTCACTCCCATCGTTCCCTTAATAATAATCCTACCACCAACAATAAACATAAGCCTTAATGTACCTAAAATAATTCTAAAATTTATAAATTATATCTTATTTTAACTTGAACTGATAAATAGTTTTGGCTATCTCTGAATTTGGTATGGATAACGCGCTTTGAAAAACTCCTATATGCTTTAAATTAATGCCAAATCTATGTATTAACTCTCTTCTTTTGGCAGCATTTCGAACACATTCCACAAGGAAATGATATATGTCATCCTGAATCACAATTCGGAGAATTTAATTTCTTTATTAGAAAACCAAATTTATTTGCAGAAATGTGTCCGGAACGCAGTCTTAGAGCCATAACAATCTGTTGACGAGTTAGCCCTGAGTCACAAACAAGTATTATTGCAAGATAATATTTAATTTTTAGTCACGAAAAAATTCATCAGGGTTATCAAAATTAGGGTTTTTATTATCGAATTTTGTCAAGCTATGCATGGTTTGCGGTTTACTAGACGTTTGGTTCCTGTTAGAGTAATTATTGTCATTAAAAGACTTACCTCTATTGGCCTATGGCTCTATGTGGCCTCGAAGTCCTCTGGAAATTGCCTCGTTGGGACGCTTGTCCCGCGTTTCGTCCTCTGGGAGAATTTTGTGCCTGGTAATGAAAATTCATACCTCGACCATGCCAGATTGTCCGACATTAAAATTCTTACGACCGCTGTAATTATAATATTGATTATAATTTTTGTAGTGATTATGGCGCATAGTTAAAATATCACCGCTATAAGCAGATGTGGAGTCCTCGTCCAGGGCGGCCTGTACCGCATCATTCAAGGACGAGTAGTTACTAGCTGTAACAATAGTTCCAAGACGACGATTTCTAACTCCATCGACAAAAACTTTAATAGCTTGTTTCTTATTTCTGGGTTTTAAAACTTTATAATCAGATTCATTTCCGTCAGACTGAGAAATCGTTAAATCCACAAACATATTCGTTATTTCCTACCATACTCTTCAATTGAGAGGTTATTTTACTTAAAATTGTTAAGTTTCGCCTGGATAGCGGGCGCTGACTTTTTAGGTAATAAATTAGACCTTATAGCCTTAATTAAGCTATCGATACTATCATAATTACTTTCTAATTTTTATTTAGCATTTTGTGAAAGACTGCATTCAACTCGCTTATGACCACTTTTGCCATAGTTTTTTTTTTTTAATCGCAGCTCCCTCTGACTTGGTCAGAGACCTTGTTTACAATTGTTTTAAATCCTTCCATACAAATTCTCGCTCTCACGATGGCCTTTCATACTTCATACTGATTCTTTCTTTCATCCATCCCTTTCATACCTCTGACCAGTGTGCCTACTGTCTTAATCTATCTTATTTATTTTATTTTTATTGTAGGTGGTGGGGGAGTAGTCACAATCACTCTTTATTAATTCCAACATTTCAATTTACAATATCCAATATTAATTAAAATTATATAAAAATTTAAATTTAAAACCATAATATAATATAAAATAATTTATAAAATTGTATACAATAAAAAACTGTTGGAATACATTTTATAATAACAATAGAATCTTAAAACTAGTATAATTAATAATTTGTTAAAACCTTAAGTACAGAGCCATCATATTTAATGCCAATAAATAAATAAAATTTCAATTATAATAAATAAAATTAAAAATGTTAAAATGTTAAAAAACGGTGCAATCACCCCCTTGTTTTGTTCCTCTCGTTTGCAATCTTTACTATTTTCATACAGAACCGTTCTAGGTGCGGCCTGGAGTGCTCATCTGCGATGAGTTTCGAGATGTTGTGTTCATTAATTGTAATCCCAGTACTTATTTCCAGGTCGCACCTATCGCGGTCATGTACGGGGCATTCAAAGAGGAGGTGTTGCACCGTTTCGCTTTTGCCATAGTTAAAACACTGAACTTGGGTCAGTCTCGCTAGCTTCACCTCAGTTGTATTTGACAGATCACTGGTGGTGTTTATTTTGCGCTTCAGATGTGAAAAAGCACTCAGTTCTTGTTGCAATTTCTCCCTCGATGTAATGTTCGTAGTAAATGCCATGCGCTAAAGCCGTGGCTCGAACTGTGACTAGTGAGCGAGTACTGTTGCTACGACGATTTCGTCTTTGTTTACGTCTTTCCATCGGTAAGTCAACGACGAAATTAATCGACTTGCAAATGCGGGTAGTGTTTCTTTTTCACTTGGTTTCTCGGCACTCATCTTAATGAGGGTACCCGCCAATGTTTCCATCGAAATAAATCGTGTTGCAAAGAGAGCTTTGAATTCAACCCACATGATACCTTCATAGGCTATTTGAGATAACCAAGTTGATGCTTCACCTTTTAGCGCCTTGCTGACCGCCAAAACAAGTCGACCGCCACTTGGAGTATTTTCGAAGTCAGTCGTCGCGCACCAGGATCTTGCATCAACATCCTCTTTCTCAGGATCGAATGCTGGTAGTTTTTCATGATATTCCGACTTAGAAGATTGCAGGGCCTCAATCAATGCTCGAATGTTCTGGTTTTGTTGCTCGAAATATTCGTTTCACTGTTTTGACCCAACGTTGATCCCACTTCTGATGACGGTGGAGGGCCAATATCACAGTTATTGTTCATAGTTTTCTTATGTGGGCGTCTATCGGTAGGAGACGTAGGATCAAGAAAACACACTTGTACAATCTACCACGGTATAATCACTCAGTAATACAGTTCAAGTATGTGACCGGAATGCGCGATGGTTTGAATAATACATAATTTTGTATTTACTAATATAAATTTTGAATCTAGTTTGGCTAATGAATTTACTGACTAGTAATAGAAGTTTTCAGTTCTAAAGATTTATACCTTTAATCAGTGTAGTCACACCTTTTAGTCGTCTTTGTATTTTATTATTATTTTTCGTTTATATTTTCCTTATTTGTACGTAACTGAAAAATCATATTCACTAAGCTTAAGGCGCCACCTGGTTAATCGAGAATTAGGTTCTTTCAGGTTCATCACCCACTGTAAAGTTCTGTGATCAGTAATGATTTTAATTTTATTATTTTATTTTATCATCACTATAGATTTTAGTACATTTTTGGTGGGAACATGATGTGTTATGTTGGGTATGGCGCTGTTATGAGCTGTTGATTGAGACAAGGACACTACATCATTGAGCAGCCCTGAACCATCCCCAGAGACTGAACGGCCCTGACAATCACAATTATAGTTTTTTATAAGAAAGTAAAAGCGTTCGGAATTGTATTAACTAAAGTTGTAGATTGTTCACGGCAGCAATATGACTAGATATTTCTTTTTGAGACATTTCAGGTTTTTTTGACATTATATCTAAAGAGTTGTGTAAATATGTTATCTCAGCCTGAAGAGCATTCACGTCAGCCTCATAACCTTGTCTCATTACTTTAACATTCTTAGAATATTCAATAATTTTTAGTCTGAGTGTGTTTCTTTCTTTATATTTTTTTTCATAATTTAAGCAATAATTTCTTGATTTTATTAATTTTTGAGTTTTCTTAATGTGTGAACATGAGTAACCTCAAACGGATCATAATTAAATGGTACATGATTAAAGTATTAAGTATTTTTCAACGGATTCCATACTAATAAATGACTGGTTTGCACCTGTACCTATCAATTAATAATTAAAGTGGAGTTTCTGCAATTTGAATATAACCTAATTGCCTCTGTATGTGGAAATTACGCTTTATTTTGGCTATTCTGGTTTTAAAACTTCCTGAAAATTTTCATCTTTAGTATCGTTACAGGTGGAAATGGTTTTTTTTTTAATCTCCATGAACTCTAGGGTCCATGC